CTCTCGCTTGCCGAAGGGTGCGAACCGTGGAGGCTGCGTGACGACGCACGGGCCAAAATGACGGACGCCAGCTGCAAGTCGGTCGAGGTCGTCATTGTCGAGGCCTCGGCTGCATGCAGCGACCCGCCGAGTTAAACGCTGCGCCAGGAGCGGACGTCCCGGCCTCGCTCGCTCGACGAGGCGGTGCTCGAAACCGACGTCAGAGGTACCGGCGTCGATGGCGTCTCGCGATCAGCCGTCGCAATCTCCTCGAGACTCGCGAGCTGTTGCCCTTGCGCTCGGGAGCACAGCCTGACCTTGTCTGTATCCCGAGCGGAAGAAGACGAGCGAGGCGATCCGTGCACGAGGCGAGCCCGTTTGACCGACTTGCGTCTCTCGAGCTCCCGCTGCCGCCGACGTTCGGCGTGCGGACGACACCGAGGCGATCAGAGTGCGGCGTCTCCGCCGGACTCGCCTGTGCCGATCCGTCGACGGCTGCCGAGCTGTTCGAGCGGGGAGACAGATTCCGCAGCTCGAGCTGGACGGGAGCGCGAGGTCGGGCAGCGCTCTCTGCCGACGTCGTCGCTGGGCGAGAGGGCACTGCAATTTGAGCTCGAACGTGTTTTGACGTCGTACGTCGCGCAGTGCTAGCTGAGCGGAACGAGGTGCGCGAGCGGAGAAAGAGCGAGAACTCGTGGAGCAGCTCGTCAACCCGTGCTGTGTCCTCGCACGCCCCTGTAGTAGCGGCGATGGAAAGCGCGAGCGCAACGAGGCAGAACCGAGAAGAGGAGCTACACCGGGCAGGCGAGAGGGCGAGAGGAAAGAGGGGCTCGTGCGCGCGAGCGCGATCTCATTCTCGAGCAGCACGTCTTGCAGCCGCACAGCCCGAGAATGCTGAGGAGACTGGCCGAGTTGCAGATCCAGGCACGAGAGACCAGTACACAAAGGAGAAAGGCGACCGAAACGAGAGACTGAATCTAGGCGACGAGGGAGGGCCCGGGGCAAGTCGACGACGACGAGGGCGCGCGCGCCTGGCCCTCAGTTCTTGTCGAGCGACTGCTGCTCGACCAACTCGAAGTAGAGACTGTGTGAAGAACGAGGGTTAATCAGGGAAGCTCGAGCGCGACGCAGCGAGACGAGGAAGGAGAGGGACAGAGAGGGAGAGAGGACGGACCCCTTCTGCGAGATGAGCTGCGAGTGGGTGCCCCGCTCGGCGACGCGACCGTTCTTGAGCACGTAGATGGCGTCGGCGTTCTGGATGGTCGACAGGCGGTGGGCGATGGCGATCGTCGTGCGGTTCTTGGCCGCCTCGTCGAGCGCCTTCTGGACGACGCGCTCCGACTCGCTGTCGAGCGCAGACGTCGCCTCGTCGAGGAGGAGGATCTTGGGGTTGCGGATGAGGGCGCGAGCGATGGCGATGCGCTCTGGGTGCGGGAAAAAAGAGGCGGGTCAGGCGTCGGGTCGGGACGTTCGAGGGAATGAGAGGGGACGCACGCTTCTGCCCGCCCGAGAGCATGGTGCCCTTGCCGCCGACGTCCGTGTCGTAGCCGTCAGGGAGGCTGACGATCAGGTTGTGGATGTTGGCGTCCTTGCACGCCTGCTCGATCTGCTCCTGCGTGACCTGCTCGGGCGGGACGTAGGCGCCGAGGGCGACGTTGTACCGGATCGAGCCGGCGTAGAGCGTCGGCTCCTGTGACACGAGCGCGATCGACTGGCGGTACGACTGGACGTTGAGCTCGCTGATGTCCTGCCCGTCGACGAGGACCTTGCCGCCGAGCGGGTCGTAGAACCGCGTGATGAGCTGGATCGCCGTCGACTTGCCGCACCCACTCGCGCCGACAAAGGCGCAGAACTGGCCGGGCTTGATCTCAACGTCGAGGCCGCGCAGGACCGGGACGTGAGGGCGAGTTGGGTACCGGAAGTGGACGTTCTCGAAGCGGATGTGGCCCTTGGCGGCGGCGACGTCGAACGCCTTGCCCGACGTGTCCTCGGCGTCGATGTCGGGGACCGAGTCCTCGAGGGCGAGGAAGGCACGGGCGGCGCCGAAGAACGAGGAGGCGTCGGGGACCTGTGGACGGAGAAGGGGAGGTGCGGGGCGGGTTAGGACTGGTTCGCACTACTGTACGGGACGGCAATGACGCAAAAAGGAGAACACGTTGCCGGCTTGGATGCTGGCGAAGACGACCGAGATCTGGGCGACGAAGAAACCGTTGACGGAGAGGCCGGCGTCCACCATCTGCTTCGAGCCGAAGTAAAAGCTGCTCGAGAGGCGCGTCAGGGCTGCGCCTCGTATATGCACGTGTACAGAGAACGTATGGGCGCACATGAGGGCAATGACGAAGAACGAGAGGGCCTGCGTGAGCGAGTAGAAGGCGTTGCTCCAGATGGCCGTCCGGTTCGACTCGCGCATCGGCAGGTCGAGTTGCTGAGGGGGCAGGAAGTAGGGGTGTCAGGTCGTGGACGTAGAGATGGAGAAGAGGGGAGATGGCGAGGAGGAGGAGGAGGAGGAGAAGGGACGACGCACCTTGCTGTAGAGGTCGAAGCAGTCTCCCTCCCTCGTCAAGGCCGCGACGGTCCGGATCGAGCCCGCCGCCTCGCACGCCATCTGCGCCGAGGCCTGGTGGCTCTTCTTGTTCTTCTCGTCCTTGAGGACGACGACCTTGAGGCGAACGATGCCGGCCGAGAGCGTGAGGGGCATGCAGGCGATGCCGACGAGGGCGATCTTCCACGAGTAGCACAGACCGATGATGGCGCCGCTCACGAGAGTGAAGATCGACTGGATGATGACGCCCTGCGTCGGGCCAAAGAGGCCAAAGATCTGTAGAGCCGGGTCGACTTGAGAAGGTCAGTTCTCGCGGCTCTCGACAGGTCGCTCCCGCACAACGAGGACGAGGCAAGAGAGCATGGGACGGACCTTGGTCGCACGGTCCGTCACGGAGTTGGTCAAAGTGCCGGTGCTGTTCTCGTCGCGGTCGAAAAAGGCGATGTCCTGGCGGAGCGTCGACTTGAACGTGTTGAGCCGAATCTTGGCGCACAGGCGCTCGGCCGTGTCGCCGTACATCCAGGACTGGACGATGACGGCGACCGTCGACAGGATGGCGATGACGAAGCACCACAGGGCGTAGCGGTTGCCCTCGCGGCGGAGCTGCCCGCCCTGCGTTTCGGGGTCGAGCTGGAAGGTCGAGATGACGCCGCCAAAGACGATGCCGAATACCGGGTACTGCGCGAGGGCGAGAGAAGAGTGTCAAGGAAAGGCTCGAGAGGGAACGAGGGCGAAAGCACGGCGGGAGAGAGGGAAAAGGGATGTCAAGACAAGGGAAAGAGGGGACGCACGACGCAGCCCGAGGCGACAGCGCCGATGAAGGCAAAGACGTAGCGCCGCCAGGAGTCGCCGTTGAGCTTGTACATGCGGGCGAAGAGCGTGTAGGTGCCGTAGTGCTTCGGCTCGGCGCCGCCGGCGGCCTCGAGGTCGTTCTGCCGGCGCTCGATCATCTCGGACGCGAGCGAGCGGCCCGTTCCGGCGCGCTTAAGCTGCTCGAACTGGGGCTTCTCGCGCCGGGCCATCTCGTCGATCTGCTCGCGAGTGAGCTCGCCGGGCTCCGGAGCGCGGGGGTGCTCGTCGTCGCCGTTCTCGGCCTCCTGCTCCTCCTCTCGCAGGCGCTGCGCGCTCACGAGCTTCGAGTAGGCGCCTTCCGGGTTGCGGAGGAGCAAAGTGTGCGCCGAGCCCTCGTCGGTCGACGTGGCACTCTCGAGGATGTGCCCGGCCGTGAGGACCACGATTTGCGCCGCGTCGCGGATTGTCGACAGGCGATGGGCGACCGTGATGGTTGTGCGACCCTTCGAGGCGCGGTCGAGGGCGTCTTGCACGATCGCCTCGCTCGCCGAGTCGAGAGCGGATGTTGCCTCGTCGAGGAGGAGGATCTTGGGGTCCGAGACGATGGCGCGGGCGATGGCGATGCGCTCTGCAGGACAGACAGCGAGTCAGTTCCAGGTGTCGTCTCGAACGTCAACCAGTCGTCGCCCGCCGAGCGTCGCGACAAGACGATGGTCGTCGAGCGACCTTCTCAAGTGGACGAGGGAGAGGAGGCGAGGGGGACGCACGCTTTTGCCCTCCCGACAGGAGCATGCCGCGCTCGCCGATCTGGGTGTCGTAGCCCTCGGGCAAGGCTTGGATGAAGCCGTCGGCGTTGGCGAGCTTGGCGGCCTCGACGACGCGCTGCCGACGAGCATCGCCCGTCTCGCTCTCGAACCGCGAGCCGATCAGGCCGTGCTCGATGTTGCCCGCGACGGTCGTCGCGAACAGGGTAGGCTCCTGCGAGACGAGGCCGATCTGGTTGCGCAGCCACTTGACGTTGAGGTCCTTGAGCGGGACGCCATCGAGCTTGACGACGCCGCCGACGGGATCGCTGCGGGCGCAGGACGGCTCGGGTGAGCAATCTGAGTATCACGAGAGTCGAGTACTGGCCGCTGAAGTGAGAGGGACGCACTAGAACCGCTCGAGGAGCCCGATGATGGTCGACTTGCCGGACCCGGACCCGCCGACGAGCGCCGTCATCTTGCCCGGCGGGAACACGCCGTTGAAGTTGTACAGGACCTGGGCGCCGGGTCTGAGGGAGAGGGCGCCAAGAGTCAGTCGCGTGCGCGGAGAAACAGGGAGTCGAGAGAACGAGGCGCAGGGAGGTTCTCCTCGTCCGAGAACAGCGTCCTCGCCCTCGACAGGTGGCGAGACGGACGCACCGCGACGGGTAGATGAAGTCGATGCCCTCGAGCTCAATCTTGCCCTCGACATGGTCGAGCTTGCGGCCCTCCTCGGACGCAGAGTCGATGACGGGCACCCTGTCGATCGTGGCGTAGATCTCGGTGGCGGCGCCCTTGGCGAACGAGATGGCCTGGAGGTTCGGGGCGAGCTGGGCGAGGCTGAATGCTCCTGCGAGAGGGGAAGACAGAGGGAGAAAGGGTCAGTCAGGGGTGGCTCGAGCGACGAGTTCTCCTTCTCGCAGCGGCAGGCACGTCGAGAGACCGCGAGGACGAGGACGACTCACCGATGAGAATACTGAAGAAGACGTTGACGATCTCGCCCGAAGTAGCGCGCCCTTGCTGCGCGAGGAGAAAGAGAGCTCGTCAATCTCAAGAGGCTCGAGGACGGTGGGAGAGGGCCTGAGAGCGGGACGCACAAGAAGCAGCGTCGTGCCGTAGTAGAAGGCAAGGCCGTACGAGGCGTAGATGATGAAGAAGAAGACGCCGAGACCCAGACCGTTGAAGCGCGCGCTCTTGACCCCGACTCGGAGCGTCTCCTGGTTCCACACGTCGTACGAGTCGGCAAGGCGCTGCTGGTTGCCGAAAGCTTGCGCGATGCGGACCGACGAAATGACCTCCTCGGCGAGCGTCGAGGCTGTCGAGGTCGCCTCGAGCTGCTGCGCCTTGTACTTTGAGATGAACTTCTGCATGGCCCCACCGGCGACGCCGATGCAGGGGATGATGACCGAGACGACCAGCGCGAGGCTGTAGGTCGTGACCGAGTGGGCGACAGGGCGAGGTAGAGGAGGAGGAGGCGAAGGAGAGCGAGGGTGCAGGACAGGAGGGAAGCGAGGGGAGGAGAGTGAGAGGGTCAGTGCGCGGCCGAGACGGGAGAGAGGTCGACTCGGACGCACCGCCAGTTGCGGATGATGGCGATGACGAAGCCGCTGATGAAGATGGCGATGAACTGCACGCTAATGACGACCTGCAGCAGGCGACGAGGAGTGGGACAAAGTCAGTCAAGGGTCCGGCGCGAGTCGGTCGAGCCAGAGGGCAGAGGGGCGCACCTTCTCCGAGATGCCCTCCTGGATCAGGTGCGTGTCGGTCTCGATGCGGGTCGTGATCGCGCCTGCGCCAATACGGTCGAAGTAGGCGATGTTCTGGCGCATGACGGCCTGCAGGTACCGCTCGCGAACGCGGCGAGTCGTCGTCTCGCCCGAGTAGATCCACGTGAACATGTACACCCAGGTTGCCGCGACTGTTGGCGTTGGGAGGAGCGAGACAAGGGTAGGGAGAGGGCGCGAGGAGGAGGAAGGGAAGGACGGGCTCGTCAGGACGAGGGGACCTCGAGACGGTGAGCGAGAGTGGACGTACACGTCGCGATACCGATGTAGACGAGGATGAGGACGTCCTTGTTGACCTCGCGGAAGAGGACCCTGCGCGCCTCGGCGATGAGCTCTGGCGTCGCATTCTGCGCGTTGACCATGGTGAGGCCGCCGTAGTTGGTGAACGCCGTCGTCAGGTTGCCGAACAGGATCGTCATGCTGTAGAGAGAGAGGGCGTCAGGACACGGCAAGACGGCGCCGACCGAGAGGAGAGGGAGAGAGAGAGACGCACGCAGGTTGAGCGACGCCAGCTGCGATGGCGCAGATGAGGCCGACGGCGTTCATGGCGAGCTCGAACTTGGTCGTGTAGCGGAACAGCTCGCTGAACTTGGCGGGCGGCCGCTTGATAGTGGCGCTGTGAGGGCAGGAATCGGGTCAGGAAGGGCGCGGACGACGACGAGGGGAACGAGCCGACGCACATCTGCTCTGCGACGATCTTGCGGTGCTCGGGGCTCAGGTGCGCGAGCTCCGGGTCCTCGAGCGCAATTTCGAGCGGCGTGCGCTTGTCGAAGAACGGCTTGCCCTTCTTCTTCTTCTCCTTTCCCCCCTTGCCGTCGGCCGCGTCCGCTCCTCCCTCGCCGGCCGTGCCCTGCGCCTCCTCCTTCTGCTTCTGCGCCTGCATGCGCTCGACGACCTTCTCGTCGATCGACTCGCCCTCGTTCGACGACTTCTCCTTGAGCGGCGCCATCGTCTCGTGGCCGGACGACGAGGACGGCGACGGCGGCGACGGTGCGGTCGGCGCGTGTTCGACGGCGGTCGTCTTGGCCTGGCCGTCGGCGGTCTTGCTGAGGTTGCCGCTGGACGTGGACGCGATGTGCGCCTCGTGCGACCCTTCGATGGTCGAGCCGGGTGCGGCGGAAGGTGCGGAGGGGGCGAGCCCTTGGGTTGCGAGTGCGGCGGCGGTCGGTGTCGCGGTCGTCGTGCCCTGCGCTGGATCCGCCATGGTGCAAGACCTGGCGCGAGCGGGTGGCGGTGGTGGTGGGAGAGGTGGGAGAGCAACTCAACAAATGAAGTGAGTCGACTCGAATGCGCAGCCGACGGCGCTTCCGACCCCGACGCGCCGCGCGGCCCACTTTTGTGCAGTTTGGTGCTCACTCGCAGTCTTCGTCGACGCTGTGCAGCTGCGCCTGGTCGACCGGACGGCTTGACGGATCGAGTCGAGGGCGAGCACGCTCTGTGACTCGCCGCCGTTGAACCTCTCGCTGCGAGCAAACTCTCTCGAGACGAGCTGCGCACGCGCCGAGAGATGGAGAGGAAAAGCAGGGGTACATGCAGGGATGGGACAGCGAGAGGCGGGGTCTATGAGAGGGCACAGATCTCGAGAGGATAGAGAGAGAGAGGAGAGGAGGAACGCTACTGCAAGGGCACGCCGGCCCGGACCCGCAAGACGACGACGACGACAACAGCAGACACTCGGCGACGAGCGACGCTCAGAGGTTGACGCCCTTGCCGATCGAGAAGACCTTGAAGCCAATCTCGCGCAGCTTGTCGGCCTCGAGGATGCCGCGGCCGTCAAACACCATGGCCGGCTTGGCCATCGACTTGTAGATGGCGGGCCAGTCGAGCTGCTTGAACTCGTCCCACTGCGCGCACGAGAGTCGTCAGTGTCCGTCGAGACGAAGCGAGAGGACGAGAGAGAGGAGACGGACCTCGGTCAGGATGCAGATGCCCTCGGCGCCCGTGCACGCCTCCATCGCCGACTGGCAGACCGTCACCTGCTTCTTGGCTGTCGAGGGGAAGCAACGAGTCAGTACGGGAACGATAGAGTCAAAAGAGAGGGAGAGGACGCACCGGCGGCAGCGTCGTCGACGACGCCCGGCTCGGTGAGGTCGAGGAAGATCTGCTTCTCCGACACCTTGGGGTCGTAGATCGAGATCTTGGCGTTCTCCTGGCGGAAGAAGCGGCACACGGTCGCCGACGGCGTCTCGCGCGTGTCGCCCGTGTCCTTCTTGAACGCAAAGCCGAGGACGGCGAGCTTCTTGTTCGTGATCGTGTTGAACATGCTCGAGACGACCGTCTTGGCGAAGCGGCTCTTCTGGTACTCGTTCATCGTGATGACCTGGGGCGAGAAGGGGGACGTCAGGTCGGGTTCTCAACGACGACCTCGAAGGGAAGAGAGGGTGGACGAGGGACGCACCTGGCGCCAGTAGTCGGCAACCTCGGGCAGGTGCAGGCTCTCCGAGAGGTAGACGAGGTTGAGGATGTCCTTCTGGAAGCACGAGCCGCCAAAGCCGACCGAGCTCTTGAGGAACTTGGGGCCGATGCGCGAGTCGAGGCCGCACGCGTACGCGACCTCGTCAACGTCGGCGCCCGTCACCTCGCAGATGGCCGAGAGGGCGTTGATCGACGAGATGCGCTGAGCGAGGATGGCGTTGGCGGCCTGCAGAAGGCGGAAGAAAGAGTCAGGTCGCGAACCCTCGAGGTAAGAGGTGGGGGAAGGAGACGCACGAGCTTGGTGAGCTCAGAGCTCCACAGGCCGGTGCCGATGACCTTCTCCTTGGGGACCCAGTTGGAGTAGACCTCGATGAGCGACGTCTGCGCCGCACGACCCTCGGGCGTGCTGAGCGAGCCGATGAGGACGCGGTCGGGCTTGTCGAGGTCCGACATGGCCGTGCCCTCGGCGAGGAACTCGGGGTTGGACAGGATGTCGAACCGGAGGCCCGGGCGCGAGTTGGCCTCGAGGATGGTGCGCATCGACTGGGCCGTGCGGCAGGGGACGGTCGACTTCTCGACGACGATCTTGGACGAGGTCGCGACCGAGGCGATGCGGCGAGTGCAGCTCTCGACGTAGCTGCAGGAGGGGCAGGACGAGGCGAGTCAGTAACGGCGGGCAGGGCGACGACGGCTCGAGGGGAGGAAGGGGGGTCAAGACGCACAAGAGGTCGGCGGCGTAGCCCGCGCCAACGCCGGTCTTCTTGGTCGGCGTGTTGACCGAGACGAAGATGAGGTCGGCCTCGATGATGGCCTTGTCGATGTCGGTGCTGAAGAAGAGGTTCTTGCCGCGGCACTTCTTGACCACCTCCTCGAGGCCCGGCTCGTAGATCGGGAGCGTGTCCGAGTTCCACGCGTCGATGCGCTCCTGGTTCATGTCGACAATGGTGACCTGAATGTGCGGGCACTTGTGCGCAATCATGGAGCATGCTGTAGGAGGGCGACGGCGACGGTGCAGGAGAGGGGAGGACGGGGGCAGACAGGGTCAGCGCGCGTTCGCCTCGAGGGAGGCGCAGTGCTGGGGCTCGACCGGCAGGAGGCTGCGGCACTGTGGCGCGCTCTCGTCGACCCGCAGCTCGCTCGCGACCCCGCAAGAGAACTAGCTTCGCGCTGGCCCTCCTCCGGGGTTCCGCTTCAGGCAGCTCGCCCGCCGCAGCTCGAGCGAGGCCAGGACACGGCGCAGGCGCGTCCAATGCAGCTGCAAGGCGGCCCGAGAGGCGCGCCGTGCTGCTCAGGCCGCGGCGGCGCCTATCGAGCGCGAGCGCGCGAGCTGTGCTCCAACGTGTCGAGGGGGGGGGGCTGAAGAGAGGGGGGACTCACTAGGGCCGCCGACGTAGCCAGCACCGATGCAGGCGATCTTGGTGACCTTCTGCAGGCGCGAACGAGGGACCAGGGTCAGCGCGGGAGGCTCAGGCGAGTCCGATCGGAAGGGAGGGCGCGAGCTGGCCGCCGCGCCGCGGGCGAGGGAGACAAGAGGGGGGAGAGAGGGGACGCACGATAGGGGTGACGGAGGACGACGAGGCCATGGTTGCGAATGAAGAGCTGCTTGGACCGGGAAGAAGAGAGAGAGAGAAGGGACGGGGAGAAAGAGAGAAGGGGGGACGCGTCGACGCGAGGCTCTCGAACGTCTGGCCACGCGAGCCAGCCGCGGAGATTCGGACGAGCGAGCGTTACCACCTCGTTCAGGCAGGTCAACGCACCGCGCTTCCGGCTCATGCCCGCGCGCCCCCCGTTGCTTCCACGGCCAAGCTCTCGAGCCCGTGAGCCGCGGCCGCCGCCAGCTCGAACCCAGCGGCGCGTCTCTCGTACCGCGTCGCCAGGAAGCGTGATGGCTCTCACCTTGCTTGCAAAGTGATCACAACGAGAGCCGAGCAAAGGAGAGCGTCGCTCGAGCGCGTTTGCGAGGCAGCGTCGTCGACTTGGTCGCGGAGGACGAGAGACGTCGACCTCGCGCACCACAACCTCGCCTGCACTGCCCGCGCCTTGCCTGGAGGGACTCTTGCGCGTGTGCTGCTGCTTCTCGGGACCCTGTTGGCTGCCGAGCGTCCTTCCCCAGTGCGTCCCCGTTCCCTCGTCCCCCCATCTCTCTCGTCCCCTCCTCCTGACCCTGGTCTCGCCTCCCCTCTCGCGCAGTGAGCGCTCTCACGGCCTACGTCGACAGTGAGTCCCAGCTCTTTCCCGCCCCTCTTCAAAACACGCCCCCAGCCGGGCCGCTGTCGAGCTGGCCAGCAGCAGGTCGCTCGCGGCGACTCATCGCCTGCCGGCTTCTCGTCGGCGCAGACGGCCTTGTCCAGCGGGTCCTGAGGGCATCAGGTCGCAGCGGGCCGCGCTGACACGCACCCCTTACCCCCTCTCTTCCATCCTCGCCAACCTCTCCCTCGCCGCTCCACCCTCACCCAGAGCAAGTCCTCGTCATCACGCAGGACGGGCGCGTCATTGTCGTGAGTCCTTGTGTTCCTCCTGACGTGCCTCGCGGTGGAGGAGGCTCTCTGCTGCCCGCGACCCAGAAGGAGCACTGACCTTGTTCCGGACGTCGCTGAGCAGGGCGAGCTCAAGGGCTTTGACCAGACGACCAACGTGATCCTGTCGGGCAGCGTCGAGCGTGTCTTCTCGGCAGACGAGCCTGTCGAGGAGGTCCCGCTCGGCGTCTACATCGTCCGCGGCGACAACATCGTGCGTCCTCCTTCCCTCTCTCCCTTTCCGGCCGCACCACCACCAACGCGAACCTGACCTTGTCGTCCTGTGCCGCCGCGCGACAGACCCTGATCGGCGAGGTCGACACCGAGCTCGACAAGCAGGTCGATCTCGCGACCGTGCGCGCCGAGCCCATCTCGGAGCTGCAGCACTGAGGGCCTTTGCCTTCTCGCGCGCTCGCCCGCGCAAAAGGAGGGACGACGATGGAGCGGTCAAGAGTGGCCGAAGAGGGAGAAGGTGGTCCCCGAAACTTGCAGCACCCGCACCCCTGTAACGAGATCCCTTGATACCCCAGTCCTCGCTCGCCCGCCTTTCTATCCTCGCCGCCATCTGTTCCGCGCCTATCTCCCGCCCTCGCATTCGCTTCTCTCGTACGCTTCGCTTTCTCTCTTTCTTCCTTCATGCTCTGCGGCGCCGTCCCTTCGACGGCGCGCTCGTCGAGGTCAGGACGGGTAATGGCGCGGTCCCTCTCGCGGCCGTCGTCAAGCAACTTTCGGTCCGTCCTTCTTCCTCTCTATCGCGGTCGCATCTCTTCCTGCACTGACACTCGCTGGACGACGCCGCAGCCTGTTCGACCTCGCGTCGACCGCCAACCCGACGCTCCTCGGGGGGGATCTCGCTCGCCTGTCCGGCTGCCTTGGCTGCGCACCTGCGTCGTGCAGCTCATCTGGGCGAGCTGTGCATGCTGTGGCTCGCTTCTGAGGCCGCGCAAGTCGACGACGACGAAGGTCGACGACCTTCCCAAATCGGGCTTCGAGGAGGTTCGAGAGCAATCGAGGTGCGTCGAGCGTCCTCTCTTCCTCCCCAGCCTGCACAAAACGCAGGCGGCGCACCGACTCTCCTCTCTCTCTATCTTTCACAGCAGACTCGCCTACTCGCGCCCGCACCATGTTCGCCTTCGCCCACCCTCACTCGCACTCGTACTCGCCCTCGAGCCCCTACACCTCGCGCCCGACCTTCCTCGAGCTCGTCCCCTCGTCCCTCGTCTACGAGCGCCACCCGCACTACCACCACTCGCACGACTACCTCGCCGATCAGCGCCGCCGTCAACGCCAACTCGCCCTCAAAGAGGCCGAGGCGGCCGAGCGCCGTCGCCGCATCCAGGAGGACCTCGAGGTGGCAGCCTACCGTGCGGCCGTCGCCGCCGAGGTCGAGCACCGTCGTCGTCAGGCCGCCTACGCTCGCGAGCAGCGTCGGCGCCAAGACGACCGTCGCCGGCTCGTCGAGGCGAGGCGCGCTCGTCAGCGTCACGTCCACCCTTACCCTCGGCAGCTCCTCGACCTCGTCTTCCAGCACCTCGACGCCGCCGCCCTCGACGACGACGAGCACGCCGACGAGCACGACGAGTCGTCCGACGACGACGAGCAGCAGCTCGTCCACCTCGTCCCGCTCGGCGCTCCCGACTTGAGCGAGCACGACGAGGCGTCCGCCGCCAGTTCGGCGTCCGACTCGGCGTCGGACCTCGACATGGTCGCGCTCGTCGACGAGAGCGACGACGACTCGGACGCCGAGATGGCCTCCTCCCCCTCTCGCGACTCGGCCCTTTCGACCCTCGCCTCCCTCGCCTCCGAGTTCGCCTCCCGCCGCTCCGCCTTCACCTCGCCTTCGACCCTCACCTTCTCGCCCTCGCCCTCGCCCGCCGACCGCGCCACTCGCTCGCCGACCCCTCCCCTCGCCTTTGGGCGCGCCAACGCCGTTTTCCTCGGCTACGAGGAGGCGCTCCTCGCGCTCTTGACGCGCATCGACGCTGTCGAGTCTGGTGGCGACGACGGCGTCCGGCGGACGCGCAAGGAGCTCGTGCGCGCCATCGAGGACGAGCTCGCCCGGCTCGACGGGATCAAGGCGCGCGCGTGGGAGGAGCAGAGTGGGAGCAGCGCGGGCGAGAGCGACGCCGACGACGAGTCGACCGAGCACGATGCCGATGACGCTGAAGGTGCGTCCACTGCTTCCTCTCTCTCTCCCCTTCCCTTCGCCGACCTCGAAACTGACTTTCTCCTTCTTCCTGCAGACGTCCTCGAGCTCTCCTCCTCCTCCGACTCGGACATCGACACCTTCCCTACCTCTTCGACGTCTCACGCTCGCCGCAACGCCTCGACCAAGGTCCCCTTCGTCGCCCCTTCCTCGACCTCTCGCCACACCCGTTTCGCCTCTCCCGCGCTCTCCTCGACCTCGACCTCGTCCTCGGCCGCCGACCCTGTCGATGAGCCCCTCAACGCCGGCTCGGACGACGTCGCGTCGCTCCTCCTCGATGTCCACAAGGCGCACGACGAGTTTGACGAGATGAGCGACGACGAGCGTGAGCGGCTCGAGATGGAGGCGCTGCGGGCTGCGGATCGGGAGTCGGACGGCGACGACAAGCAGGATCTCGATGGCGACGAGGAGGGTGTGTGGGTCTACTGCTAGCAGATGTGGCACTGCAATTCTTGTTGTACGAGTCCGAGTTCCTCGAGAGGCTGGAACAGCGAGAGGCTGTGCTCGACTTTCGCTCGCGCTTTGCTGCTCCTCGGCAGTACTTAAGCCTCGCTGTCCACGCGCCCAGATGTGAGCCGCGAGACTGGGAAAGAGCGAGGCAGCACGGCGAAAGAGTGCCCCCTCCTCTTGCTCGCCTCCTGCCGGCAGAATCGTGCGAGTGCGGCCTCCAGGGCTCACCCTGATGGCCACAGACTGCCGGACACGCCCTCGCACCCCATGTTGAAAGCTTCCCTGGCTCGAGAGAAGCAGTGTGGCGCGCGCTTGCGCCCGGACCGCCGATTTCGAACCAGACTGGCGGGCCGACTACGTTCGCTTTCATCGCTTTCTCGTGCGTAAGGACGCCTGGGGACTTGCGGCAAGATCTCTTTCCAGACTCTCTCGTGGGAGCGACGAGAAGAAAGAGCTGGGAGCGCTGTGGAGGGAGGCCCTGGAACTCTCGCCGGCAGACTCTCTCGTCGTCGGGGAAGTCTGCAGAAACGACCTGTACAGACGGCGCACTGTCTACTCGTCCTTGAGGTACTCGCGCCACCACGCCTCAAAGTCGACGCACCGCGACGTATCGATGCCGAGCGCCTCGATGGCGCGCTGCGACCAGGGGAGGAGGGAACGTTAGTGACGTTCGGGCGCACTCAACGTGACCCCCGAGAAGCAGAGAGAGTCAGGGACGCACGTTCGACAGGTGGCAGTCCTGCGGCCGCACCGTCTCGCCCGGCTTGGGCCCGTCGCTGACTCGGACGAGATTGTCGCCGAGCTCGAGAGGCGGGTTGTGCAGCCGCGCAAAGAGCTGCGCGATCGTGTACTTGGTGTGCTCTTGCTGCGCCGAGAAGTGGAGGATCGAGGGGAGGGTGGTCGACGAGGATTTCTCTGCGTGAGCAGGAGGGTCAGTCGGGACTTGGGCGCGCGCGAGGAGAGGGACGAGGGCGCACCTGCGAGCTCGACGAGGACGCGCGCAATGTCGGCGACGTTAGTCGGGTAGCGCTTGGCCCAGTTGTCCATCTTGACCGGCTCGCCCTTTGCCGCCTGGCGCACCGACTCGACGAGGATGTTGATGGCCGACTCGGAGTGGCTCTCGGCCTTGCCGTACCTGCCCGGCGGATGGTTGAGAGGGTCAGATGGGGATCGTACAGGCTCGACGATGCTCTGGAGGAGGAACGAGGACGCACAGGACGGGTACCCGCAACACGCAGCCCTTGCCGCCGGCCTCGATCCCCTTGAGCGTCTCGACCTCGCCCTGCAGCTTGCTCTCGCCGTACAGGTTGGTCGGAGCCGTCTCAGCGTCGGGCTCGTAGCCCGCCGGAGGAGCGTGGCCGTCAAACACGTAGTCGGTCGAGATGTAGAGGAGGAAGAAAGGGTGCGAGGACGAGCGGGAGAGGGTCGACAGGAGGGCGGGGACGGCAATGTTGAGCTTCTTGGCGGCTTCAGGGTTCTGCAAGGGCGCAGAGTGTCAGTAACCGGACTACAGAAGGCGGCGCGGGCTGCCTCAATGCGGCGAGAAGAGGGAAGACGGACCGACTCGACGGCGTCCGGGCGCCTCTCGGCGGCGCAGTGGACGACGAGCTCGGGCTTGAAGTCGGCGAGCAAGGTCTCGACGGCTTGGCCGTCGTGCAGGTCGAGCTGGGCGCAACGAGGCCGAGTGTGAGCATGTGGGGCAGCAGGGATGGAGGCGGAGAAGATGCGGACCTTGACGAGGTCTGCGGTGGCGCGCGAGTAGGCCGTGCCCTTGACTGAGGAACGAGTCAGTCCGGGGTGGTTCTGGGTGGGTGGACGAGGGGCGCACCGTCGTGTCCTGCCTGCTTGAACTCGGACAAGACCGCTCGGCCCAGAAGACCTGCGCGAGAGAGAGTGGTGAGCACGCGAACGGCTGGTTCGCAAAGGCAGACCCGCACCTGATGCTCCAGTGACGAGTACGCGCATGTCGAGCTGGGCGTGCGTGTGGTTGTGGGCGAGAACGAGAGGTGCGGAGGTTCGACGACGACGAGGACGACGAGGCGAGGCTCTCGGTCCTGTACACCTCCTCGATGGCGAGCGACGACCCTTACTTCGAGGTCAAAGGGTGCGTCTCCCTTTGCCACGCCCCCTCGTCCACGCAGCTCACGCTCTCGTCCCCGTACCGCAGCGAGGTTGAAGCCGGCCTCCGCTCGCTCTCATCTCTCGCCGCCGCCCTCGCCCGACTGGACCGCTCGAGCCCAGATCCACAGCAGCGCGACTACACCCTCGCCGAGATCCGCGCCACCCTCACCACCATCGAGCCCGACCTCGACGAACTCGACGCGGCCGTCGTCTCGCTCGAGGAGCCAGGCGTCGCTCGCCGACTCGGCGTCGCAGACTACGAGGTCAGGGCCAGGCGCGACTTTGTCCAGCGTGCAAAAGCCGAGGTTGCGGTGCGTCCACCCGTCCCCTCCTTCGCCCGCTCCCCTCTCTCCACCCTCCTCCCCCCACACGGCATTCCTCGGCGCTGACTCTGCTCCCCGACGCAGGCCATTCGGCGTCAGCTACCGGCACCAGACCCTCTTCCATCGGTGCGTCCGCCTTCCCACTCTGTCGCGGCGCAGCCGCTGGACTGACAAGCTCTCGCCCGTCGTATCGCAGGCTTCGAACCGGAAACGCCTCTCGGCCTCGTCATCCGCCTACCCGCCGCCGTACCAGCCGTCCGACCATTCCGCACAAGGCGATGACGGAGAGGACGACCCCAACACCGATTTCGAGATGCAGCACCAGACGGTGCGTCGCCCTCGTCTTTTGCGTTCCTCGCGACCTCGCATCTGACCCTTCCTCTTTCCTGCAGATCCTCATGGAGCAGCAGGACCGCACCTTGACCGACATCTCGGGCACCGTCGGCCTCTTGCGCGAGCAGGCGCACCTCATGGGTCGCGAGGTGTTTGAGCAGAACCAGTGCGCCCCCTTTTCTCTCTCTCTCTCTCGCGCCTGCCCTCGAGCGTGCCGTTCTGACTATCTGCCTCGTGCAGGATGATCGACGAGCTCGATGAGCATGTCGACTCGACGGCGGGCAGGCTCGCCAAGGCGCAGCGCAAAATGGACCGCTTCGTGAGAGAGCACAGTGCGCCCCTCCTCTCCCTTTCTCCCGTCCTGCGAGCGCGATGCTCACCCCTCGCCTCGCGCGCAGACTCGGCGTCCAACTGGTGCATCTTCATCCTCATGATCGTCCTCTCGATCCTCCTGTCTATCATCCTCTTTGCCTAGACGTGCGTCCGCTTCCTCCTTCGTCTCGCGCGCCGCCCACCCACTCACTCCCTCTTTCTCCTGCCACAGCTATACCCCGACGTACCTCATACCCTAGATGTGCAACATACCCGTTCGCTCGTGTCCCGTCTCCAGCAAGCCCGCCTCGAGCCTTTCGAGAGTTGGCTCGCCTCGCTCGAGCCGGCGTCCGCAGCCACAGGCTTCTCGATCGCGCCCTCGGCGACGGCTAGCTCTCAATCTCCGCCGCTCGATTGCTGTCTGGCCGTTCCGCCGAGGCTCCTCTCGCCGCTCGGCTCTCTTCGTCTCGTCCGCGGACTCTCCGCATCTCGCTCGTCCGTCACTCGGGCTCCTCGTCGCCGGCCTCGTCGTTGTGAGCGCTTCAAGCCTCGACGCTGTACTCTGCTGCTGCCGCTCTACCGGCCAGGCGACAGCTCGGCTCGTCCTCGCAGCTCTCGACTCGGCTCGAGCGCGCGCTCGCACCCCTCTTGATCCGCATGCGCCTCGTCCACCTGCGGCTCGTCGCCGCGCTCGTCTCGATCCACCAGGGTTCTGCGTTCTGGCGTATGGAGTTTCAGCACGGCGCGGCACTCGTACAGCAACGAGCAGGTGCGCCCTCTCACCCTCTCCTGCCGCCGTCGTCGTGTTCTCCCTCGCTCATCTCCTCACCCTGGACGCAGATCCGCTCACCAACCCCGGCGGCATCAGCGGCCACGTGCACTCGTGCGTCGACTCGTCGATCGGGCAAAGGGAGAGGACGAGGCTGACAGCTTGTTGTCGAGCAGGATCGCCGGCGGGAGCAACTTCAACCTCGACCTCGACTTTGAGACGGCGAGGAAGGGCGCCTGTACCACGTGCGCCCCTCTCTCTCTCCTACCTCCTCGCATGTGACGAGAAACCTGACGCTGGCTCCTGCAGAGCTGTCGTGAGTCGTCTCGCCGCGCTCGAGCCCCTTGAAGGCAAGGTGAACTGACGCGCCTCTCTCGCGCGCAGGTCAAGCAAGACCTGTCCAACTGTGCGTGTCTCGTATGTCTTTGACTCTGTACGACGACCTGACGGACCTCGCGCGCAGACTGGACGCCGACCCTGTGGTTCTCGTGGGCGAACGGAAGGCCCGTCCACTTCTTCCTTTCCTTCCTTTTTTCTCGCTCGACTCGGTCAAGTCTCGAGGTCACGCACGTCCTGACGCTCTCTCTCTGCAGCTTCACGAGCGTCGAGCAGAACGGCCTACTCGTCGTGCGTCCCATGCCTCTTCCTGGCCTTCTCAAGAAGAGCTACCGACTCACCTCGCGCAGTACTACCTCCCTCGGTTCCACGCGAGCGACAAGACCAAGGTCACCGCCTTCCCCGAGGGCTTCCGTATGCTCGTCGGCAACCCTTACGTGCGTCCCGCCTTTCGCCCGTCGCGCTCGCACCTCTCCAGCAAAGCGAGCATGACTGACCTTGCCGCCCTTCCCCTCCCCTCGCCCTCTCTCGCGCCTGCAGAAGCGCTCGTACGACGACAACAGCCTGATGGACAAGGCGATCGGGATCAACTGCCTCGGAGGAGATGCGCCGATGAGAAGGCCAGCCTTTCCGATTGTCAATTGCCCTGTGCGCCGACTCTCTCTCGCTCTCTCCTTTCCCTGTCGACCTTCCTGACGCTCTCGTCTCGTCGCCTTCAGGACGGTATGCGCCTCGAGGTCATGTTCCCGAGCTGCTGGAACGGCAAAGACGTCGATTCTGCGAATCACTTTGACCACCTCGCGTATCCCGACGACGTGCGTCCTCGTCGCCCCTCTCGACACCTCGAAACTCGACCTGACCGACTCCTCGATGCGCAGAACGAGGCGGGCCCGTGTCCAGAAGGGTTCGACACCCGCATCGAGACGCTCTTCGTCCGTCCCTCCTTCTCCTCCCTCCTTTCCTCGACTCTTGCCTGACCCGAGGTCGTCAGTACGAGGTCTGGTACAGCACCGACCCGTTCAAGGACATGTGGAACGACGCCATGAACACGTCGCAGCCGTTCGTCCTCTCTCCCGGCGACCCAACAGGGTACGCTTTGCACGGTCCGTCTCGACCCCTCTCTCTACCACACTCTCGTCGACATGCCCTCTTACTGACAATTCATCGCCTGCAGGAGACTTTCTCAACGGCTGGGACCCGCCGTTCCTGCAGAGCGCGATCGACGAGTGTACCGCCGACTCGGGGGTCGTGCACGAGTGCGTCTAACTTTCTCTTTCCCTCATCATCGCGCCTCTCTCACGCCTTACTGGTTCGCGCACAGGTGCAAGCTGTTCGACTTTTACGACTACGACGACCCGGACAGCTTCTGCTCGCAGACGTCGGCCGTCGACGAGGTCGTCACGGGCACGCTCGACAAGCTCCCCGGCTGCAACCCTGTCGTGAGCTCGGCCTTCTCTTCTCTCTTCTCTCCATCCTGAGCTCGTCTGACTCGAAGGAGAACACCCGCAGAACTACGGGCCCGGCGACGTCACCGTCTGCACCGACGAGAACCCGCCCGCGCTCCTCCCGCAGATCCTCGTCTTTGGCGGGCTCGCCGGCGGCAACCAGACGCTCGACGTCGCGACGAGCTCGATCGGCGGCAGCACGAGCACCTCTCCATCGGCAAAGGAGGGTTCGAGCGGCGGCGAGGACGAGTCGTCTTCGTCGCGCTCGACGGGCTCGAGCGGCTCGGCAAAACCGACGGGCGCCTCCTCCTCGACCGGCTCAACCTCGCCGGCGAGCGACTCGTCGAGCTCCTCCGCCGCCGCCGCCGTCGACGGCGATAGCGGCTCGACCGGTTCGAGCGCGCTCGCCATCTCGAGCGAGAACAAGCTCGTCTGGGGCCTCGGCGCCCTCGCCGTCGCACTTCTCGCCTTCTCGGTCGTCTGGTGCTGCAAGTGCGGCATGTGTCGGCCGTCGAGAGAGAAGACCCTCAACGGGAGCTCGGACGAGGAAAAAGCGGAACGTGCGTCCTCATCCTCTCCTCTCGTCGGCCGCCTTCTGCGTCCAAGACGGGTCACTCACGCTCTCGTTCGACGCAGAGCGAGGTCTCAGGTCGTCTTCGAGCGACGAGTCGGACTCGGAGAGCGATGCGGGTCCGGGTCGACGACGGTGAGAGGCTCGAGTAGAGAGGAAGGGACGATAATGCGATTGCAGTTTGCCGTGAGGGTTCCGAGGCAAATCGAGAGACGACAAGGGGATATAAAAGAGAGATAGTGCACGTGAGGGAGAGTAAAGAGGGAGAGGAGGAAGCTCAACGACCCTCCGAGTCGCTGAAGTCGAGCCACGACTGGCTCGAGACGGGCCTCTCGCCGACGACGGGCAGGGCACGAACGTCGGGCGGCGGCGCTCTCGCCATGTGCACCCGCAGCGAGTCGATCGAGCGCGGACGGCGGCTGATGGTGACCTCGTCGTTGGCCTGGCGCTCGTCGCCCTCGTCCTCGTCGTCGCCGTCCGACGCCGCCGAGTCGTCCTTGACCTGCTCTGGCCCGGACGGGTCGAGGAGCGGCGGCGCAGGAAAGTCGTCCATCGTCTCCTCGAGGGTCGAGAAGCGCGAGCCGTCGCTCGCCATGAGAGGCGAGTTGGACGTACGGCCGGGCGAGATGAAGTGGCGCGAGTCGATCGAGAGGTGCGTGCCGGTCGGCGTGCGCGCAACGTCGACGTCGAGGGAAGGCGAAGGAGGGAAGCAGGGCGCGAACGGCGAGAGGGCCGAGTAGGGCAGGGTGAGGCCCGAGGGAAGCTTGGCGGATCGGGGCGACGGCGGCGGGCTGACATCCATGAACGACGACGGCGATGCCTCCCGACGGGGCAGGTGCTCGCGCTCGTCGCGCTCGCTGTCGCTGCCCTCGACCCGCAGGAAGCTCCTGCTCGAGCCGCCCGAGCCAGACCCGCCCGAGAGGCGCAGCGAGCCCGACGACGCCGTCCCGATGTACTCGCGCGCGAACGACGTGGACGCCCATGTGCTCTGCACGGGCGTCGGGTGCGGCCGCAGCAGGAGGCCAGAGCCGGCGGCGACGGGCGGACCGAGCCGATGCCGCTCGGGCGAGCTGGCGGCGCTCGAGAGGCCCTCCTCGGCGGTCAGGTACGCCGTGTGCGAGGTCGACGGTCGAGTCGCGGGAGGGATCGAGTCGACGGCGGCGAAGGACGTCCCGGCGTAACGAGAAGAGGGCGAGTTCTGGGTCGGCGCTGTGGCGAAGCGGAAGTTTCGTGACGTGTCGCCGGAGGAAGCCGACTCGACCGTCTCGATGGACACCGAGGGCTGCGCCCGGGCGATGTCGGGTTGTCGAGGCTGGAGGAAGAACTGTGGACGAGACAGGAGTTAGTCGAGTGGCGAGAGACGGGTGCAGGAGAGAGAGAAAGAGGGACGCACGAGCTCTGTCCAGTTCCCGTCGCTCGTGAGGTCGACGACGCTGCCCGTGCTTGACTGGAGCGAGAGCTGCGACGGCTGGCGCCTGGCCGCAGACCGGCCGGTAGACCTTTGCGCGTACGGGTGGTCCATGCCCATCGCCGAGAGCTGCTTGTCCGTCGGCGAGCGCGAGAGGCCCGCCGCCTCGGCCAACGCCGGCGCCGACCTCGACGACGCGAGACGGGACGTAGGCGAGCCCTGCGACGACCCGTCGCGGGAGCGCCACGAGAGCGGCGCCGTCGACTCGACGGGCATGTCCTCGAGCGCCTTGACCGGCGAGCCGCTCGCCTCGCGCAGGTGCTCCTCGAGCGCGAGGCTCAGGCGTGCGGCCGACGCGGTCGAGTCGGGCGTCGAGACCCTCGTTGGGGCACTCGTGGCGGGCGCAGACGGCGCCGAGGGGGCCGGGCGGGCCGGCGTGTAGCTCTGGTGCTCAGGCGACCGCAGGAGGTGGTGCAGGTGCGGCGGGAGCGACAGGAACGCGTTCTGCGTCATGACCGAGGGACGGCGCATCGCGTCGGCGGGCTGGAACGGCTGGTCGAGAGGCGAGGTGAGCGCCTCGCCGTACTGGGTCGTGACCTGCTCGACGGTGGCCGCGAGGCTGTGGAACATCGTCGACTTGGCCATCTGCGGCAGTTGCGGCAGCTGCGGCGGCGATGCGGCGTGTGCATGCGTGCGGGCGTACAGGCTGTCGACCGACGACGCTCGATGAAGGTGGCGGATGGCCTGGCCGCGCACGGTCCTCGGCGTCGACGGGCGACTGGGCGCCGCGGTCGCGACGGCGACGACGTCGGCCGTCGACGTGGCGGACGCAGAGCGCACGTGGCTCCTGCTGCGGACGCGCTTGAGCGCGTTGACGAAGCCGAGGCCGAGGCCGTCGCTCGCGCCGCCGCCGCCCGTGCTGAGCCGGCGCTCGCGCATGCGCTGGATCGACAGCTTGCGCCCGAGCTGCGCGAACGGCTCGAAGCTCGACGGCATCGGCGGCGAGTAGTCGGGCGCGACGCGGACCCGCCGCTCGTACCAGCCGTCGCCGCGCTCGGCCTCGCTCTCCGCCTCGGCCGCCTCGCGCCGTCGCCGCTGCGCGACCTCGCGCCGCATCCTCCGCCGCTCGGCCTTGCGCTGCTCGACGGCGAGACTCCTCCTGCCCGCCTTGCGCTGCTGCTCGGCGAGCTTGAGGCTCAAGCCGAAGCCGACGCCGCGCATGGCGCTGTCGCTCCCGGCGGCGCGCTCGGCTCGAAGGAGCGCGCCGTCCCGCAGGACGCGACGGACGCTCGAGTCGTCACCGTCGAGCCCGTCGTTCGCGAGCAGGTCGACGTCGGCGTCCGTCAAGGCACCCTGCCTCGCCCGGCGGTGGTCGACGGCCCCGGGCCGCCGCTCGCCGTCACCGCCGTCGAACGGGCCGAACGATGACGGCGCATCGACGACGACGAGCCGTGGGCGAGCGCCGATGAGCGCCTCGCACTTGCTGACGGGCACGATGTTGCGCCTCGTCCTGGGCGGGACGGGCGGCTTGGCCGCGACGCTCAGGAGCGGCTCCGATGCGTGCGGCCGATGTCGCGACGTGCCGCCCGTCGCCTTTGACGGGAAGACGGCGGGCGCGGGACCCTGGCGCAGCGAGCCGGGGAGGGACCGGTCCGCCTCGAGCGAGCCGGTGCGGGGGTCGCGCGGCTCGAGCGGGATGGACGGGCGGCGCTCGTGACGGCGTGAGCCGACGGCGGCTTTGCGCAGGTTGGGGACGGACGCCGAGCGGACCTTCAAGGGGCGGTTGTCGGACGAGGTCGAGGACGAGGCGCTGTGGCGGCGCTCGGGGCGCTTGCGGGAGCGCTGACGGGTGCGAGACGGTCGCCGAGCCGACGCCGGAGGTGTCGCGGGAGCGGGAAAAGTCGGAGCGACAGGTGACGTGGGCAGGATGGGCGAGGGAGCGACGAGGGATGGGGTCGAGAGCGAGGGGCTCGAGTCGTGGGGAGGGAGGAGCCCGGTCGGCGTTGCGGCGTAAGACGGGTAGGCGGCGTCGGCGAGGCGATCATGGTCGCCAGAGAACGGGCGAGTGGCACTGCGGAAGGTACCTGTCAGTACGGGCTCAAGGCGAGAACGAGAAAGGGAGGCCGACGCACAGGTTGGCGACGAAGCTCGATTCTCCCAACCCGCACCCTGTACTGCCCCGCCGCCGCCCCTCCAGCGACGTCCTCGTGACCTCCTGCGCCTGAGGCTCGGCGCTGCGGAAGCCGAGCCCAACGAGCTGCGACCGGCTCGGGCGCATGACGTGGCTGCTCCCGCCGCCGCCGCCGCCGCCACCACTGCTCGTCGGCGCTCCTGCGCCGCGCCGCATCGGGAACGCGAAGCGCGGGTCGGCGACTGAGGGGCCCGGCGCAAGGCCGCGGACCTGGGACGGCGGTCGGCGTGAGGGCGAAGTCGGCGCGGTGAGGACGGGCGCGCCGGCGTGCCATGCAGCTCGTCCCGGCTCGTGCTCGCGCTCCTTGCCCTTCCTCGCGCCGAGTTGCGGCATTGGCGAGCGACTGCCGCTGCTGCGGTAGACGACGGCGCCGAGCGGCGACGAGAGCTGCGCGGGCGTGCGCGGAAAGTCGCTCGAGCCGGTTGATGACGAGGTCGTGTTGGACGCCGTGCGGTACATGGAGCTGGAGCGCTCTGGCAGTGCTGAGGTCGAGCTCGACGGGTGGCGGTCGTGCCCGTCGCGGTCGAGCGGGAAGAGGGACGAGGTCGTTGTGCGCGAGGAGGTCGAGGCGGCGGTCGACGAGGGGTAGCGGTTGTGCGTGTCGCCATCTGCGAGGGACATCTCGTCAGGTACTGTACGAGGTGAACGGACCGAGGAGAGTGGATGTACCTGGCTCCGCCGGCGCCGTCGTCAACCAACTCACCGCGCCGCCGCCGAAGCCACGCTGCTCGCTCTGCCGCCGCCCTGCGGCCCAGCTCGCGCTCGACCCAGTCCCGCGCACGCCACCGAAGAGGTCGGCGCTCGTCGTGCTGCGTGGGACGAACCCGTCGCCGCCGCCGCCGGCGCCCTTGGTCCCGCCGCTCCTCGCCGCCTTGCCGAGGTCGGACGCGCCCGAGCTGAGGTACGGCACGGATGCGCTCGCGCTGAGCCCGCCTCGTGGGCCCCGTGCGCGGTTAGAGCCGGCCGTCGAGTTCATCGGCGGGGCGAGAGGGCGGTCCCGACGCTCGTGTTCGATGAGGGCGGCCTGGCGGAGCCGAGTCGCGGTCGAGGGGACGATGGTTGCGATGCTCGAGCTGGCCGTGACGGCTGACAGGGCTGGAGAGGCCATGCGCAGGCTGGCCGCTCCTCCCTCGAGCGAGGGGAGGGAGCTCGGGAAAGGCGATGAGGTGGATGAAGCTGGGGGGTCGTGCTGCTGGGGCGAGCGGTGGTGGGGCTGGCGGGTGCTGTCGACGCGTTGACTGAACCAAGGGTGGCCAGGGCGAGGTCGGTCTCAGGAAGAGCTGGCGAGACGAGCGAGAAGAGCGCGTCAAAGTGAGGGGGGCCAGTTCTCCGCGTCAATCGACGAGCGGGGCGGCACTTGAACCAGGGGACACTCTCTGGCTCTCTGCGACGGCAGAGCACAGCTCACAAGGCTTATACGAAGAGGCAACGCAGAGCGGCGGTCCGCGAGAGCGGCTGTCGAGGAGAGAAACGCTCTCAAACCCGCCCGCAGCTCGCACCAAGAACCGACGCGCTGTTACAGGTACTGAGGAGGGACCGCCAGGGTTCATACACGGGGGGATCGGGAGGAGAAGGAAGAAGAGAGGCGGCGGGTTCAGGCGTTGCCCTCGCCGTACTGGGTGAGGTCGAGCGTGAGCGTCTTGGACCCGGCTTCGCGGTAGATGCCGACGAGCGCAGACGACGACTCGAACATGAGCTGCTTGTGCGTGATGACGATGCACCTGTGCGCGACGAGGGAGGCGAGTGTCAGTGACGGCGGCTCGAGAGCGGGGCCGGAGCGATTCTCGAGAGACGCACTGGAAGTCGTTCTGCAGGGTGCGCGACTGGACGTAGCGCGCGACCCGGCCGACGTTCGTGTTGTCTGCGGGAGCAAGGATGAGAGTCAGGGAGGCGGAGAGACGCAGTAGAGGAGGAGAGGAGACGGACCGAGTGCGCCGTCGACCTCGTCGAGGACGAAAAAGGGCGACGGCTGGAACCTGCAGGGTTGCGGCGACGACGTCGGCTCGGGGTCCACAGAGAGGAAGAGAACGGCGAGACGCACGAGTGAATGGCGAAGAGGAGCGCGAGTGCCGCCATTGTCTTCTCGCCGCCGGAGAGCTGGTCCATGTCGCGGAAACGCTTGAGCGGCGGCATGGCGTGGTACTTGATGCCGTGCAGGTACGGCTCCTGCGAGAGTCGCGCACGAGGGAGGGTCAGGGACTCGTTGGCGGCCGCCGGGAAAGGGCGAGAGAGAGAGGGAGACGCACATCCGGCTCCTCGAGACTGAGGTAGGCGACGCCGCCCTGCGGGCTTGCAGCGCCCTTGGTCAGGTCCTTGTACACCTCGTCGATGTTGTCCTCGATGTGCTTGAACGCCTTGTTGAACAGCTCGCAGCGCTTCTTCTTGACGACGTTGAACGCGTCCTTGGCCTTGCGGGTCGCCTCGCGCGCCTCGTCAAACTCGCCGTCGATCTCCTTGAAGCGCGCCTCCGAGTCGCCGAGCCTGCGAGGAGGAGAGGCGAGTCAGGAACGAGGAACTCGAGGGAAGGAACAGGGAGCAGGGGACGGACCGCTCGATCGCCTTGAGGTTGACCGACATCTTGTCGATGTCGCTCTGGATGCGGGCAATGGCGGCGACGAGCTGCTCGTCCATCTTGTCCGACGAGTCCTCCTCCTCGTCCTCGTCGAGCTCCTCAAAGTCGACCTCGACACCGTGGTCGTTGGCCTGGAAGACGTTCTGCGTGCCCGACTCGGGCCCGTCAACGTCCATCTGGACGGCCTGCTGCGTCTGCGCACTCGAGGAAGCGGGTCAGTACATCGTCGAGGCTCAGAGAGAGAGAAAGGAGGGACGCACCTCCTCGATCGGGATGTCGTCGAGCCGGCCCTTGCTGAGCGGAAGGTCGATCTCCTCGAGCTTGCAGCGGCGGTACAGGGTGAAGCGCTCGGACGAGAGGCGCTCGATGTCGTCGTTCTGCAGGCAGCGCGAGGAGTGTCAGTCGGGACCCAGAGAGGAAGAGGAGGGTAGGAGAGGGAATGCGACGCACGGCGGACGCGACCTCCTTGAGCGCCTGGTCGAGGGCGCGACTCGCCTTGCCGCCGGCCTTGCGCGCCTGCTCGAGCTCGGCCTGCTTGTCGGCGAGCGTCTCCTTGAGCTGGTCGAGGACGAGGCCCAGGTCCTTGACCTCCTGCTCGAGGTGCTCGATCTCGCCCTGCTTGGCGTCGCGCTCGCCGTCAAGGCGCTCGAGGGCGACCCGGTGCTTGTTGGCCGTCGCCTCGAGCGAGTTGACGCGGTCCTGGATGAGCTCGACCTGCTCCGACTGGAACCGGATCTGGTGGTTGAGGCGCGCGACGTGCGTGTCGAGCTTGAGCATCTCGGCGTTGTCCTCCTGCGCCGAGCGAAGCTGCTTCTCCTCGTACTCGCGGATGTCGGACACGCCAATGCGGGCGCAGAAGTCGGCAAAGATGGCGTCCTCCTCGCGCTCGATCACGTCGCGCTGGGTGGCCGCCTCGGCCTCGAGCCGCTCGAGGTCGCGCTCGAGCTTGGCGACGGCCTTCTCGAGGTCGGCGGCGCGCTTGCGGAGCGTCTTGAGCTCGTCCTTGACGCCCTTGAGGCGCGAGTTGGTCGAGCTGAGGTCGTCCTCGACGCCTTGCAGGTCGGCCCTGGTGCGCGCCTCGTCGGCGAGGAGCTGCTCCTCGGCACGGGCGTGCGGGCGGTTCTTGAGGCACTCGGCGAGCTTGCCGCGCAGCTCGGTCTCGCGACGGCGGAGCGCCTCGACCTCCTGGTCCTCGAACGAGCGGCCGCCCGAGTGGGACGTGCCGCCCGTGATGGTGCCCGAGCGGTGGATGACGGTGCCCTCGAGCGTGACGGCTGCAGGTACAGGGCATCAGGACCTGTCGCGCCGACGACTGGTACGAGGAGAGAGAAAGAGAGAGAGCGGGACGCACCCTTGACCTCCTGGCCGCGGTCGTAGCACACGTGGCGCGCGATCTGCATCGTGTCGCACACGAGCGAGTTGCCGCACGCGAACTGCATCGCCTTCTCGACGCTCGGGTCGAAGTTGATGACGTCGATCGCGAGCCGAGCGCCCTTGGCGAACGAGCGGTACTTGTCGTTGACCGGCTGGACCGAGACGGTTTCGACAGGGACGAACGTGGCCTGCCCGAGGCGCTGCACGCGCATGTACTGCCGGGGCGAAAGGATGGTCAGACTCTGCCACACAAGAAAAAAGAGACAGAGAGCCGGCCGGCGCACCTCGATACAGGAGATGGCCGTCTTCTCGCTGTCGACGACGATCGAGTCGATGTTGCGGCCGAGGACGGTCGTGACGGCCGTGCCGTACTTCTGCTGGGTCGGCTTGCAGAGGTCGATGATGCGGCCGCGAACGCCAGGGAACGTGCGCTTGAGCTGGGCGAGCGTCTCCTTGAAGCGGCGCTCCGAGTCCTTCTCCTGGCGGGCGGCGCCGGCCCGCTCGAGCTCGCGCAGCGTGCGCTCGAGCTTCTCGTTGTACTCGGCCTCGGTCTGCCTGCGTGACGGGGGAGTAGCGTCAGGAGGCGACCGAGGGAGGGAAGAGGCCTGAGGGAGAGGGACGCACTTGATCTGGGCCTTGCGCTTGCGAAGGTCGTCGAGGTCGGCGCGAGCCTTCTTGAGGTCGTCCTGCAGCGCTCCCTGCTTCGTCTCGACCTGTAGACCGACATGGAGGAAGAGTCAGGCGACTGGAAAGTGCGGCGTGCGAGAAAGGAGGAGGCGCGACGCACCGTGTCCTTGCGCTTCTCGAGCGTCGCCTCCTCGCCCTCGAGCCGCTCGACCTTGCGCCTCGTGCTCTCGAGCTGGTCCTGCGCCGTCGAGAGCGAGTCGCGCTTGGTCTTGTCGTCGTTGACGAGCTTGGCGAGCGCCTCGCGCTCGGCGACGGCCTTGGTCGACGCCTGGCTCTTGCTGTCGACGGCGAGGAGGGGCGAACGTCAGGACCGACGACGGCTGAAGGCGGACGACGACAAAGAGAGAGGGACGCACAGCTTGTTGTACTCGGCGAGGTCCTCTGAGCTGAGCGAGATGCCCTGCTCGCGAGCGGCCGCCTCCTGGGCGTCGCGGTGCGCCTGCGCAGCACGCTCGGTCGTCTCGAGGTCCTTGTTGAGCTGGTCGAGCTTCTTCTGCTGCGCGTCGAGGTCGATGCGCTGCTTGGCCGACTGGTCCTCGGCGGCCTTGAGGTGCTTCTCGGCGTAGGTGCGCTTGGTGTCAATGCCGGCGAGCGCGGGACGCTGTGGAAGGACGAGCGTGAGCCTCGTCGTGTTTGTCCATGTCGACCGAGACTGAGAGAGGGAGAGGAGAGGGGGGACGCACAGCATCGAGGAGCTCCTTCTCCTTGTTCTTGACCTCGCGCTCCTGCTTGCCGACCTCCTTCTGCGCCTTGTTGACCGCCTTGCGCTTGGAGCGCACGTCGTCCTCGAACGACTCGTTCTCGTCGCGCAGCTTCTTGAGCTCGACGTTGCGCTCGTCGATGCGCTCCTCGGCCGCCTTGATGCCCTGCTCGATGTGGAAGAGCTTCCACACGAGGTGGTGCACGACGGCGTCGGCCTTCTGCGACTGGAGCGACTGCCACCGCTCGGCCTCGCTCTTCATGAGCTGGTACTGCTTGACCTCGGTGTTGACGCCCTTGCGACGGCTGTGCTGCGCCATCGACGCCTCGGTCGCCTTGACGAGGGCGTGCGCGCAGCGGTCGTACTCGTCCTTGAGGTCGAGCGAGCCGCTGATCTGGTCGATGAGGCGCGACAGGTCCTTGGGCGACTGCGACGCGACGGCCTCGACGTCACCCTGTGGAAATTAGAGAAGGTGAGCGTCCGAGTACGAGAAGCCTCGAGTCGAGGGGAACGGGGGCGCACCTGGAAGACGAGGAAGTTCTTGGCCTTGACGAGGATGTTGAAGCTCTCGAGCTGCTCGTTGTAGCGCTTGTACGACACGGCCTTGCCGTTGATCTTGTACTCGCTCGTGCCGCTCGTCGAGATGCTGCGGCGGGGGAGGGTGAGCCCGCGGTCCGTCGTGGGAGAAAGCGACAAGGAAGTGGGACGCACGAACGCTGGAAGCGCCACTCCTTGTTCTCGGCGCGGTCGACGTAGATGGCCATGACCCACGCCGAGCGCTCGCCGTCGATGCCGCCGTCCTCCTCGCTGTCTCCCGCTCCATCTTCCTCGTCCTCGTCCTCGTCCTCCTCCTCCTCCTCCTCCTCGTCGTCACCGTCGTCGTCGCCGCCCTCGACGGCCTTGCCCTTGCCCTTCTTGTCGCGACGCTTGCGGCCGCTGCGGTAGATGAGGTCCTTGAGGGCGGTCGAGCGGAGGGACACGCTGCGGACGCCGAGCACGAACGAGATGGCGTCCATCAGGTTGGACTTGCCGGCGCCATTGGGCCCAATGACGGCCGTGAACGAGTGGAACGGCCCGCTGGACGAGGGACGGACAAGGGACGGTCAGGCTGGCGGACTCGAGACGACGACGAGGAGAGAGCGCGAGCGCACATGGTCTGCCGCCCTCGGTAGGACTTGAAGTTGTAGCACTCGAGGCGGTCCAGCATGGCGCGGCGGCTGGCTGTCGAGAGGCGAGCGGTGGGGAGGCGGACGACGCGGTGCGAGGAGGAGGTCGGGGGCGACGGTGGGGGCGGCGCACGCGCGCGTCTGCCGTGTCGATGTCGGTGAGCGAGTCGAAGGCGAGCAGCTAGCTCTAACCTAGCTGGTGCGACGGTGGTCGGGGAGGAGCGAGGGGCGCGAGCCGACGCGCTCTCGTCCTCGTCGTCCTCGTCCTCGGCCGCAACGGCAGCTGGACGGACGCGAGCAGGCTTGGGAGTGCTGAAATCTCAAGGGCTCTCGACGGCGAGACTCAGTGCGACCAGCCTTGCAGAGGCTGAGGCGGTGGCCGTCGTCGAGCAAGTGTGCACCGCCTCGCTCATGCCCTCTGCTCTGCCGCTTCCGCTCTACCGAGACGCAGGTGCTTGTCCTTGCAGTGCAGTGCAAGCTGTGCGTCCGGCCGAGCCACGCAGAGAGCCAGGTCGCGCGGAAAGATCTGCCGCTGCCTGACGCGGCGCAGCTGCAGTCGCCGAGCCCCTTGACCTCGAGCCGCTAGACCTGCTCGTTCAGATGAGCACCGCCGATCTTCCACCAGGTCCTGCCCAGCTGCTCGAAGACGCCCTGCGCCAGCCAGACGGCCCCCCTCTCCTGTCGACCTCCGCCGCCGATCCCTCCTCCCCACTTCAACTCGACCACGACCACCGCCCCGGCATGGCTGCAGACGCCGCCAGCTCAGCTTCAGACAGCTCTATCAGCACGGTGTCCAGTGTCCTGCGCGGGTCCGTCCTCCTCTCGCTCGCCATTCACCCTGCCGGCGGAGCCTCCCTCGTCGTCAACCTCGAGCTGACCCTCCCTCCGCCCCCGCCCGCTCGACAGTCAGCAAGCCACGACAACGGTGACGACCAACAGGGGAGAAGGCGGGCGAGAAACGACCGAGACGTACGCCCGCTGTTCGCCTCGCCTCGTCGAGAGAGGTGCACCGCCCGCTCACACCTTTGTTCGCCCCTCCCGCGCAGCTTCACCCACGTCGGCGCCGCCAATGTCGACGCCGAGTACTCGTCCTCGACCGGCCACATCACGCTCCGACCCGTCGTGGCAAAGGGCGGTGACCCTCGCCGGATCCGCCTCGTCCGCTCGCGCCGCACCCACTTCGAGCCGCGCATCTCGCACTTCGACCGCCACAACAAGACGTCGGCCGAGGACACGTTCCGCGGCTTCTTCTCGCTCTTCTGGATCGTCATCGCCGTCGGCGGCACGAGGACCATCTACAACCGCGTCGCCGAGACGGGCGGTCTCCTCGGCGGGTGGCAGTTTGCGGCGCTCATCTCCGAGGACGCATGGGCTCTGGCGCTGAGCGATGCGGTCCTCGTCGGGTCGACGATACTCTGCGTCCCGTTCGTCAAGGTGCGTCCCCCCTTCTCTCTGTCTCTTGGATTCCCCCTCCCTCCCTCCCCTTCCTTCCTTCTCTACTGCCAGTCTACGTCCGCTCGGCGCCTCTCCTCCTCGGCCGTCTGCGTCACGCGTACTGACCTCGGTCTCTCGTCGTGCAGCTCATCGTCAACGGCTGGGTCCGGTACTACTACACGGGCCTCGTCCTCCAGCACCTCGCCCAGACGCTCTACCTCGGCATCGCCGTCCGATGGACGTTCCACCGTCACTGGCCCTGGGTCCAGAGCGGCTTCATGACGCTGCACGCCCTGAGCATGCTCATGAAGATCCACTCGTACTGCTCGCTCAACGGCGAGCTGTCCGAGCGCGTGCGGCAGCTCGAGAAGGACGAGCGCAAGCTGCACGAGGCGGTCGAGGAGCTTGGCGGCCAGGACGCGCTCGAGCGCGAGGGGCGCGTGGCGTGGGAGAAGGCGTGCGCCGAGGCGGCCGAGCAGAAGGCGGCCGAGGAGGCGGCAGGCGGTCGCGGCAAAGCTTCGGCGTCCTCGCTCGCCCCGCCGCCGGCGACAGGGCCGCAGCCCTCGTCCGACGAGGAGGCCGTCTCGACGACGCTCCGACAGCGACCGTCGGCCGCTCGCCGCCGCTCGCTCTCGCCGTCGGCCGCACGGACCCACGTCACGCCGCCGTCGCGCAAGGCCGAGCCGCACGACGTCGAGACGCTCACCTGGTCGCCCAACGAGCGCGTGTCGCACCTCGCCATCGCCATCTGCGAGGCACGCGAGGCCCTGTCGTCGAGCGGCGCCGCCAAGGTCTCGTTCCCGGACAACGTCACGGTCCTCAACTTTGTCGACTACCTTCTCGTCCCGACGCTCGTGTACGAGCTTGAGTACCCGAGGACCGACTCTATCCGACCCTTGTGCGTCCCACCTGTCTCTCTTTCCGCGAGCCGGGACCTGAGCGCTCGCCCTCGAAATCAGGACTGACTCGGACCGCCGCACGCGCAGGTACATCCTCGAGAAGACCCTCGCCACGTTCGGCACATTCTCGGTCCTCCTCCTCATCGTCGAGCACTTCATCTACCCGGTCATGCCCGGGCCCGACAGCTCGTTCATCTCGTCCCTCCTCGACCTCGCCCTCCCATTCACCATCTGCTACCTCCTCATCTTCTACATCATCTTCGAGGTCCGTCCCGCTTTCTCCTTAGTCGAGAGAGAGAAGGTGGCCCGAGACTGACTCTGGCTCTCCTCGCGCCCGCAGTGTATCTGCAACGCCTTCGCCGAGGTGAGCCGTCTCGCCTTCTCGTCGCCCCGCACTCCCTTCCTTCCGCGTTCTCGACCTCTCGACCTCTCGGACCCGACCTGACACCCTCGACGACGCACCCGCAGATCACGCGCTTCTCGGACCGGGCCTTCTACAGCGACTGGTGGAACTCGATCTCGTTCGACGAGTTCTCGCGCAAGTGGAACCGGCCCGTGCACACGTTCCTCCTGCGCCACGTGTACGCGACGACCATCTCGACCTACAAGCTCAGCAAGTTCTCGGCCGCCTTTGTCACGTTCCTCCTGAGCGCGCTCGTGCACGAGTGCGTCCCGGCTTCCTCCCTTTCCTCCCTCTCGCGCCCCTCCCTGACACGTTCTCGCCCGTTGCAGGCTCGTCATGGTAGTCGTGACGCACAAGATCCGCATGTATCTCTTTGTCCTCCAGGCGCGTCCCTCTCTCTCTCTTTCTCTCCTCGCCGCCTTCCCAAACTGACGGTCCCTCAACCCCTCTCGACGCGCAGATGGCGCAGCTCCCCCTCATCATGCTCGGCCGAGCAAGCATCTTCAAGCGTCACCCTGCGCTCGGCAACGTGAGTCCAGCATCGTCTCGCGCTCTCTCGAGAAGGCGAAACTGACTCGCCCGATCTTCGCCCGTCGCAGCTCTTCTTCTGGTTCGGCCTCTTGAGCGGTTTCCCTCTGCTAGCTGTAGCGTACCTCAAGTTCTAGAACCGGTCTCTCGGTGCAACGAGCCTCGTATTTGGCGTAACCGAGCGAGCGAGGAGAGCGGCGCACGAGAGCGAGAGGGTCGATGCAGATGAGGATGCAGTGCAAGGTATGGTACTCGACGCCGTCCAAGCCGTCTATGTGCAAGAGTTCCTGCCTCGTTCAGCGCTCCTTCCTCCCCTCTGTCGCCCGCGCCGCCCTCGCCGCCTGCGCCACCTCGTGCGACACCTTGCCCGGCGTCGTCCACCTCCCCGCGAGGTAGTTGCCCCGGATCACCAACAGGTCCCTCGCCATCCTGATCGAGTCGGTCACGACGTCGAGCTTGCTGCCGGGTACCTCGGTCCACCGGACGCCGACCTCGCGCAGCGGGACGCCGCACCGCTCGGCGACGAGGAGGAGCTCGCAGTCGAAGATCCATCCGGGGCTGTGCAACGACGGGTACAGGAGCTGGGCCGACGCTCGGGCGTGCAGCTTGAAGCCGCATTGCGTGTCGCGGATTGTCGACAGGCCGAGGAGCGACAGGTACAGGTGGAAGGAGCGCATGAGCAGGTTGCGCAGGGCCGAACGCTGCAGGGACGCACGGTGAAACGAGCGAGTCAGTACGCCGACTCGCTGTGAGAGCGCTCGAGAGGCAGGGAGAGAGAGAGAGCCGACGAGACGCACCTTGACGACAGCTTCCGAGTCGACCAGGTGCGCCCTCGACCCGACGACGAGCCCATGCGGCGCGCCTTTTGCCGTCGACGCCTGGGCCGCCTCGAGCGTGTCGAGCTCGTCCTCGAGCAGGGCGAGGTCGGGGAAGTGGGTCGCGCCGTCGGCGTCGACGAACAGGATGTGGTGCCCGCTCGCGTGGAGGACGCCCTGCGTGCACAGCAAGGAGCTCTGTCAGTCTGCGCCCTCCTGTATGAGGAGAGCGAGCTGAACGAGAGAAAGCGTGCGGACGCACGTGCTTGGTCGCGCCGCCCTTGCCCCGGTTGCGCACGAGCCGGCACACCTTGACGTTGCCCCTCTTTGCGCCGAACTCGCGCTCGACCTCGCCCGCGAGCTCGAGGGCGACGTCGCTCGTGCCGTCCTTGCTGCCGTCGTCGACGATGAGGACCTCGTAGCTGCCTCGCTCGACGCCGTCGGGCAGGAGACGAGGTGCGCGCTCGGCGAGGTCGCGCGTCTCGAGGAACTCGACGGCGGGGCGGAGCATGACGCTGAGGCGGTCGCGCTCATTATAGGCGGGGACGACAACGGTCAGGGCGACGGTTGCCGGCTGGTCGAGGCGGTGCAGCGGCTGCGGGGTCGAGGGCGAGGACGGGGTGAGGAAGGTGGCTTCCGAGGGCGAGGGCGTCGGGTCTCGGGGCGACCACAGGACGAGAAGGATGTAGGCCTGTGTGCGTGGATCATGTCAGTCGAGGACGCGGTTGCGGCTGCGAACGAGCGAGACGAGGCGGACCGAAGCGAGGAGCGCGACGAGGAGGCCGACGGCGACCGCGATGAGCGCGGGCATGGCTCAGGGTGCGTGCGACGGCGGATGCGCCGACGAGGAGCAGGACCGGGCAGCAGGTGCGGGCGAGCAGAGTGAGGACGAGAGCGAAACGCAGCGTTCCGCGCCGGGCGACGGCGTCGGCAAGAGGACCGCTCTCGAGGGGACAAGATGAGGGTGCAGATGGCACTGATTAATACTCGTAGCTCGACTAGTCCATCCAGTCGACCCGCATGAGGTTGTGCGAGAGGCCGGAAGGTTGGCCGGGTGCTCGAGACGCTTTGCCGCCCGCCTCGCCTCGCTCACACCACCAGAGCCTGCGCCGACCTGCCGTAAGCCTCGAGTGCTGCTGGCTACGCGCACCAGGCCAGCCCACGACCCGCCTGCCGATCCCGGCGAGCGCCGCCAAGCGCACCACCCTCGTCCTCCCCCGCGGCCACAACACGAGCCACCACGGCCCTCGCCTACACCTGCGACAGCGTGTAGCAGCCACGAGAACACTCGCACACTCGCACAACACCCGCACCGCCCTCATCGTCACCCTCCAGCCGCGACACGGCGCCGCTCCATTGCGCGCCTCTCCCCTTCCGCGACCACGCCCCTTCGACCTCGCTCAACCCCCTCGAGGCGACTAGGGCCCTTCCGCCGGTGCGGGACATGCCCTCCTCGCGACAGCCCGACCCGGCTACTCGCCACCTCGGCCCCTCGCCGCCAGATGGCCCTAGCGGAGGGTCCTCTGCGCCCGCGCCCCTTCCTCCACCGCCATCGTCGCTCCCCTCGCCCTTGTCCTCCTCGCCCACCCGCTACGCCGACAGCACCGACTACCTCCCGACCCACACCGGCCAGCACGGCTGGCGTCAGCCGCCACGCGGTGGCAGCGGCAGCAGCGCCGCCAGCTCCGCAGCACCGCCGCCGCCTCGCGCCCCGTCGAGCACTCGAGGCTTGTCGCCCGCACGCCGCGGCTCGTCCGGCGAGTCGGACTCTGCCGTCAGGCCGCCGTCGCTGTCGTCGCCCGACGAGCCCGTCCGGCGAGGGAGCGCGCCCTCGAGCCGCCAGGCGAGCGGCGACCGCGGCGCTCGAGGTCACGCGCTCGAGGGCACCGAGCCTGGGCTCGCGGGACGAGGCGCAGGTGGCACCGGGCTCGGCAGGGGCAACCGCCTCCCCGTGCTCAACACGCACATGTTGCCGAGCGGCGCCGGCGGCCTCTTGTCGCCGACGGCGTCGGTACACGGTGGCGCGTCGTCCAACAGCGACCGCCGCTCGACGCACCTCGCCCACCCGCAGCCCCTTCGCCAGCACCCTCTCGCCTCGCCGACGACCGAGGGCCGGCCCCAGCTCCCGCGCTCGCCGTCGCACCAGAACGCCCGCGCCACCCCGTCGCCGACTTTCCCTCCCTCGCACTCGAACTCGACCCTCTCGTCGCACTCGCACTCGCACTCGCACTCGTTCTTCCCCACCTCTCGCTCTCCGACCGTCCCCGGCTTCCCCAAGTCGATCTCGTCGTCGTCGTCGTCGAACGCGCACGGCGGGCCGTCAGGCTCGTCCGCCAACACGAGCCCGTTCATCATGCACCCGCCGTCGCGCCCGGCCTCGTCGTCGTCGCACTCGCACGACCCGCGCGAGCGCGAGCGCAACGGGTACGGCGGGCCACCGAGCGCCGCGAGCGGCTCGCGCTCGAGGGGCAACTCGGCCGCGAGCAGCAACGACGGGACCGGGCGCGAGGTGACGAGGAGCAAGCGCAGCGAGCGAGGGCCGCCGGCAACGTGCGCCAAGTGCGCCTTGCCCATGACGGGCCAGTTCGTGCGCGCGCTCGGGACCGTGTACCACCTCGACTGCTTCCGGTGCCAGGTGCGTCCTCGGTCTCTCCTCTGCGCGCTCGGCAATCCGCGTCTCGTACATGACTCAAAGCGCTCCGTCCTGATGCCCGACTTTTACCCCTCTCGCAGGACTGCAGCAAGGTCGTCGCCGCCAAGTTCTTCCCGATCGACTCGCCCGACGGCGGCGGGCGGCAGGTCCCGCTTTGCGAGACCGACTACTTCCGCCGACTCGGCCTGCTGTGCCACAAGTGCGGCCAAGCGTTGCGAGGGAGCTACATCACGGCGCTCGGTGCGTCAACCTCGTCCTCCTCCTCTTTGTCTCTCCTCCCCGAGGCAGACTCGCCTGACCCTCCTCTTGCGCCCTCTTTCTCGCCGCCGCAGACATGAAGTTCCACGTCGAGCACTTCACCTGCTCGGTATGTCCCACCGTGTTCGGCCCGCAGGACTCGTACTACGAGCACGCCGGGTCGGTCTACTGCCACTTCCACTACTCGACCCGGTTCGCCGTCAAGTGCACTGGGTGCCGCACCGCCATCCTCAAGCAGTTCGTCGAGATCAACCGCAACTCGATCGACGAGCACTGGCACCCCGAGTGCTACATGATCCACAAGGTGCGCTCGCTCCCCCTCGTTCCCCTCCTCGTCCCGCCGCACACAGGCTCACCCTCGCCTCGTCTCGCCCTCGCAGTTCTGGAACCTCAAGCTCGCACCAACACCAAAGCTCGTCGAGCGACCACCTTCAGCCGCCGACCTTGCCGACCCGGCCTCGTCGTCCGCCTCGTCCTCACCCGCCATCGCGCCAGCGCCCGCCACCGCCACGTCGGCCTCGTCGACCGAGCCGCCCGAGTACCTCGCCGTCGAGGAGGTCGAGACGCCGTCGTCGCTCAAGGCGCGGCAGCGCCACATGGAGGAGCAGGTGTACCGCATCTGGACGATCCTGAGCGCTTTCGAGGAGAGCTCGGCGGCGTGCATCTCGGAGATGCTGCGGCACGTGTCGAGCGGCCACTACATGGAGGGCGTCGGCATGGCCGAGAAGTTTGTCCTGCACGTCGAGACGCTCTTTGCCGCCATCGACGACCTCAACGCTGCGTTCCGGGCCGCAGGCGCCAAGGGTCCGTCCTCTCTTCTCTTCTTCCCTCTCCTTTTCGGCGACACGAGCGAAGCATGACGACTGACTCCCTGCCCGCTTCGCAGAGATGTCGCACGTGCGCGAGGCGCGCATGCTGTGCAAGAAGGTCGTCAACTTCTTCATGCTCCTGTCGCACACGCACGAGACGGGCGCGCGCAAGATGTCGATCACGCAGGAGCTCCTGTCGCTCGTCACGGGCCTCGCGCACTACCTCAAGATCCTCATCCGCATCGCCCTCACGGGCAGCCTCAAGCTCGAGCGCGAGCACGGCAACGGCCAGGCCATCGGCCTCTTCCTCGGCCGCCTCGACCGCCTCGCGCGTGACCCCGAGGCCAACAAGATCTCGGCGACGGTCGCCGCGTTGGTCAAGAACGGCGCGTCGTCGGCTCGGCGAGGCGGCGGACTTGCCGCAGCAGCCGCATCATCGACGTCGCTCGACGCCCCGAGCCGCAAGGACTCGGCCCAGTCGGCGTCGTCCGGCAGCAGCGAGGGCGCCGCAGGAGAGGGCGTCGTCGACTCGTCGTCGCCGTCGTCGCCGAGCGGCACCCTCGCTCGCCCGACGTACGGATACAAGTCGCTCGCGCGCGTCGTCGGGACCCTCATTGGGCAGGGCGAGGCGACGACCGACCTGTGCGAGGGCTGCCGCCTCACGGTTGAGGAGGAGTGCGCGCGCCTCGGCACGTCGGTGCGGTGGCACTTGCCCTGCTTGCGCTGCCCGCACTGCCACCGCTGCGCGTCCAAGGACGAGGTCGTCCCGGACCCGCACGACGAGGTGTCGGTCGCCGACTTTGTCTGGGTCGACGGCGCAGGCGACGAGGCACTCGGCGCCGCCTTCTGCCGCGAATGCGCCTCGCGCGAGCGCGGCGGCAGCCTCGAGGGGACGGCCGGCCCGGGCCAGTTCGCCTACGTCACGCGCCTCGAGCAGTACGCGTTCCTCCTGTGCGTTGCGCTCAACAAGCTGTTCGGCCGCCTCAAGCAGCGCGGCGTCGTCGGCGGGCAGGTCGGCGCGGCGGCCGTTGACGAGGCGTCGGACGAGGCGAGGTCGCTCTCGGACGCCTACCGCGACTCGACCGACATCAAGCGCATGAAGAGCGTGCAGCTCGACCGCAAGCTGTCGGCGACGCAGGCGCGCACGCCCATGCGCTCGACGGTCGTCCAGTCGCCGGCGGGCCGAACCGCGACGAGCGACGCGACGACCGACTCGACGTTCACCCTGTTCCAGACCAAGCCGCCCGTCCCGTCGCGCAAGGACCAGCCGCTCGTCGACCCGGTCCGGGGCACGACCATCCCGCGCAACCAGGTCCGCGAGGTCGTCCCGCCGTCGTCGAGCGGCGCCCCGTCGGCCAAGTCGACGACGCCGACCAACCTCTCGGTCGTCACGACCCCAACCGCCGCCTCGCACGCCGACCGCGACCGCGACCGCACCGCGTCGCCTACTGTCGCCGTCGGCCCTCGCCCCGCCTTCCACCGCAAGACGACCGCCGTGCGCATCGTCGACGACCCGGTCGCCGGCGGCGTGCGCGAGCCCGACGGCCTCGGTGGGTCGTCCGAGCCGACGCAGGACGAGGAGGGCCTCACGCTCGCCGACCTGCCCAAGGCGCTCGAGGCCGAGCAGCGCCGCAGCGACCCGTCGCGGCCGTCGCCTCCTCCGGCGTCGCTCGGCACGATCGCGTTCGTCGGCGACCGCGGCGGCTTTGTCGGCGCGCCGCCTGCCGCACTGTCACTCGGCCCCAAGCTCCTGAGCGAGCTGTCGGCCCTCGAGTACTTTATCGTCAAGCACGTCGCCGCCGTCCTCCTCTCGAGCGAGTCGAGCGCCCTGCGCGACGCGGCGCCGCTCGACGAGCTCCTCGAGATGATCGACGCGAGGAAGAACACGTTCTGGGGCAAGCTGTTCAAGGGCGGGCAGGAGAAGAAGAGCGTCAAGAAGAAGGGTGCGTCCTCGGCTCCCCTACCCACCTCCTTCTCACCGTGCGCGACTGACTCTTCCCTCCCTCGTCGCTCCCAGGCGTGTTCGGCATCCCTCTCGAGATCCTCGTCGAGCGCAACGGCGCCGACTCGATGCACGGTGCCGGGCCCGGCTCGCTGCGCATCCCGAGCTTTGTCGACGACGTGATCTCGGCCATGAAGCAGATGGGTACGTCCTCGTCCCCATCCTCTTTCTTCGTCCCTCGACGAGTCACTGAACTCTCTCACCTGCGCAGACATGTCGATCGAGGGCATCTTCCGCAAGAACGGCAACATCCGCCGGCTCAAGGACCTGACCGAGGCGCTCGACCGCGACTCGGGCTCGGTCAACCTGTCGGACGACAATCCGGTCCAGCTCGCCGCCCTGCTCAAGAAGTTCCTGCGCGATCTGCCCGACCCGCTCATGACGTTCAAGCTGTTCCACCTCTTCATCGCTGCGCAGCGTGCGTCGCCCCGTCCTCCTCGGCCTTCTTCTCTCCTCGTCGCACCTCGGTCACTAACTCGTTCCTCGTCCCGCAGGTGTCGACAACGAGGACGAGCGCAAGCGCATGATGCACTACGTGTGCTGCCTCATGCCCAAGCCGCACCGCGACACGATGGAGGTCCTGTTCGTCTTCCTCAAGTGGGTCGCGTCCTTCTCGCACGTCGACGAGGAGACCGGGTCCAAGATGGACCTGCAGAACCTCGCCACCGTCATCAGCCCCAACATCCTGTACGCCAAGGGCAAGGACCCGGCTCGCGACGAGAGCTTCTCGGCCGCGCGCGTCGTCCACGAGCTTCTCGAGCTCCAGGACGAGTTCTGGGAGGTGCGCTCCCCTCTCTCTCTCCCTCTTTCTCTCTCTTCCCGGACCCGAGACTGACTCGTCGTACTCCACCAGGTGCCCGCCGAGTGCCTGTCGATCCTCAACGACCAGGAGCTGTTCGCCAACCCGTCGCAACTCACGTCCAAGGAGATCCTCGCGCGCGCCGAGAACCACATCCGCCTCTTCGGTCGCGGTACGGGCTTCAGGGTGTCGAGGGGCGAGGCGAGCCCGCCGAGGCGACCAGGACTGCAAGGTGCGTCCGCCAAGACCGTCGTCCTCGCCGCCTTCCCAACCTGACCCTTCCCTTCTTTCCGCAGAGGCTTGGTCGGCCCCAGTCGTCCCCGGCGGTCTCCCGAGCGGCTCTCGACCTCTCTCGACGTCGGTGTCGCCGTCGCAGCTCCTGCGCTCGCCCGAACGACCCGTCGCCTTCGCCAACCCGCAGCAGGCGAGCGGTCCGGTCCCGCCGCATCCCGCCGGCCTTCCTCAGCCTCGCCCCGGCGCCGGCAACTCGTCCTGGCTCCCCGGTCCGCCGCACCCGGGTCGGTTCGACGAGTCGTCGCGTCGCGGCAGCTCGGAGGGAACCGCCTACCGGCCCTCGAACGACCATGGGCCGCACTCGCAGCCGCCGTCGCACGCCTCCTCGCCGCAACACCGCGGTCACGCACACACGCCGTCGACGCACCCGTACCAGTAAGGCGACGCCGTCACTCGATCGTCGCCGTCGACGCGCCCTGCCTTGGTTCCCCTCCCTCTCGACCTCGCCCGCTCCATCACGATCCTCCCCCGCAACGACTCGTTCCTCTTCCTCCTCTCGCCCCTGATGCCCACTATCTATTCCCGTTGTCGTCGCACGAGATACCCCCCCTTTCGCCTCGCCGGCCGCGGCCCTCGGACCTCTCCTCCCCCTCATCATCATCGTCGAGCGAGCGTGCACCTCGCCGCCCTCCACCTCCACCATCGTTGATCGACCTGCAACGCACTAGTTTCTCTCGATTCATGTGAGCGCGGCGAGAGCTTGAGAGGGCCTGTGACATCGCCTCATCGGAATTCGAAAGTCGTCCAGGCGCGCGTCGTCTCGCGGTTGCGCCGGCCGTAGCGTCCCTCGCTCCTCTCGCGCACCGCTCTTGCTGCTGTCCGACCTGCCAGACCGCCTCGACTCGCCACCAGCACCGCCCAGAGCCGCCGACTACGACCGGTTCGTCCCTCCTCGCCTTTCCACCTCGTGTTGGTCGCACCGAGGGGAGCACTCACACTGACCTCAGGTCCATCCGCAGCTGCGACCAAGCCTTGTGCACGCTCTACACGCCCGTCCTGCGCACCCGATCGCACCACCAGTCCCCCTGCGTCCCACCCCTCGAGCCTCGACGACGACATCGCCTCGTCCGCTTCCTCTAGCGGCGGTCTCGCGCCATGAAGTTCGCGCAGTACCTCAACTCGCACGCGATAGATGAATGGAGGCGGGCCTACATCCAGGTGAGCCCTTGCGCCCAAGCTCCTCTCGTTCCCCTTGAGCTCGCAGCGCTGACCCTCCCCTCGCGAGCCTGCAGTACCGACAGCTCAAGAAGCAGATCGGCCGCGCGACCGATGAGCTCGTCGACATCGACGACGGCGGCACGGGCGACGTGAGCAGCGGCGACGCGGGCAAGAGCGTACCAGGAGCTCACGCCATCGCCGCCGAGCGCGAGCGAGCAGCGCGCGTGCGCGAGTCGCAGTTCCGCCAGAGCGGTTCGGCAGTACCCGGAGCGCGCGAGCCGGGAGGAGGAGCCGTGCACGACCTGGTGGACGACGACCGGGACCTCGAGCGAGGAGGTGGGACCGACCACGAGGCGCGGCCTGTACCTGTGCGCTCGCTCAGCGAGCACAAGGCCGACCCGGCCAAGGCGCCGACGCCTGCACCTACGGCGACCTCGCCGCTCCACTCGCCCGGCCTGTCGGTCATGTCGTCCTCGGCCGGCGAGCGCAACTCGGACGACACCAACAACAGCCGCCAGCCCATCGTCCGCCTCGAGCCGCACGCCTCGCGCTCGTCGACCAAGGCCGCCGAGCGTGACGACAGCTCGACGGGCCTCCCGCACCCGTTCAGCCGCAAGCCGTCGTCTGGGCGCGACGCCATCGCCGGCCGGCCCGCCGACTCGAGGCGCAAGTGGCGCGAGGGCTTCTCGGGCAGCATGGAGCTCGACGAGGTCATCGACAAGTGCCCGCTCCAGTCGAGGCGGTTCTTTGCGCTCCTCGACCGCGAGCTCGAGCGGGTGTGCGGGTTCTACGCCGACCGCGAGGCCGAGGCGTCCAAGCGGTACGAGGAGTTGAGCGCGCAGTGGCGCGAGCTAGCGAGTGCGTCCTCTTTCCTCCCCTTTCTCGAACGTCAAAGATGGATCCTGACACGCCGCCTTTTGCGCGCAGTCCACAAGAAGGAGTTCCAGGCGTTCAAGGAGCGCGAGCTGCACCCGCCCGCCTTCGTCACCTCGCTCTTCCCCAAGAACCAGCACATCTCGCACATCCCGGGCACGCAGATGGTCCGCCGCACGCTCGCGCACCGCAAGCAGCAGGCCAAGGACGCCGAGGAGGCCGAGGACGGTCCGCCGCGTCGGCGGCGTCTCTCGGACGAAGGCGACGAGGAGCGAGACGGCGACGCAGAAGGAGAAGGAGCCGATGCGGACGACGAGGGGGTCGAGGTGGCCAAGCAGGTGTATCGGCATCGGCGGCCCGAGGAGTACACGAACGCCCGGAGCAAGCTCAAGCTCGCGAGTGCGTCGCTCGTTCCCCTACTCGCCTCCCTATCGCGTCCAGCACTGACTCTCTCTCTTTCTCCCTCGCAGCCATCGAGTTCTATCGTCTTCTCGGCATGCTCAAGAGCTATCGCCTCTTGAACCGGACCGGCTTCTCCAAGGTGCGCTGCCAGTTCCCCCTCGAGCACAGCTCCTCGACCGTCTCGAGCGCGCTCTGACCCTGTCTTTCACCCTCGAGCAGGCCCTCAAGAAGTTCGAGAAGGCGACGGGCATCCCGTGCAGCGCCAAGTACTCGGAGAAGGTCGAGAAGGCCAACTTTGTCGCGTCGACCCGGCTCGACGACCTCATTCGCGAGACTGAGACCGCCTTCGCCAACGTGTTCGAGCGAGGCGACCGCAAAAAGGCGTACGTCCTCTCTCCCTCTCTCCTTCAGGCGACGGTGTCACTGACATTCGCACCCTGAACAGGCTCGAGCGGCTGCGCGACTTTGGCGCCAAGAAGCACCACCACTTCTCGACTTGGCGAGCAGGTCTCCTCATGGGCGCCTCTCTACCTCTCGTGGTCGAGGGCATCGTGCTCAGTGCGTCCCTTCTGTCCCTCGCCGTCGTCGTGCGCCGAGAGCCGAGACTGAAACCCTTCCTCCCTGCCAGGCTTCAAGGCGTCGACCCGCAGCGAGATCCCGTATTGGCCGGCACTTCTGCAGCTTTTCGCAGCGTGCTTCATCCCCGTATTCTTCTGCCTCGCCTTCTTCCTCAACCTCGCGACCTGGAGCAAGGCCCGGATCAAGTGCGTTCTCCCTTTCTCGTCCTCCCTTCTCCCCGTCCTTAACACGACCTGACTCTACCTCGTGCGCCTGCAGCTACGTCCTCATCTTCGAGCTCGACGTGCGCAACCGCCTCGACTACCACCAGTACCTCGAGATCCCGGCCCTCCTGTGGTTTATTTTGTCGCTCTTCTTCTGGGCCTCTTTCAGCAACTTCTGGCCGGACCAGATCACGCCGTCGGCGTACCCTCTCGCGTGGCTCGTCGTCATGCTCGCCATCATGTTGAACCCGTTCCCCGTCTTCTACGCGTCGGCGCGGTGGTGGATGTTGCGCTCCTTCTGTCGCATGATCACCTCGGGCCTCGTCGCCGTTGAGTACGTCCACTTTTCTCTCCTCCTCGCCCTCGTCAACTTGAACTGACTCGCCCGCACCCGCAGGTTCCGTGACTTCTTCCTCGGCGACGAGATGAACTCGCTCTACTACTCGGTCCGTCCTCTTCTTCCTCCTCCCGCTCTCGCTCGACGACACGCCTGACGCCCTCGCCCTGCAGGTCTACAACCTCGGCTTCCTGTACTGCACCTACAGCCATCGATGGCCCGACGACGTCTTCAGCACATGCTCGACCAACAGCACCTGGACGACCGCCGTCCTGTCGTCGCTGCCACCCTTCTTCCGTCTTGGCCAGAGTATCCGCCGCTACATCGACTCGGACGGCATGTAGTGCGTCCCCCTCTCTCTCCCTCTCACCTGCGTCCCCTCGAGGTCGACGTCGAGCTGACCTTGCGCCCTTTCGACAGCCTCCACCTACTAAACGGCGGAAAATACCTCGTCACGATCAGCTATTTCACGGCGTACTACTCGTGGCGCATCCACGAGCACGCCGGCGACAACGTGCCCTGGCGCCTCGCCCTCTTCATCATCTTCGCGACGTGCAACACGCTGTACACGTCGACTTGGGGTGCGTCGAACGCCTTTCTCCCTCGTCTCTGCCTCGCGTTCTCCTTCCTGACGCACGCTCGAGATGCGCAGACATCTACATGGACTGGTCCCTTGGCCACCGCGACGTCAAGGACCGCAAGCACTTCCTCCTTCGCAACGAGCTCGCCTACTTCAAGGACTCGCCGTGGGTCTATTACTTCGCCGCCGTCGCCAACGTCCTCATGCGCTTCCAGTGGGTCATCTACTTCTCGCCGCACCCGTCGACGCCGGTCCAGGGCTTCATCATCGCCGTCATCGAGGCGGCGAGGCGCATCATGTGGAACACGCTCCGAGTCGAGGCTGAGCACGTTGGCAACCGTGCGTCCTCGTCCCCTTCCTCTCGTCGTCCTCCTTCATCTCTCCCTTCCGACGAGCCGGGCCTGACTGACCCGTTCCTCCCGCAGGCGACGGCTACCGGGTCACGCGCGAGGTCGGCTTGCCGTGCGTCCTCTGTTCCTCCTTCTCTTCCTCAACCTCTCTCCCTGTTGCCTCGGTAGGTCGTCGACGACACGAGCACGTACTGACCTCGTTCTTCTCCCAATCGCAGGTACGTCACGGCTTCTTCGCCCGAGGCAGGCGGTTCGACCGTGGACGACACCGACGACGGCGACGTTCGCCTCGGGCCGCAGAAGCGCTTCTTCGTCGCCCTGCACGCTCTACACCGCTCGATCTCGCGCAACTTCCAGCCCGTCCTCGACGCCGTGTGGAGCCCGCCGCTCATCGGCCTCGGTCGGCACCAGGACCCGGTCGAGCGAGAGCGCACCGAGGTCGAGGAGCAGGAGCACGAGGCGAGCCGTGATCAGCGGCGTGGGGGCGAGAAGCGCCTGGGACGGAGCCGCACGGGCAGCGCGTCGGCCGCGAGGAGGCGGCGGCGCCCGCACGGGCTCGACGACTCGAGCGACCCGAGCGAGACGGGCGAGACGGGCGACGAGTCGGCTTCGGGCTATCCCAAGTCGCCTTCGATCGATGCTCGTCGTCGCCGAGCTGGTGCGGGCGCACGCGCCGAGCGTCAGAGCGATGGCGGCGAGGGCAGCGGCGGCACGGGCGACCTCGGCGAGAGCGCCCTGACGGCGCCCGCTCGTCGCAAGGTGCGCATGGCGGCGACGACGACGCACGACTCGGAGGACGAGGCGGGCGAGATGCGGCAGGACGAGAGCGATCCGGACGAGGTGGACGCCGACCGAGAGCTCGAGCAGGGCATGCACGAGGTCGAGGCGATGGCCAAGGCGGCGGAACAGCGGATGTAGAGCCTTGTCTTAGATTCATATGTATCACACGCTGTCGCATCGGCTCGTGTCCGACGTGCATGCCGTCGTTGCCGTCGCTGCTCTCCTTCCTTCTCTCCTCGAGGACGAGGTCGGGGAGCCAGAACGCTCTTCCTGTCTGCGCTCTGTTTCGTTTGCCGTCTCTGCAGACGTCTGCGAGTGCCGTCTGAGCGAGAGAATGCGCCGTCGCAGCTGTAAACACGGCAATCGCCCTCCTCCGCCTCCTCGAGTTGCTCTCGAGGTCGATTGTCGCGTTTCTCCTTTGCTGTCGCATGCTGTGCTATTCTTTTTTTTCTTATAAAACTTAAAACCTTAGAGGCTATTTAAGTTGCTGATTTATATTAATTTTATTGTTCAAACATGAGAGCTTAGTACGTGAAACATGAGAGCTTAGTACGTTAGCCATGAGAGCTTAGTACGTTAGCCATGAGGGTTTAGTTCGTTAATCGCAGGGCACCGCGAGTATCTTCGAGAGAGGTCCTCGGTCTCGCTGCACCGTCACGAGTGACCGCGCTGCAGACTCTGAAGCGAGCGCGTCCGCAGCGATCCGCTCGCTTGGACCGCGTCGTGCTGCATCGACCTGCCAGCTCCTCGGGCTCGCAAGACGCAGAGTTCTCGTATCGCTCGACGAAGCTGTCCAGGCTCCTTCACGAGCACCGACAGGAGCAGGGTATGTCGAGAGGCGACGAGGCGAGTTGAAGCGGGGCGTGCGCGCGCCGGTTTCTCGCCTCTCTCGGCGGCACATTTCTCTGCGGACGCTTCCTTTGGCTCAGACGTGCTCCAAAACATGTTCGACACGTTGGCACGCTTCGCAGGTCCTCCCGCCCCGTGAGCGGAGCGGGGCGAGCGAAGAGGTGCGTCTCGCTCGTCGTCAACTGCGTCGGACCCGCGCACGCTCGTCGACAAGTCGACACTGCTCTTCATCGCTCATCGACTAGCTGATCCTCGTGGCTCAAAGCGAGGCTGAGAGGGCACTCGAGTCGGGAGAGAGGTCCGTGCGCGAGCCAACGGATCTGTCGCTTTCGGATGCTCGACTCGTCGGCGAGCCAGCGGGTTTCTCTGTGCCCTCGCAGACCGACAAGGTGCAGCACAAAGACTGCGTTGCGCTCGGGACACCTCAAAAAAGGACCGACTGGCCGACCCACCGATTTCCTCCCTATCCTCGCTCCGCTCCCTGCTCGCCCGCCAAGTCGCCGTGAGCGCGCCCCCGCCGTGTTGCGCCGTGCCGGTCGTCGCACCGTCGAGTGCATGAGAAAGATTGGTGCGCCTCTCCTTGAGGTGACGAGCCAGAGAGGGCGGTGACGAGGGGACGACGATGACGACGGCGGGACGAGGACGGCGGTGGCGGTTGGCGACAGGCGAGGAGGGCGAGGGCGAGGTAGAGGCGATGTGGGAGGAAGAGAGGTAAGGGAAGGTCGAGGGCGGCCAGGGCCAAAAACTGGTGGCGAGCGCGAGGGAAGGACGAGGTCGCCGAGTTGAATCGACGGTGAGGGGGATGGCTATGAGAGGAGGCGGATGCCGAGGATAGGTAGAGATGGGATGGCGAGAGGAGAGGATGGGACGAAGAGAAAGGGCGAGAGGCGGGCGAGGGAGAGAGGGAGGGACGACGGAGGGGGAACGAGCGCGATGGGCGACGACGCGGCGGGCGAAAAGGGGTGCGACAATGACAACGACGACGACGAAAGCGAAGAGGTGAAGGTGGTGGGGAAAAGGGCGAGGGCGGCTGGGAAGAGGTGTACAGCGCCGCACCTCGAGGGAGGAAAAGGGAGGAAGGACGGTCGCGCCCGAGATGCGCGCTCATCGACTCGGCGCTCGCTCGCTCGCTCGCTCATCGGCGCGCAGCACCGCCCTGCTGCTGCTGCTGCTGCGCGAGGTACTGCTGCTGCTGCGCGAGCATGGCCTGCTGCTGCGCCTGGTACTGCGCCATGAGGTGCGGCGGGATCTGCTGCTGCTGGCCCTGCGGCGCGCCGTAGCCCTGCGGCGCACGCTGCTGCTGCGGGTAGCCGCCGTAGTACGGCTGCTGCTGGGGCGGCGGCGCCTGCTGGTACGCCGGCTGCTGCTGCTGCTGGCCGCGCTGCTGCTGCTGCTGCGGCTGCTGCTGAGCCGGCGCCGGTGCGGAAGGCGCCTGCGCCTGCGGTTGCGGGGCAGCAGCGGCGGCGACAGGGGCAGGAGCGGCGGCGACCTGGCGCTGCTGCGGCGCCTGCATGCCGTGCCCGCCGACGCCGGCCGGGCGGCTCTTCTGGCCCTGGGCGGCGGCCGCCTGGGCCTCCTTGACCTCGTCCTCGGTCCCGGGCGCGACGTACAGGCTGCGGTCGATGACGGGCGGGATGGGCTGGATCTCGGTGCCGAGCTCCTGCTCGATGCGGTACAGGTTGAACCGGTCGTCGAACGTGATGAGGTTGATGGCGAGGCCGAGGTGGCCGTACCGACCCGAGCGACCGATGCGGTGCAGGTACGTCTCAGCGTTCTTGGGGAAGTCGAAGTTGATGACGACGTTGACGGCCTGGATGTCGATACCGCGCGTGAGGAGGTCTGTCGGCGAGGGGCAAAGGTGAGTCAGTCAGGGAGAACGAGGTTGGGCGAACGACGATGAGGGGGACGGACCGGAGCAGACGAGGTTCCTGCACACGCCGTTGCGGAAGTCGTGGAAGACGCGGTTGCGGTGCGCCTGGAGCATGCGCGCGTGCGAGTAGAAGCACGAGTAGCCGAGCTCGGTGATCTTCTTGGCGAGGAGCTCGACGCGGTTGGTCGAGTTGCAGAAGATGATCGACTGGTTGATTTGGAGCTGCGAGAGGGGAGCGAGAGAGTCAGGCTCGGTGGCTCGGGCGCGAGAAGAAACGGGAGAAGAGGTCGACGCACCTTCGAGAAGAGGGTGTTCAGGCAGTGGACCTTCTGGCGCTCCTCGAGGAAGGCGTAGTACTGGGTGACACCGCGCAGGGTGAGCTCGTCCATGAGGTTGATCTCGTACGGCTTGCGCATCCACTTGTCCTGCGAGCGTGCGAGGGCGAGGGTGAGCTTTCCCGCTCGGACCCGCCGGCGGCGACGAGAGGGAGAGAGAGAACGAGGCGGGACGCACCTTGAAGTCCTTGACGATGAGGGGGAACGTGGCCGAGAAGAGCATGACCTGGCGCTCCTTGGGCATGAACGACAGGAGCTGCTCGATGACGGGCGTGAACTCTGGCGACAAGAGCTTGTCGGCCTCGTCCATGACGAACATGGGGCACTCGCTCAGGTCGGCGATGCCCTTGCCGGCGAGGTCGAGGATGCGGCCGGGCGTGCCGACGAGGATGTGGACCTCCTCGCCGAGGCGCAGGATGTCGTCGCGCAGGGTGGTGCCGCCCGTCGTCACCATGATGTTGGCGCCCGTGTGCTTGCCGAGCGTCTTGCACACCTGCGACGTCTGGAGCGCGAGCTCACGGGTCGGGACGAGGAGGAGCGCCTGGATCTTGGGCACCTTGGGGTTGACGCGCTCGAGCGTCGGGATGATGAACGCGGCCGTCTTGCCCGTGCCGTTCTTGGCGCGCGCGAGGATGTCGCGCCCGGTGAGGGCGATCGGGATGGCCTCCTCCTGGATGGGCGACGGCCGCTCGAACTGTGTGCGCGGCGAGGGGGCAGGCGTGAGCGGGTGCGTCGGAGAGGTCGTCGACACAGTGGGCGCGAGAGACGCACGCCGGCCTCGAAGATGCCCATGAGGAGCTCGCGCTTGAGGAAGTAGTCCTCGAACTCGTTGCCCTTGGTCGCCGTGACGTCCTGCGGTGCGTAGAGGCCAAGGTGAGCTCGCCAGTCGTCGGGCTCGAGAGAGCGGGAGACGCACCTCGGTTTGCGGGCGAGCGTCCTTCTTGGGGAGGTTGAGCGTCTTCTTCCAGTCGTCGGGACCGGGTGCGGGTGCGCTCTTGGCGCCGGAGGAGGAGGTGGATGGTGCCGACATGGTGGGCGAAGGCGGGGAGGTCGGAAGGTGGAAGCGCTGCGACGAGGGCGCTGGGCCGGGCGAGGGTGGTGTGCCGGGCCGGTCGAGAGGTGCAGTAGGGCCGCTAGTCGGGGTCGTAAAGGCGCCTGGTGGTCGAAGCGGGCGCGGGTGGTCGAGGGGGGAGAGGGGCGACGGGAAGTTGCCTCGAGGAGCTTGGGGACGGCGCGGCTGTGGTGGAGACGCCGAGAGGAGAGGGTTGTGGGGCTGCTGAGCTCGATAGAGCCAATGAGAGCAGCGCTAGGGCGAGAGAGAGACGAGGCGGGAGATGGGGAGCAGAGCGACGACGAGCGGGCGACTTGGGCGCGAAAGGACGAGTCCCCTCGTCTCGCCAGCCTCTCTCGGACGCTCTCCTGAAGTGGAGCTCAATCTCTTGACAGCTCGCTCTCGATCCAGGGCTGGGCACGAACGCATTGATCTTACAGCACAGCACGCCCTCTCCCTCCTCGTCGCCTCTTCGCTCGAGCCGACGCCCTACTCGGCCTTCTTCTCGGTGCGCCACGCCTTCTTGATCAGCTCGGTGAGGCCTGCGAGGTGGTGCGGGGTGCAACGTGTCAGGCGCGCCCAGCCAAGCAGCGGCAGGACGAGCCTTTATCGACGGCTCATCCCGGCGCAACCCGTCGACGCCAGGCCACCGTTGAGAGGGAGAGCGACGACGCACCGATGTCGTTGGTCTCGAACTGGTAGATGCCGACGAGGACACCGACAGTCGCCGTGCGCAGGAGCCAGGTCGCGATCGTGCCGAGGATGGGGAACTTGCGCGGGTGCAGGTAGTCGGTCAGGATGTTGTCGAAGCCCTGTGCGAGAGAATCGTGTCAATACTCGAGCGCGGGGCAGTCGACGGCAGCCCTTGCACCTCGAGCGAGCGCACGAGGGCAGGGCGGCGAGAGGGCAACGAGCGGGCGACGGACCATGTGCGAGTGGGCGACGAGGGCGGTGCACAGGACGCCGTCGAGGACCGGGTTGACGGACGAGACGGCCGTGGCGCCGATGAGCGGGACGAGCGAGACGCTGAGGAGGCGCTCGAAGGTCCAGTGGTACTGGCCGTGCGCCTTGTTGGGCGCCGGGAACGGGGTCGGGTCGTTGACGGTGCCCTCGACGTCTGCGGGTGAGGGCTTGCAGGTGGTCAGTGACGGTGCTTCGAGTGCGGGCGGGTCGACGAGAGCGAGGCCGGGGACTGACAAGCTGCGAGGGAGAGAAGGACGAGGGTCAGTTGGCGGCGGTGCGGGACGACAAGGGGGGAGGGAGGGGGACGCACGCTTGGCAGCAGCGCTCTGAGCGGCGGCGAGTGGCCGGGCTGTGTGTGGGCGGGGGGGCGAGGGTGAGCGTGTGAGCGATGAGCCGCGGTCGGGAGCGATCGCGAGAGGAGGAGGGGGGAGGGTGCCGAGGACGAGGGCGCACCAGAGTGGAACGAGCGGGTGGCGAGCTGGCGGACGGCCGAGGTGCGGAGGGCGGGCATGACCATGGCGGGCGAGCTGGTGCTGTCGAGAGGGGACGGAGCCGGAGAGAGGCGGCGACGACAAGGCGACGAGGGCCAACCACCGCACCGGAGAAGCGCACCGCCCTCTGCAGCCTCTGGGTGGGTCTACTGCTGGCCTGCACGGCTAGGTAGACTCTGATAAGGCTTGACACGCCTGCCAAACTAGACTCGGCGAGCGACGCCGCCTGGCCAAAGTCCGCGGCTCGTCCTCGCTCCTCCTCCTCATCAACCACAGCCGCACCCGCCGCCCACCATGCCCATGATGCCCGCGCAGCCCCTCCCGCGCACCCCCGAGCACCTCAAGGCCGCCGAGCGCAACCCAGAGGGCCACGCAGACCTGTCGTGCGTCCCTCTCTTTCCCCTCCTCGTCCGCATTGCTCGTCTCACCCTCCCCCTGCAGCGGCGTCATGTACACCCTCGCCATCTTCACCGTCGCCATGGTCCTATTCCCCATCGGCACCTACTTCCTCTCGCGCGACTACGTCTTCTCCCGTGCGTCCCTCGTCCTCCTCCCCCCACTTGCGCCGCACTCTCTCTCTCCCTCCTCCCTCTCCCCGCCCGAGCTGACCTCTCGTGCGCAACCGCACCTCGAAAGCCAAAACCTCGCTTACGTACCCGGCCATCTCCGCCGTCACGGTCGCCAACGCGGTCCTGATCGCCTTCATCTACGTCGCCTTCCGCGAGGACGCCGACGACGCCGCGCGCGACAAGCTCAACAAGGTGCGCGAGAAGAGCTCGGTTGGCAAGGTGGAGTGAGGGTCGCTCGAGCGTGTGGGTCCCGAGCGAGAGGGAGGGTCAGCTTGTACAGGTGCGCTCAGGCTCGTTCTCCTCTCTCTCTCTTGCCTCTTGCCGCAGAGCCAGCAGTTGCTGACTCGTTCTGCCCACAGAACTTGTAACTCTACGCAATGCAGTGACCTGTGTGCTTTCGACCTGTGCCCGGTGCGCGAGGCCGAGGAGCAGCACGCCGACTCGTCGCCCGGCGACCGCCCTCCTGGTTTGGCCCCGCAGCCGATCCGACCTGCGCGCCCTCGTCTCGCCAGATACGGTCACGAGCGTCCGTCACGAGCGCCTCGTCGTTGCGTCGCCGAGGCGACGGCGGGAGAGTGTGGGCGTGCGAGACGTTGAGGCAACCCGGCGGCGGCGACGCTGGCTTAGCTCGATGCGCAGCCGCCACCGTTCTGAGGCCGCGCCGAGTGAGCAGTCGACGAGCTCTATCCGCTGCACCTCTATCGTCGACTATGGCCCGCTGCATGAGCGAGAGGAAGAGCCGGGCGAGCTGTCGAGGACGAGCGGTCGAGGGGAAAGCCGCGTTAGGCTGGCCGCGCTTCGCGAATCTGCACGAGAGAGCCAGGAGAGTGGCTGCGCACCGTCGCGTGCGAAAGAGGCTGCGGGCGACCTCACACGAGAGCTCCTCCGCCTCGCTTTCATCAGCTGCGCACCTTTCGACCCTCTGCTCTCACCTCTCGCCGCCTTGAGCACCTCGCGGCACTATGCCAGCTCTCCCTCGAGTGTCAAAGTACACGGGGAACAACCCGGCCGCGTTCCACGTCGCGACGTCGACCACCCCTCGCTCCTCCGAGTCGGACGCGTCCCTCCTCGACTCGTTCTCGTCCTCGGTCGCCGCACGGTTCGCCTCGCACACCTACCACCTCCCCAGCAGCAGCACCGACCCATCTGCCCCCTCCCTCGCCTCGTCCTCGACCGCCGCAACCCTGTCAGCCACCCTCTCGCAGCTCGACCTCATCGAGCGCCTCTCGTCCGGCCCCACGCCGCTCGACGTCCTGCGCCGCTCGGCCACCGAGCTCGACTCAGCGTCGTACGCCGACCTGCTCGCCGAGCGGCACGCGGCAGGCCTGTGTCCCTACGCGGCGTGCGGCAACGCCGCGAGCGAGCCGTACGACGACGGCGCGGCGGGCGCGGGCGCGGGCGCGGGAGCAGGGGCGGCGGCACGCGTACGCCTGCGCGGTGGGTCGCTCGTGAGAAGGGGAGGTGCGGGCGACGAGGCGGACCGGGGCGCGTACTGCAGCCGGCGGTGCAGGGCGCGGAGCGAGCACCTTGCGGGCGAGGTGGCGCGGCGACGGCCTGGCGCGCTCGATGCGCCGCCTGGTCCGGCGACGTCGGCGGGAGCGGGCGCGGTCGAGCTGCTCGAGGACGTCGAGCGGCGGCGAGAGGACGTGAGGAGGAGCACGGCGGCGCTACTGCAGGGTGCGCGTGCGGCCGGCGCAGACCTCGCGATGCCCATACCCTCGCCGTCGGCGGCTCGGGCAACGGGCGACGCCGTGCCTGCCTCAGCGCCGGCGGTGACGGGCGCAGCAGACGGCGAGGCTCGAGGTGCCGCCCCCGCCGCCGGTTCGACCCCGAGCGGGCGCGCCGACTCTCTCCTCTCGACCCTCACGATCCACGAGCGGCCCACCCCGACGCTCGCGCCCGCCGCCCCCTCCCTGTCGCACCCCGCCCCCGATTTCGAGTCCCCCCTCGCGCTCGTCCACCCGCGCACCGTCCCTCTCCCTCCCTCGCTCTCTCGCCCGCCGGCCGTCCCGCCGTCCTCGCGCCACAAGGCGCGCACGGCCTCCCCGCTCCGCGGTTCGTCTCGGCACCCGTCATGCTCGACGCGACGAGCGGCGCGGCGCTCGAGTGGGCGGGCGTTGGGAACGACGGCATGGACGAGGGCATGACGGATGAGGAGAGGGGCTGGATGCGCGAGGCGCTGGCGGTGAGGGACGAGGCGAGGCAGAGGGGCGAGGTCGAGTGACGTGCGGCGTATGACGGGCGGTGCGAGCGTGCGAGAGAGGTAGACGACGAGGCGGTCGCGGCTGGAACGCGACGAGCTCTCCTCCTTCTCAAACGGCTCGAGTTCGTCGAGAACAGCGAGATGCACCTGAAACCACCTCTCGAGAGACCAACTCTCTCGCTCGAAAGCCCGACAATGCGAGAGAAGAACGTCTCGTTGTTCACCTGCGACCGCACGAGCCGCCTTTACGATCCTCGACCGCGCCCGAGTTACTCGTCCTTGCCCGCCTCGCGCCTCTCGGCCTCCCTCCTCCTCTCCCTCATCTCGCCGAGTGCGCCCCGACCAACCCACGCCGCGAACGCGGCGAGCGCGCCAAAGACGGGGAGGGTGGGCAAGAGGCGGAGGCGGACCCAGTACAGGGCAAAGAGGAGCTCGAAGGCGGCGAGCGAGGCGAGGAGGAGCGTGAGGGAGAGGGTGCGCGGGGGTGAGAGGCGCAGGGAGGGAAGGAGAGGGGACAGCTGCGGGACGCGAGGGTCAGTGCGAGGCTCGAAAGGCTGGTTGTCGCGGTACGGCCGGCCGGCGCGCGTAGGGAAGGAGAGAGGAGAGATAGGGACGTACGGTGGCGGCGAGGACGACCCAGGGGCTGAGGACGAAGGCCAAGCCGACGAGCGCGACAGGCTTGCCGACGCGCTTGTCGGGCGTGCGGAAGGTCCACTCGAGGTCGGGCATGCGCTGGTAGCGCTCTGCCTCCCAGTGGGGCGGGAGGGCCGAGTCGGGCGGGAAGGGGAAGGGGAGCGCGAGCGAGGACGGGATGGTGACGGTCGCGAGCGGGAGGACGAGGGGCGACTCGTGCGGGTGGCCGACGACGAGGGTGAGGTCGAGCGGGGCGAACGAGGCGAGGGCGAGGAGCTGGGCCGGGGCGTGTGCGAGGTCCTGGGGATGTTGACGAAGAGGGTCAGGGCGAGGCTGGACCAAGTGCAAGAGAGAGAGAGAGAGGACGGACGAGCTCCCAGCGACCCTTGCCCGACGCCGAGCGGACCTTTGCGGTGCCCTGCCAGTCCCTTCCGGGAGCACGGTCGGCCTCGTTGGCCGGTTGGACGACGACTGCAGCCTGCTGCGGGGAGAAGGGAGCGCCGTCGCGCAGGAGGGTGAAGGAGAGCTTGAGGTGGTCCGTGTCGGTGAGGTCGCGCTGTGGGAGCGGGCTCGGCGAGTCGGACGAGAAGCTGTGTGTGGGTCACAGGGTGAGTCGTGGAGGGCTGTGCGGCACAGAGGGAGAGAGTAGAGAGACGGACGAGGACGAGGCGACTGCGGAGGCGAGGGCCGAGTCGACGACCGAGAGCTTGCCGTCGGTGAGGGACAGGGCGGCGTGGGCGAGCGAGGCTGCAGCGGTGGCGGCGAGGCACGCACGCACGAGCAGGCGGGGCATGGCGTCGAGGGTCGGTCGCTGATGAGGTCGACCACGACGAGGCGACGACGACGACGACGCCCTCTGAGCTCCTCCATCCGCACCCGCGCCAGGTCTAGCAGGCAGCGAGACCACTAGCACACCCTGCACCTCTCGTCATGGCCGCCCCTTCAACCGCACCCGCACCCACCGCCGTCGACCCTCCTCCTCCCGCCTCCGACCTCGCAACCCTCCGCTTCAGTCAGTCTGCCACGAGCCACAGTGCCCTGAGCCACACAGACTGACCCCTTCGAGCACCCCGCAGACGTCGAGCACAACCTCGCCCTCTTGAACCAGGCCACCCAGCTCCTCGAACCCCGCTTCACCACTCGCGCACTCCGCGCCCTCCCTCAGCTCCGCACAAAGCTCGGCACCAACGGCGACAACCTCGCACAGCTCATCCGCTCCGCACCCTTCTACTCGCAAGGTCCGCCCCTACCCCTCTCTCTCCCTCCCCGCCTCCCACCGACGACCGCTGACGCAAGCGCCCCCTCATCGTCGCCCCCCCACCACGCAGACTCTGAGCGCAAGGCCGCCCTCATCGACGCCCTCGGCAACCCGCCCGCCCCGACCGCCAGCTCGAGCTCGGCACCTCGACCCGATGCCGCCCCTTCCTCGATGGACGTCGACTCGGCCGCACCCGCCACGACTACCACCCCCGCCGCCGCCGCCGCCGCACCAGCACCCGCACCCGAGACCGACAAGAAGAAGAAGGCCGCACAAGCTCGCAAGGAGGAGGAGCTCAAGGACCTCGCGTCCAACCTGCCCGAGGCCGACGCCTTCCTGTCGCTCCTCGCCATCATCTCGCTCCTCGACCACAAGCAGTACGACCGCGGCAAGCAGCTCGCGACCTCCTCGATCGAGCACTTTGCCCAGCTCAACCGCCGTTCGCTCGACCAGCTCATGAGCAAGCTCTACTTCTACTGGGTCCGCCTTCACGAAGTTTCGGGCGATGACACGGCCGCCCTTCGTCCGTGCGTCCTCCTTCTCTCTCTCTTTGTCCCCTCCACTCGATCGCCCCGACCTGACTCGCCCGCTCCATGCCCGCAGGACGCTCCTCGCCGCGCAGCGCACGGCCGCGCTCCGCCACGACGACGACCTGCAGGCGACGCTCCTCCCGCTCCTCCTGCGCAACTACCTCGAGCACGGCCTGTACGAGCAGGCCGACCGCCTCGTGTCCAAGACCCAGTTCCCGGAGCACACGGCGCAGAACAGCCAGCTCGCGAGGTGGTATTACTATGTCGGTCAGTCGGCGGCGCTCTCTCTTGCGGTGCGTCGGGTCGGTCCCGACCCGGCGTGCTTCTGAAGTTCTCGTACCCGCGACCCTGACCCGCTCCCTCCCCCTCGCAGGCCGCATCCGCGCGATCCAGCTCGACTACACGGCCGCGCACGCGTCGCTCCTGCAGGCGATCCGCCGGGGCCCGTCCGACCTGAGCGCCGCGCCGGGCTTCTTCCAGCACGCGCACAAGCTCGCCGTCCTCGTCGAGCTCCTCCTCGGCGAGATCCCCGAGCGCAGGGTGTTCCGCGAGGTCGTGCTCAAGAAGGCCCTCAGGCCGTACCTCGAGCTCGCCCAGGGTGCGTCGCGCTGTTTCTCCGCCGGGTCCTGTGCTCCTCCATGAGCGCATTCCTGATACTGATAAGAATGTCGATCCCGACTATAGCCGTCCGCGTCGGCGACATCCAGGCGTTCAACCAGGCCCTGTCGACGCACGCGAGCGTGTTTGCGGCCGACCGCACCCAGTCGCTCGTGTCTCGCCTGCGCCACAACGTCATCAAGACGGCGCTGCGCACCCTGTCGCTCGCCTACAGCCGCATCTCGCTCGGCGACATCCGGGCCCAGCTCGCGCTCGAGTCCGAGGAGGACGCCGAGTACATTGTCGCCAAGGCGATCCGCGACGGCGTCGTGCAGGCGAGGATCGACCACGACAAGGGCGAGATGACGAGCCGCGAGGCCGGCGACGTGTACTCGACGGGCGAGCCCGTGCGCGAGTTCGACCGCCGCATCGGCTTCCTCCTCGACCTGTACAACCAGAGCGTCAAGGTGCGCCCCGTCGTCCTCCCTTTCTCTCTCTCTCTCTCTCTCTCTCTCTCTCGAGCCAGGCCCTGATGTTCTCTGGCCCCGTCACGCAGTCGATGCGGTACCCACTCAACGCGCACTCGAAGGAGCTCGCGTCGGCGGGCGAGGCGCGCGAGCGTGAGCGCGAGCTGGTGCGTCCACCTCACTCTCTCCCTCTCTCTGTTCGACGATGGGCCCGACTGACCCCTTGCGCGTGCGCCCGCAGGCCAAGGAGATCGAGGAGGGCGACTCGGACGCCGACCTCGACGGTCCGGGCGACATGGACTCGTTCTGAGCGGCGACGGCGAGGCTGCTCGAGCGGGATTTGTCGATACACGGAGGAGAGGACGGAGTGAAACTCGCTTGTCCCTTGTGTATGGTCGTGCGACGTCGCCGTTCCCTGTGAGACTTTGCTCGACAGCGGGTCGATCGAACGACCGGCCTCCCTCTCCCCCCTTCCTCGCGCCACGACCTCGAGAGAGCTACTCGCACAAGCTTGTCCGTGCCCCTCTACCTCAGTCAGCACCCTCGATCCCCGCCGCCGCAGCCAGAAGCTCGCGAGCCCGCCCCCCGACCACCTCGCCTCCTCATCAGCCTCCTCGTCCACCTGCACCACCCCAGCCCGCTCCTCGACCCCCGCCATGTCGTTCTCGCCCTCTGAGCTCCCGACCAAGGCGCAGCTCGACGCCGCCAAGCACCTCAGCGTCCAGGACGAGCGGGGCGACGAGGTGCCGTTCGCGTCCCTCGTCGACGGCCAAAAGGTCGTCGTCATCTTCATCCGCCACTTCTTCTGCGGCCTCGTGCGTCTCCATTCTCTCTCTACGTGGGCCCAGAAGAGCAGAAGCTCAGAGGCAAAAAGAGACGGGACTGACCCTCCTCCTCCTCGTCCTCGCCCCGCCGCGCAGTGCATGGACTACCTCTCGTTCCTCTCGGCCCACCTGTCGCCGGCCCTCCTCGCCGAGCACTCGACCAAGCTCGTCGTCATCGGGTGCGGCTCGCCGTCGTTCATCACGCCGTACCGCACCCGGCTCGAGTTCCCGTTCGACGTGTACGCCGACCCGGACAAGAAGGTGTACCACGCCCTGGGCATGACGAGGCGCACGCTCGAGATGGGCGACAAGGCGCCAGAGTACCTCAAGAGCGGCATGCTCGGCAACGTGTTTGGCAGCATCATGGTGCGCCCCGATTCTCTCTCTCTCTCGCGCGCGCGCCGACGAGGACGAGGGGACTGATCCTGGACTTTCCCGCACCGCAGAGCGCGCTTCGCTTCGGCAGGGTGGCGTCACCGGGCGACATGAAGCAGGTCGGCGGCGAGTTCGTGTTCGACAAGGCGGGCGAGCCCGTTTGGTGCCACCGGATGGAGGTGCGTCCCCTTTCCTCCTCTCTTCTCCCTCAGTCCGCCTGCTCTCGAGCTCCAGCAACGACTTCTTGACTCGTCTGTCTCTCTCTCCCACTCCCGCAGCACACGCGCGACCACGCGCCGCTGAGAGAGCTCATGGACGCGGCCGGCATCCCGTACTCGGGCCCTTGAGGGGCTCGTGCACAGCGTCGGCCTGCTCCCTCTCTCGCGCGCACTCGTCCACCCTTTTGTTGTCGCACCAACCTGTAACCCGCACCGTTGCACTCGGCCTCAGGTTCGAGCTTGCAGGCTCGCCCGGCGCAGAGCAAGCTGCGGCTCGCCGCTCGCTGCGCTTCTTCGTCCTCTCTCGCTCGCTTCGGCGAGGACCACGGCGCACGTGCCCGGCTCGAACTTGTCTCCTGTTCGCCTCTCGGACTGTCCGGTCCGCCCGGAACGTCCACGGACCGCGCTCGATCCTCGCTGCGCCGCGTCCGGCTCTCTCGCTCTCGCTGCGCCCCGCTGCAGTTGCTGCTCTTGCTCGTCTTTCTCGACCGACTCGTCGAGCAGCGATGTATCTACCCGTCGCCGACGACCTTGGCCTCGCGTTCGAGCACGCCGCTCGCTTCCTCGTCAAGCGCGCCGAGGTGGTGGACGGCGACGACTTCAAGCCTTTCGAGCTCAGCCACGTGCGTCGACGTGCTCTCTCTCTCCGCATCGTCTGCCTGTCGAGCTCACCCTTTTCGCCGCGACCGCAGACCCAGTGGGTGACGGTCTACTTTATCGAGTTGACCGTGATCCTGTACCTCTTCGGGTGGAATCTCTGGGGCGCCCGCTCGGTCCTCTTTCCTCTCAAGTTGACGGCCGTGTCGGTCCACGAGGGCTGGCGCGTCCTCTTTCTCGCTCGTCGGCCTCGTCTCCCAGCTCGAAACGAAGAAACTGACTCTTTGGCCTCGGTCGAATCGGACGCAGCCACGGCATTGCTGGGACGCTCACGGGCGCAAAGGTCGAGAGCCTCATCCTCGACCCGAATCAGGGCGGCAGCACGCGCATGGTTGGCGGGTGGGCGTTCGTCTCGTTGCCGGCGGGCTGTACGTCGCTCTCCCTCCCTTTTTCTCCTCTTCCTCGACGACGAACGTCCTGACGCTCAGTCGACACATAGATATCGGCTCGACGCTCATCGGCGCGGCGCTCATCTTTGCCGGCTTCGACCAGAAGGCGTCCAAAATTGCGTCCGTCGTCCTTCCTCTTCCTCCCTCTCGCGCTCGAGCCTCGTACTGACCTCTCGTTTTTCGCGAGCCCACAGCGCCATCCCGCTCTTTGTCCACCTGTCGATCGTCGCCTACTGGGCACGCACGTCGCGGTTCACGCTCCTCAACGTCTGCTTCGTCCAGGGCCTCATCCTCATCCTCTGTCCGTCGACCTTCCTCTCCTCTCCTTTGTCGTCTCTCGCCTCGCGACTCACGCTCTCGCTCTGCAGACATCGTCCAGCACGCGGCGTTCCTGCGCTTCCTCCTCCTCCTCATCGGGTGCATGAACGGTGCGTCGGCCGTTCCTCTTTCGATGCGCACGAGCCTCTCGAGGACTGACAGACCGCTCTCGCGCCCGCAGTCATGGTGCGCCCTGCTTGTCGTCACCTCAGTACCAGCGTCGACACGGCCTGACGACTTTGCCCGCTCGCAGTACAGCGTGTGGGACCAGCTGGACGATGTGCGTCCGCCGACTCGCTTTCGAGGAGAAGCTCGCTGACTCCCCAGCCACGTTCTCTTCTGTTGGCCTGGGCATGGGCACAGCTTGTGTGCGTCCCTTCTCTCTCTCTCGATCTCTCCTTGGAAAAGGTGACCCGTACTGACGACGCTCGAGCCTGCAGATTCCACGTCCGTCCCTCCTCCCTTCTCCTCGACGCCGCGCAACCTCTCACGCCCGCTCGGCCGTCTCGACGCCCGCAGAAGATCAACGAGAGCGACGTGTGCGCCTTCCAGCGCGAGTACCCGTGGCTCCCGGCGCAGGTCTGGGGCGGGATCTGGACGCTGTTCTCGTGCGCCGGCCGTGAGTCGCCGCCTTCTCGCGCCTGGCCGGTCGAGGAGGAATCCTCCTGGTCGGTCTTTGCCGAGTCGCGCGCTCTGACGAACGAGGACACCTTGCGCCGCAGTGACGGCCGCCATCCTCGGCGGCATCGTGTACTTCAAGAACGACTTTGCCGAGCAGTACTTCGACTCGCAGACGTTCCTCCCGACTTAGGTCGTCCGCCACGACCAGCTCGACGAGGCGAGGACGAGTCGATGCGGGCGAGGGAGCAGGGTCGACAGGGCCTTGGCGAGGGGCAGAATGGGAGGGTCGGGAGGAGGGCGAGGACCGAGCGTCGAGTACTCGAGCACGCACGCTTTGTCGTAGCAGCGCTCTCTTGCGTAGTTGCAGTTGAGGACTCTTTCAAGAGCAGCACTTGCCTCTCGACTCGCCCCGAAAGGGGCTCTGGTCGCACGACCGGGCCAACAGATCAAAGCTCTTTGCGCCGGTACCGCTACGACTGCGCCATCGCTCAACCTCCTCCTGCACTCGCTCCCTCTCCACCGCCGTCGACGAGCATCGACGTCCGCTTCCTCGCGCCGCTGCTGCTCCCGCTTCGCAAGGCGCTCGAGCCTCCTCCTCCTGCTGCCCCACCCGTCGCCGGCCTCGAGCCCGACGCGCTCCTCCTCCTCGGGCTCGCACCCGACCTGCGCTCGTCGCGCGCGCTCGCCGTCGCGTCCTTCTTGACGGCAAGGACCGTCCCCGCGCCGGCGCTCGCCGCGGTCGAGCCGGCTGCGTGCGCCGTCGACGCCGAGCCGCCGGCCGTCGCCGCCGTGGCGGCGCCCGGGACGCGCTCGGTGCGCTCGACGAGTCCAGCTCGGCGGACCCAGGCGCGCCGGCGCGTGTACTTGCCGAGGCCGCCACGCGGGCCCATCTTCTCAAAGTGGTTGTCGCCGTACTGCCAGCCCTCGTCGTCGACGCTCCATGCGGCGAACAGGGGCGAGTCGGCGTACGACAGGTCGGTCGACGAGGGCGAGACGAACGAGGGCGACGACGGCGCCTGCGAGTTGACGTGCGACGAGAGGAGGGAGAGCGACGGCGAGGTCGACAGCGAGGTCGAGCTCGAGTGCGACGCGCCCGTCACGGCCGAGGCCGCGATCTGGCCGAGCGTGCGCGAGAACGTGGGCGACGGCGGGTTCGCGAGCGCAGGCTGAGAGCCGTCGGGCGCGACTGCCGCACCGCCGCCAGCGCCGCCGACCGGGAGCGCGACCGACGCGACGGCCGAGCGCAGGACGTGCCACTCGGGGTCGAGCCAGCGCCACTCGGTCGTCTTCTTGAGGCGCGAGTGCGGGTCGGCCTTGGTGGGCGAGGCGACGTAGGCGACCGAGGGCGGAGGAAGGACGAACGAGGCGGGCGGGTTGGCCGGGTTGTTGTCCGGGTCGGTCCTGCGAGCACGCTCGAGCGAGTCAGAGCGAGTCACGAGAGAGGGAGAACAGAGAGAAGGGGACGCACCAGCTTGCGCGCTCGCCCGGGAGCAGGGCGTGCGTCCAATCGAGCCCGACCCACCACCGCTGGTTCTCGAACACGGTGAACTGGACCTGCACGTCCTCGCCCTCGTCGACCGCCGCCTCCTCCTCGAGCGCGACCGCCTCAGCCGCCTTCTCTTGCCGCACTGCCACCGTCGACGACGCTTGGGCCGCCGCTGCAAGAGGCGGCGAGGCCGGCGGCGACGCGCCGCCAGCGAGGCCGACGCTGCTGCTGCGCGGCTTCTTGACCGGCTTCTCCTCGACCACGGGCTCGCCGCGCTGGCGCCCGCCGCCGAGTGCGCCGACCTGGGCGCCGACGAGCCCGGGAATGCCGAGCCCGGTCCTCGTGCGGCCCCACTCGCGCTGGACGCCCTTGCCGCCGCGCAGGACGCCGACGCACAGGCGGCAGACCCACCTCACGAACGCGCTGCGCCACAGGAGGGCGCGCAGCGTCGCGAAGAAGGGCGCCTGCCACAGGATGCCGACCGTGCCGACGAGGAGGAACAGGTACCGGACGGGGACGAAGAAGGTGAGGGCGAGGTAGAAAGGGTACGAGGTGACGAGGAACCACGCCGTGTCGTAGGCGGGTGCGGGTGTCGAGGGGCGGAGCGGCGTGAGGCTGAAGTGGGCCGACAGCGGGTGGACGACCTCGGTGCGGAACGACTGGACGTGCTCGGCGAGGACGTGGGCCGAGTTGACGAGCTGGGCGTACGCCGCCGGCGACAGGGTGACGTTGCGCTGGCGGTGGCGGAGGGACGGGGCGGGCGCGCCTTTGCCCGTCTTGCGCGCGGCGGCGAGGTACTTGTGCAGGACGAGGACGAGGAGGGCGGCGTTGAGGCCGTAAACGGCGACGGCGTAGCCGAACAGGCACACGGCCCACCAGCTAAGGAGGACGAGGAGCGACCCGAAGAACGACGGGTGGGTCCAGGTGACGAGCTGGACGAACGTCGCGCTGGCGTGGATGACCGGGGCCGAGAGGGCGAAGAGCTTGAGGAGGGTGGGCGGGGTTGCGAGGAGGAGGTCGGTCGGCGACGGCTCCTCGGATGCGGGCGGCGTCGTCGAAGAGACGAGGGCGCTGGCCGTGGTGGCCGGACGAGGAGGTGGGGACGAGGCTGTCGAGGAGGAGGTGCCGAGGGAGGGGAGCGCCTTCATCTCGCCGGCGAGGATGCGGTACGACGGCTCAGTCCAGAGGGTATCCGTGCTGCAGGCAGATGGTCCCACTCGTCAGTTGCTGTGCCGAGGGAGGAGGGGGACGAGGGAAGCCAGGCTCGGCGTCGAGGCTCACATCTTGAAGGGAAGGCGGGCTCGTCAGAGGCCGCCGGCGAGGTTGCAGAGAGGTCTGTAGGCACCGCTGGCAAGGTCAGTACGCGTGCCCGGGCAGGGTCCACCGTGCTGTCGCCGCTTCATCTCGTCCCCGCCTCGGCGACGATGACGAGGCCAGAGGCGAGCGAGAGACGCTCGCGGCGGCGCGAGGCCACGAGCCGGGGGTACAGAAAGCAAGTGAGAGTGCACGCACGGCGAGTCGGTGCTGGCCTGAGGGAGACGAGGTCGGACGAGGTTGCCGAGCGGAGAGAGGGGACGAGGAGCAGGTGAAAGTGGTCGCGGCGCTCCAGCTTGACGGCGGGCAGAGCGTGCAGGTGCGCTCGGTACTGGATCAGACACGGTGTCGACAGCTCGCGAAGAAAGAACGGCGTCGGGCGCAGAGCTGCGACGTCGACGCGGTGACCTTCGCAACCACGCTCGCCGGCTCGTCTCTCTCGCTGCTGCATGCTCGCAAGGACACGGCAAAAGGGGCATCTACGTTGCAGTCATCTCGAGGAGGCTGTCGATCGTCTTGCCCATGTCGCCCGAGTTGCTCAAGAGAACCTGCACGCGCCGCACTCGCTCGAGGTCAGGTCCGCCACGAGGCGAGAGAGAGAGAGTGGAGGGGACGCACCATCTCGAGCACCTCGTTCTCGACGTCGGGGAAGATGCCCTGCAGCGTCTCGAGCGCGGCGAGCCTCGCCTGCTCGTGCTGCCGGTCAATCTCCCTCAGGACCGCCTCGTCCGTCTCCTCCTCGGGCGCGTACATGCGCAGGTCTGGCCCTTGGCCCTCGTCGCCCTCGTCGTCCTGCTTCCCGGCGCGCAGCGACCCACTCGAGGGCGGCAACGCCGGTAGCTCGGGCCGACGAGGGCCGCCGCCGCTGCCGCCGTAGTAGCTCCTGCGCTTGCTCACGCCCGGCCTCGCCGCACCAGGCATCGGCGGGAACGGCGGCGGCGGAACCTGCGGCGGAACCTGCGGCGGTGGCGCCTGGCCCTGGCCCGTGAGCTCGTTGGCCGTCTGCTCGAGCTGCTCAAAGACGCGCGCGAGCGCCCCGAGCGGCTTGCTCATGGCGCGCTCGACCGAGTCGGTCCCGCGCAGGAGCGACGCCTTCATCGACTCGGGGAACGACAGGTCCTGCGCCGACGGCGTCGCGGGTGCAACGCCCCCCTCGCCGGCCGGCGCAAGGAGCGACGCCGACGCGGCCTCCGAGGGCTGGATGAGGTCGGCTGAAGGGCCGGATGACGATGTAGGCGGTCGAGGAGCGGTAGAAGGCGTGGTTGGGCGAGACGAGGGGGCACTGTCGCGAGGTGGTGGCGGTGGAGGTGGCTCCTCGCTGGCGACCTGCTTGACGGCGGCGGCAACGTTCGACTCGAACTCGTCCTGGGTGATGTTGGACAGCGACGACGCGTCGAGCGACTCGATGAACGAGATGGCGGCGTTCTGCAGGAGCCGACGTTAGTGTCGGGGCGCAGGCCGAGGGGACAGCGGACGAGGACGTACAAGGCTCGACAGGTAGTAGCCGCCCTCGCCCGACAGCTTCTCCGGGTTGCGGAAGCGCTGGATGTACCTGTCGACGACGATACGTGTCAGTCGCTCCCTCCCCGACAGTGGACGAGCAGAGAGAGGAGGCGCACTGGAGGTTCGAGACGAGGTGCTCAGGGTTGGCCCGGATGACGACGTAGATGAGGAACGGAATGAAGGCGTCGGCGCCCTGGTCGCCGCTCGAGACATGACGAATGAGGCCTGTGAGAGTTCAGAGTCAGTCGCAGGCCGCAGAAGGCGAGAGAGAGCGAGAGGAGGACGGACCAAAGATGACCTTGCAGCAGTTGAGGACGCAGATGAGCTTGTCGCGCGGCGCCTTGTACTGGTTCATCTTGCGCAACTCGCGCTGCGCAAAGTCGAGGAAGCCCTGCACCTTGTCGCCCTTGGGCTTGCGCTCCTTGACGGCGACGACGGGCTCGTGCGCCTGCTGCGACACGCCGACCTTGCTCGCCTCGGCTGGAGCAGGCTCATGGGCCTCGGCCGGCTCAGTCGACGATGAAGAAGAAGAAGACGGGACGGCTGCAGGCGCCGTAGGCGAAGCTGGTTCCGACGAGGTACAGGACGGCGACGGGATCGGGAGGTCGAGGTGCTTGGGCTCGATCCACGAGAAGAGGCGCATGCGCTGCTTGAGGATCTCGTCGCGCTCGACGTCGCCCGACGGCGACATGTTGCTCGGGAAGGCGCTCAGGTCGAGGGCCGGCGTGAACGTCCTGTATAGGCATGGGAAGAGTCAGTGGCCGCTCTGAGGAAGCGATGACGCCCAACCCGGACGAGGACGCACAGATGCCAAAGGCGGTTCATGACGAGTTTCTCCATCGCCTCGAGGGTGAGGTCGAACTCGGCCTCGGCTCGTTCAGGGTCGTCTCGCCAGTCGACGTCGAGCAGCGACTTCCACGGGTCGACGGTGCGCATTTTGCCGGCGATGAAGTCGAGAAAGTCGTTGATGACGCGCGCTTGATCGCTCGTCGATACTGGAGGACGGCGCGAGAACTCCTTGAGGAACCTGGACGGGCTCGAGAGTCAGGGAGGGGACGTCGAGAGAGGGAGCGAGGGGGAGGGACGCACGAGCGCAGGTACTTGGCGATAGGGTCGGCCGTACGGGAGCGCATCTGCTCGAGGAACTTGTTGAAGTCAAAGACGGGTTCCGGCAACTGCGCGCGCTCCTTGCCCTTGCCGCCGCCCTTCTCGTCGAGCTCGCCGCCCTTCTCCTGCTCCGAGTCGGCCTGCGGCGCGCGCTCCTTGTCCTTGCCCTTGGCCGAACCCGCACCGACGATGGCCGTCATGAAGCTGCCCTTCTCGCGCTGTGGCGAGCTGCCCGGCTGCGGCGTGCTGGTCGAGCTGCTCGACGCCGACGTACGCCCCGTCGAGCGAAAGACGGACGCGATCGAGGCGAGCGGCTTGGCGAGACCGGACGGTCCCGAAGGCGTCTGAGGCGCAGAGGGGGGAGCGGCGGAAGGAGGGGTCGAGGGGCGGTGAGGGCGAGTCGCGGCGGCGGCGCTGGTGGATGCGTCGCGTGGCTGAGGTGGGGGAGGGGTGGAAGCCGCGGCGCGGTCTCGAGCGGGCGTGCCGCTGATGCTCCGTAGCACGCTGCCGAAGCTGAACCCGCCGGTCCCGCCACTGCTCGCTGGCGGCGGCGGGCCCGTGCCGAGCTGTGCGGCGGCGCGACGCTGGTCGTCGGCGAGACGGCGGTCCTCGGTCGGGCTGCCCGACTCGGACCCGCTGTTGTCGAGGACCTCGAGCTTGCTGCCGCGGCGGACGGTGCTGCCGAGCGTGCCCTGGTACAGCGGGTCGAGGTCGGCGAGGAGGTCGTCTGGTGGGGGAGCGGGTGCCGGCGCGAGGTAGGTGGCGTGGTAGCCGCTCGCCGAGGTGCCGCCGGCTGCAGTGGACGGCTTGGTCGACGGTACGCTGGCCCAGATGCTCGCCGGGTCGCCGTCGTCGGTCGCAGGAGGCGGGGGAGGTGCCGAGGACGACGAGGCGCTGTTGAACGAGTCGGACAGCTCAGACAGGTCGGGGAAGGCGTGCTGGGCGTGGTGCGGCTGGTCAGGCGCACGCTCCATCACTGCTGCTGGCTGAGCAGGAGGATGGGCGAGAGCTGGGGGCTCGAGAGATGAGAGCCGCGTCCTCCTCCTCGACACGGACTGGCAGTCACCGCTTCCTGAGCCGTTCTCTCTGGATCAGGTGGTGAACGAGATGTTGCAAGAGAGTTGGGTCATGCGCAGCGGATTCAAAGCTGGTGTCGTCTCGCCTTGTTTCGTCCCGTCAAGTTGCCTTCCTCTCTCTCTCTCTCTGTCCGTGCATCTCCCTTGTGTAGCTCGCCGTGCAGTACATCTGTGTTGCCTCATCGAGCTCGACACGTCGTACAAAGCTCAAGAGGCTGCGACAGGCGAGAAGAGCGCGAGCAAGGCAGGGTCCTGCAGGACGTGCGAGGACGACGACGACGGCTGCGGATCCGGGACGAGAGAGTCAGAAGCTGCGTCGACTGTCGATAGAAGAGGGAGAGACAGGACGCACCTTGAGAAGACCGCTCGAGCCCAGCTCGCGCACGACCGCCCTGAGCGCCTCTTCGAGCTCCTCGAGCGCAACCCTGCCGCCCTCGCTCGCCCGTCTCAGCTTGCGCGCCGCGTCATCCTCGCTTACCTCGACCCAGCACTGCCCGACCGCCGCAACAACCCTGCCCTCCCACCTCCCGCCGATCCTCGCGCGCCCGTTGCGCACGACCGAGCGCAGCGCCTGCGCCGCCGCGCCGAGCATGTGCGCCGACTCGATCGACCACACGCCGTTGGACGCCGTGAGGACGTCGCACAGGTGCGGGACGACGAGCTGGAGGTACCGGATCGAGCCGGGCCCGAGGGCGTCGACGAGGGGCGCGAGCGCAGCGCACGACACCGCCTCGAGGGCGACGTTGCCCGACTTGAACTCCCACGTGTGGGCGACCGAGGCGACGAGGAGGGAGCACAAGGCGTCGAAGCGCGGCTGGTCGGACGAGGTGGCGCTCGACGACGAGAGAGGAGGGTGCTGCAGGTTGACGAGCTTGAGGGCGATGGGGTGCGCGGCGGCAAGGAGAGAGGGCGACAGGGGATCGCTCAACGCCGAGAACACGTTCTCAAGCGACTGTGTGCGGGGTCGAGAGAGGCGTCAGTGAGGATTTCGAACCGACTCAGGCTGTGGAGGAAAGACGAGGGGCGGACCTTCTCAAACACCTTGCCGACGCCTGTCCGGCGCAGCAGGCTCGCGTCGGCCTTGTCGAGGAGCTTGTCGAGGATCGAGACGCCGACGAACTTGTTCTTGGCCTCGTAGTCGTCGAGCAACGTGAGGACCGGCGGAAGGAGGAATGGCCACAGGTCCTCGACCTCGCTGGGCTGTCGCGCAGGGCGTGAGCCCACCTTCCTCGTGGCAGATCGGGACGTCTGATAAAGAGAGAGAGACGCACCTCGAGCGCCGCGATCAAGAGCTTGACGACGCTGCCGAGCCCAGCCTGCCACCTCCAGCTCGTCGCGCCGTCCTCGCTCTCCTCGAACCAGTCGGTCATCGCGCGGTCGCCGCCGAGCGGACGGGACAGGACGCGCCCAGTCGCCGGGTTGAGCTTCGGGTGCGGCTTGAAGAGGGGCGGGAGGGAGCTGCTGAGGAGGTGACGAACGAGGGGGAGGCGGACGTGAGGAGGTTGGCGGACCAAGCGGTCGACGAGTGCTGCGCGCTCACGGGATGTCAGTCCCGAGACTCTCCCGTAGATCAAGAGAGACGTGGAGCGCACCTGCTGAGCTTGCTGCAGCCTCGGGCCCGCTCACGCCGCCCGACAGGTCCTCGTGGACGAAACGTCCGCAGGCGAGCACGGCTTGAGCACGTAAGGCAAGGTCGGCCTCGCTCGGCCGATCGTCGGGAACAGGCAACAAGGTGGAGAGCGAATGGGCGAGGACGAGAAGGGCGGGCGCGTGACGGCGGAAGGCGTCCTGGGCGAGACGAGCGGGCGCATCTGTGGACATCTCGAAGGTCAGGGCTCCCCGGTCGCGTTGCCGAAAGATTCAAATGAGCAGTGACGCACCGAGGTCGTCCTCGTCGGCGCAAAAAGAAGCTGGAGGCGTGGCGAGGACCGACAGACGCTGCAGCAACTGGACGGCCGAGGCTTGATCGTGCGCCGAAGGAGGCTGAGCAGATGACACGGCTTGATCGACCGTCCGAGCAAGGTCCAAAGCTCGTTGGAGCGACTGCGTGCGGTGCGCAGGACGTCAGCTTGGCGCTAGACGCAGTCTGAGTGGGGAAGAGAGGGACGGACCTGCTGCTCTGCGGGAAAGTCGCCGAGGAGGGCATGTATCTGGGCCAGAGCGGGCTCCATTGCAGTCGGTAATGTCTCTGGGTGACCGTGGACTAGTCAGTCAGGCCTCTCGAGGGGCGAGGCGGAGTGAGAGGGACGGACCTGATGAACGGCGAGGTGGGAGGAGCAGACGACGGCGGGAGCTCGTACAAGCGGCGATCAAGCTGGAGGGGCTCAAGGGTAGCTTCTCTAGTACTCACGGCCAGCCAGAGGCACGGCGAGAGCTGTGTGGACGAGGCTATGGGTGTCCTCGTCCTCGTCGCGAGCCGATCCACCGACAGACCCGACCACTCGTCGCCGACCACTCGAGCCATCCATGCAGAGTGCGCACTCGCTCTCTAACCACTGTCGGAACCCACCAGCTTATTCCCACATCGTCGCAGGCCTTGTCGCATACAGCGACAGCGACGACGACGGCTCATCTCCCAGGCGACCACGCCAGCCCGAGCCAGGCCCGTCTGCCGCGCCAAGACCAGCACAGGTGCGACACACTCTCCCTGTATCACTCGAGCGCGCGGACCCAGGCGCACGCGACTCCCCTCTCTTGCCCTCCCTCCAGCCTGCCGCTCACCTCTTGGCTCCCTCTCCAGCCCGTGCGTCCCCTCCCTCCTTTTCTCCTTCCCATGCACTGACTCGTCCTCTGTACTGCCCAGCAACGCCCCCCGCCCTAAGCCGCATCAAGGGCGCAGCCTCGCGCGGCGCCTCGCCCCTTTCCGGCGTCACCCTCCCCACCTCGTCCACCTCGTCCCCCTACGGCACACCCACCGCCTCGACGACCAAGCGTCGCGGCTCGTCGTCCCCTCCAGCCGTCGACCGCGCCGCCCCGCAGTCGACCGCCGACCGCAACGCGCAGCGCCAGCGCGCCGACGACGACCGCGACGGCGAGGGTGCCCCGGCGAGGGAGCGCGACGAGCGGCGGGAGCGCGACGAGACCGAGGCGGTGCGGGTCGCGGCACCTCCCGACGTGAGGCTCGACACGCTCGCCGAGTTCGGGATCCCGCCCGTGCCGACTGGGCCGTGCAAGCCGTCCGTCCAGGTGCGCACCTCTTCCCTCTCTCCCCCTGCCCCCTCGTCCCTCCTTCCCGGTGCCTCTCCCTCTCGCTTCCACTGACTCTCGCCTCCCTCGCAGGCCAAGCTCGCCAACTTCCACGCCCTGCGCCTGTCGCGCAACCTGCACTTCAACGACTCGCTCCACGCGTCAAAGGCGTTCCGCAACCCGCGCATCTACGCCAAGCTCGTCGAGTTTGTCGACGTCGACGAGAGCGGCACCGGGTGGGACAAGGAGGTGTGGGACCCGAGGGGCTTGGGCGAGGGAGCGACGGCGGCGAGGATCGGTGCGTCCTCTCTTTCTCTCTCTTGCCCCTTTCCTCCTCTCGTATCTGTTCTCTCCAGAGCCCGAGCAGGAGCAGACGACCAATACTGACTATCTTCTCTCGTCGTTTCGCAGCCGTCGACCAAAAGGCCCGTTCCGAGGCCAAAGCGGCACAACCCGCTGGCTCGCGCAGCTCGATCGCCTTTACCTCGTCGGCCACGTCCTCGGCGTCGACGTCGGCGACACGTGCGGGGGCGGACGGGCGCAACGGCGAGCGGGATCGGCGGGACCGCGAGCGGGAGCGCGAGCGCGAGAGGGAGAGAGAGCGGGACCGGGACCGAGGAGCGGGCGCGAGAAAGGGCGGCAGCCGGTGGGACAGGGAGCGGAGCCGCAGCCCGAGGAGGCGGTGAGCGCCTTCGAGCGCGTGCAACGAGGTCCCGTTGGCCCTCTTGTTTCGAGCTCAGCGAGAGCGCGAGAGCCGAGGCTCGTGCACACGAAGACGGCTCTCCGGAGAAGCGCCGCACAAAGGTTAAACGACGACGTCTATCCACCTGCGCTTCTTCCTCTGTCTACCGAGCATGACGACCTCGCGCACCTCCCTCCTCACGCGCTCCCTCTCCTCTTCCTCTATCGCCCTGTCCCCCTCTCCCTCCCGCCTCTCCTCCACCACTCCTCGCACGCCCAGCACCCTCAGCTCTCCCCACCTCGCATCCCAATCGACGCCCCTCACGGCGTCGACGACCCCTTGCTGCGGCGCATCGACGACGAGCCCGCCGAGCCAGCTCAGGTCGAGCGTGCGCAGCGTCGGCGTCGCGGCGGCGAGGCGCGGCAGGAGCGACGCCGCCGTCGCGGTACCCGACGACGACGACGACGACGTGGAGGAGGAGGAGGACGACGTGGCGGGGTGCGCGTCGAGGTGCTTGCCCGCGAGCGAGAGGTGCCGCAGCGAGACGAGGTGCGCCAGGAGGTCGAACAGCGGGTCGGCAAGCGCGAGGCGCGGTGTCGCCGTCAGGACGAGGGTGTGCAGGTGCGGGAAGGCGCTGACGAGTTTCGGGGGTGGTGCGGGGCTGGGCGCGGGCGCGGGAGCGGCGGGGTGAGGTCGAGGTTGGGAAGGCGCGAGGGGAGCGGGAGGGGGAGGGGCAGCGCCGACGGGTCGCAGGAGGAGGGACCGCAGGGTGCGCAGCGACACGTGCGCGAACGACAGGTCGAGGACGTCGACGAGCTCGACGAGGTCGGCGTCCTGCGCCGCGAGCGCGTCATCCTCCCACCCGCCTCGCTCGTCGTCCTCCTCCTCCTCCCCCGCTCCGCCGAGCCCGAGCCGACCCATCCGCTCCTCGACGCCCTCACACTCGCCCTCGACGTCGAGGCCATCGCTGACGTCGGTGCGCAGGAGCTCGCGCGCGCCGTCGTCGGTGAGCGGGGCCGGGTTGCGCGAATCGGCAAAGACGTCGTTGACGAGGCGCACGCGGACGTGGTTCGGGAGGTACGCGACGTGCTCGACGAGGAGGCTCGCGTCGGGGTGCGACCGAGCGCGAGACAGGTCGAAGGCGAGGACGCGGCCTGCGAGGGTGAAGAGCGAGTCGACGGGGGAGCGGGGTGCGGTGGACGAGGTGGGAGCGGCGACGAGGGGCTGGGCGAGCTTGCGACGCTCGGCGAGGTCGCGAGGGCGGAGTGTGGTGCGGCGTCGAGGGTCGTGGGACAAGGAGGAGGAGAGGTCGGTCGAGGTCGAGGAGGGTGTGGTCCAGCTTGGCGGGGGCGCGGGCCCTGCTGTGCCTCGTCGCGGGTCCGAGTTGCGCAGCCGATGTGACGGTGGTGGATGATCGGACGTGGACGCTGCTGCTGCTGCTGCGAGCCAGCGGGGAGCCGAGGTTTGGGCTTGTGGCGGAGCGTGGTCGAGGCGAGGGCGCGAGGCGGCGTGTTCCTCGCGGCGCAGGCGAGAGATCTTGTCCGAGATGGACTCTTTCGAGCGTGGTGGAGGTGCAGCTGGGCGGGCTGGGATCATGGCTGCCCTGGCGTGAGGGGGCGAGGGACGAGACGAGGAGGCGACGAGCAAGGGGGTCCTCTCACCTCGGCCACTCGCTCGGGCCAGCTGCTACTCGCACCCAGCTGCACCACACACACTCTCAGCACCGACCAGGCCCACCAGCCACCACCGCCAGGCCCTCTCCCGCCCTCACCCTCATCGCCCCCTCCTCATCTCCCACCCCACCTCGACCACCTCTCGCCCTCCCTCTCCTCCCACTCGAGCACCTTCTTCAGCACCTCTCACCCCCGATCATGGCCACTCCGAGCCCCGACGTCCATCAACTCGCCCGCGACGGTCCGTCTTCGCCTCTCGTCCTCCCCCTCTCTCTTGCACCGCCCCGCTCTCGACAGCTGACGCGTCCCCCTTCTCAGGCAACGCCTCGCTCCTCCGCGTCCAGCTCGAACAAGACCCAGACCTCGTCGCCAAGCTCGACCAAGACTCGCGCACCCCGCTCCAGTGCGCCATCTCGGCCCTCCCGCCCTCGGTCCCCGCCGTCGACGCCTGCCTCGACGCCTTCGCCCGCCTCGACGACCCACGCACCAAGACCAAAGCGCTCGAGAACGGCGACGGCGTCGGCAACACGGCCCTCATCTCCGCCGGTCCGTCCCCTCTTCCTCCCACTCTCCCCCCTCACCGCCTTCATCAACCTGACCGCCTCGCACGCCCCCCCCTCGCAGCAACAACGGGCAGCCTCGAGATCGTCAAGCTCCTCGTCGGCGCAGGCGCAGACGTGACGGCCGCCAACAGCCGAGGCGCAACCGCGCTGTGAGTCGCCGCTCGTCCTCCTCGCCGTCCTCGAGCGTCCTCTTGTCGACGACTCTCGCCTCGGCTGGATCGCTCAGGCGGCGCACTGACTCATACTCTCGCCCTACAGACACTACGCCGCCTCGAAAGGCCACGTCTCGGTGCGCCCCCGCCCTCCGACTCTTCCTCGCTCGAGCACTCACTGACTGCTACGCCGTGTGTTCGACTCCCTTGGCCGCGCAGATTGGCCGCCTCTTGATCGAGCGAGGCGCAGACATCAACACGCGTGACAAGGCCAACCAGCTTCCCTTGTGCGTCGTCGTCTTTCTTCGCTCGTCGCGGCGGTTGGTCCTCCCTCCCTCGCGGGTCGCGGCCGTCGCTTCAGCGCTCCGAGGCGCCGCTCACCCTCGTCTCGTGCCCCTACCCTCCCCCAACAGGCACCGCGCCGCAACGACCGGCACCCTCCCCTTTGTGCACCTCATCCTCGCGTCTCGCTCGCCGACAAAGCCCGAGAAGCCGCGCGTCAACCTCTCGGACCGCGCCGGCCACACGCCTTTGCACCTCGCCGTCGAGTCGGGCCACGCCGAGGTCGCCGTCGCGCTCGTCGAGGCGGGCGCCGACCGCGACAAGGGCGACGCGGATGGGTGAGTCCCGGTCGCGGCATCTCGCTTTTGCCTCGCCGCGAGCGTGGGTCGCACTCGCGCTCGCGGCTGCGAGTAATGGGCATCGCGACGACTGACTCTCTCTCTCTCTCTCGTGCGCGGCAGGATCCGGCCCGAGGACATGGACGGCGTCGGCGGGACCGAGGCCAAGAAGGTGCGCGAGTACAGTGCGTCCGGCGCGAGTCGCTCCCTCTGTCTCTCTCGGTCTCTTCCTCCCTCACGAGGGCGAGCAGTCACTGATACGCGCTTCCGCTGCCGTCCGCAGTTGTGCAGCGATGCGGCCCACTCAGCTCGTAGCTGCTCGCACCCGTCCTCGTTCGTCGTCGCCCATCCTCCCTCGCCCTCTGCAACGCGCACAGTCCTCTTCTCGCCCTCGTTCGCCTCTCGAATCTCGCTCGTCGACTCGCTCGCTCTCGAGAGGGCACGCGGGAGAGCAGGAGAGATGCGGCGAGATGCAGTGCAGGAGGGGCGAGAGTTGCGGTTTGAGAAGGACAAAGGGAGAACGACGAAGGAGGGGCGGCAACAGGAGACGAACGGGACAGGAGGGGGCGTACAAGAACGACTGAGGGTGGACGAGAGAAGGGCGAGGCGTGCTCAGAGCTCGAGGCCGAGGCCGACGAACGGCTCGCCGCGCTCCTCCTCGGCCTCGCAGCGCTCGTGCCGCGCCGGCGCCGCCGCGCCCTTGGCCCTCCTGCGCCGCTCGAGCGAGTCCATGCGCCGCAGCGCGAGGCTCGACGGCGACGCGCCGCAGCCGTCGCCGCTGCCGCCGAGGTGGACGTCGCCGAGCTCGAGCGGCGAGGCCGAGAGTGAGAGGTGCGCAAAGGGGAGCGGGACGGGCGACGTCGCGAGCCAGGACGAGGCGGTCGTCGACGACGAGATGGACGACGTGGGCGAGAGGTGCGACGTCGAGGAAGAGGGGGAGAGGCCGGGCGTTGACGGGGTCGAGGGGCGGCTTGCGGGCGACAGGGCGGCGCCGAGGCTGAGGGCGAGGGAGGGGAACGACGGCGAGTGCGACGAGGCGCGCAGCGGGAGGTCGTCCTCGCCGAAGCGCGACGACGAGAAGCCCAGGCCGAGGCCGAGGCCGAGCGCCAACGACGGCGACGAGGAGAAGGCCGACGAGGACGAGTACGTCGCCGCCGCGCTCGAGCCGTCGACGCCGTCGTCGTTCATGGACCACGCGTCGACCCTCCCGCTCCTGTACGCCACGCCGCCGAGCTCGAGGCGACTCACGCTCCGGCGCTCGAACCCCTCGTCTGCGGTGGCGCCGCCCTCGGCCGCCGCGTACGCGCTGCGCGTGAACGCCGCGAGGTCCTTCATCGCCGGCGAGCGGCGCATCGGGCTGCTGCGCAGGCTCGCCGTCGAGCTCGAGGTCGACGACGTCGGCGTGACGGGCGGGAGAGGGAGGACGTCGAAGATGGGTGCGGGAGGGAGGAGCGGCGCCGGCGGCGTCGTCGCGAACGAGCAGGACGCGCTTGTCGTCAAGGACAGGGTGTGCGAGGCGAGGTACGGCCGGGTGCGAGGCGGCGGCGGCGAGAGGGAGAAGGCCGGTTTGACAGGCGACGGCGGGAGGCGACGCTTGCGCGGGTTGCTCGGCGCGACGAGCGGCGCCTTGTCGGCGGCGGCGAACGACGTACGACGCGTCGGGGTGACGGGAGCAAAGGGGGCGGAGGAGGACGACATGGTCTGCGGTGGCGGTGCGAGCGTGGCGACGAGGAGGCGAAGGGTGGCAAAGGAAAGACCATCAGTATCTCCCTCGCTCTGGTCGACGAGAGAGAGAGCGTCTGTTTGTTGTGGCTCACCTTGAGAGAAGGACGCAGAGTGTGCGAGACTCGAGGACAAAGACTGGGTGCGAGACGCGACGAGGAGAAAGAGAGAGAGGAGAGCGACGCCGAGCTGCGGTCTTTGGGAGACGGACGGGCGCACGTTCGTCGATGGGGAGAGGAGGAGGAGTGTGCAGCAGCGTCCGCTTGTCGTTTGTACCGTGCGACGACGAACGACGACGAGCGAGCGACAGAAGCTTGCCCTTTTTCGGCTCGACAATCCGCTCGTGCCGCGTGAGCGTTCATTGCACCTCGTTGCAGCTCGATCACTCTGAGTGCGACGCGCAGAGAACAAGGCCCGGCCCGGCGCACAGCGATAGACTCGCGCTCGTGGCTGGGGTCCGGGGCGGTCGCCGCCGAGACACAAAAGCGGGCGGACGTGAATGACGGCGCGAAAGAGCAGCGACGGCGAGCCTTTGGCGGTGGCGCAACTGCTCTAGTCGTCGTTCGGTGGACGCTAGAGCGAGCGAAAGGGCGAACGCTGGCCGGGGCCGGGAGGAGGAGGCGAACGGCGACGGGAGAAGTCAACTTGGGAAGGCCAACTCAGAGGGCCTGAGCGCGCTCTGCTGCTAGCTTTCCTCGTCTCGCTCACGGTACAAAGATCGAGAACCTCGCAAGGCACGCCAGCTGAAGCCTGTGCGGAAGACGGCACGCCGTCCTCCGTCCCTGCAAAGCGAGGAACAAGGGCGAGCCGAGGAACAAAGGGAAAGCGATCGTCCTCCTCGTTCGTCGCAAGCTGCGCCCGCGCTCCGCTCGCCAAGCTGTGCGCACAAGCACGTTGCGTCGCGAGCGTGCGCAGCCCGTAATTGCCCATTGTCGCCCGTCGTTGACGGCGCTCGACCCTCTCCCGGTCGAGCTCCCTCTCGTTCTCGGCCGGCGCTCCTCGACAGCTGCCCTCGCGCATCCACCTTGGCCGCTCGAGCTAGTCATTTTGCGCTTGTTGAGCCACGCGATCCATCTATTGGCCACGCAGCGTGCCGAAGCGTGGCGGCAAGCGTGCCGAGGCGCGGCGAGGAGGAGAAGGAGGGCCGGCTCGAGCGCGAGCGAGGTCGAGCGGAAGCATGCTGCAGCAGGCCAGCAAGCCAGAGAGAGCACAAAGACTCGAGCCAGCGAAGCCCTCTACTCGACCGCATAGGCGCACGCAGGAGGCTCGAGACGAGCCGCTCGAGCCCACTGCTTCTGACATTGCTCGCGCGGCCTCGTCCACCCTCAGAAGTACTGCCCCGCTCCAAAGTAGCTCCCGAGCGCCTCGTCGCCACCCTCGTCCTCCTCGCCCGAGCTGTCCCCTCCCACCGCCGCCGCTCCTCCTGCGCCGGGTCCTCCGAGCGCCATGGCCGCGAACGCCGCCGTCGGCGGCGGCGGCGGGATGCGCGAGGGCGGTGGTGCGCCGGTTGAGCGAGGGCGGAAGGCGGGAGAGGGAGGGGGAAAGGGCTTGAGGGCGAGGGCGGCGCGGCCGGAGGGGAGGCGGGACTGGAGGGTCTGAGGGGAGGGAACGGGGTGGAAGTGCACCTGCGGGCGTGCGAGAGCGTCAGGCACGATGGTCAAGCCGCCTACGCACCACCTGCTCGATACGCGGGACGCCGAGAGAGGCGCGGCAGAGAGAGAAAGACGTCGCCGACGCACCGAGTCGTTGACCCTCCTGTAGGCATTCCGGAACGCCTCGGTGCTCTCGACCTCCTCTCCGACCTTGCCCTTCCTCGCCTTGCCCCCGACCCTCGCCTTGCCAAACCCCTTGAGCGCCCTGAGCCCCTTGTCCTTGCCCGCGAGCGCCTCGAGCTCTGCGCCGGCCATGCCGAGGAACCCGAGCGCGTCGCCCGTCTCGCCGCGCTCGCCCGCGTCGACGCCGAGCCACTTGTACGACAGGGCGAGCGCGAGCGTGCGCCCGTCTGACAGGTAGCGGCGCAGGGCGGGCGAGAGGTCGCCCGAGCCGGTCGCGCCCGCGCCCGCGCCCGACGACGACGATGAGGACGACGACGAGACGGTCTTGGCAGCGGCTCGCGCCTCGTCGTACAGGGTGAAGACCTGGAGGTGGAGCTTGGCGAGGAGGGCGGGCGAAGGGTGCGAGGGCGGGAGAGGAGGGCCCGGCGTGGTCGTCGAGTGGGCGACCTGGAGCGAGCGCGACAGGAGGCGGCGGATCGCGAGCAGGTTGGCGTCAGCGAGGCACATCCTGAGGGAGAGACGAGGAGAGTCAGGCATGACCTCGAGAGAGAGCGAGAGGAGAGAGCGAGAGGACGCACTTGGCGAGGGCGGTCGTCACTTCACGGCTCATCTCGACGGGCCGCGCTCTGAGCGCATCGAGTCCGACTGCCGCCTCCCACCGCGGAATGATGACCTCGGCGAGGTGCATGAGGACGCCGCTCGCGCGGCACAGCGTGTCGGCGGCCTGATTGACCGTCTCGTCGTGGCCCTTGAGGCCCGTGGTCGTGACGGACGACGCGATCTCGTACGAGCCGAGCGAGGTGACGAGGGAAGAGGCCTGGTTGGCGAGGCACAGGGCGTACGACAGGAGGGTGGCGGTGAGCTCGGCGTGGCTGTGGACGAAGTGCGAGTGAGCGGGTTTCTGCGGCGGCGAGGGTGCGCGAAGGAGGGGACGCACAGCGACGGCAGGAGGACGCGCTTGCTGGCCTTCTTGAGCGCTTGAGACGACAGGGATGCGCGCCACGCGAAGAAGACTGTGCGACGTGGGCGGCAAGGTCAGGCGCGAGGTGTGGGAGGGGGGAAGGAGGAGAGGGACGGACCAGGGTCGGTGCGCAGGAGGAGGTCATCTGCCTCGACGCAAGCGAGGATGGCGTAGAGGTGCGGGAGGTACTCTGCGACGGCCTGGCGGTGTGTGGCGAGGCGAGAATGAGCTGCCAAGGCTCCGAGTGGGGGGAGGAGGAGGGGAGGAGGAGCGCACCCTCGCTGCGCCTGCCCAGTCTGCGGCTTGCGGGTCGTTGCGGGTGGCCTTGAGTGCGGTGCGAGTGCGTGCTCGAGCGGCTTCTGCGTGGGTGAGGTCGTGGGTGTGGGAGGACGAGGGGTCGGCGAGGAGCTGGGCGAGGGCGACTGGGGCGGGGAGCGGTGGTGGGAGGAGCATGTAGCGTGTTGTAGGTGCCTTGAGTGGCAGTCGGTGCTCGGTCAAGCCAGCCAGGGGTCGACAGGGTTGCGCTGAGGTAACCTCTCTGCCCGATGAGGACGGACGACCGACGACCACGATAACGTCCCCCTCAGCGACTCGTGCATGCTTGCCAGAGCCTGCACTCGACTCAGCACAGCCAGACCACTCGGCCGCACCCTCTCGACCGCAACCAGCTCCTTCCCTCGCCCTTCTCCTCCTCGCCCTTCCCCACAGCCACCCGTCCGTTCCCCCCCTCCCCTCCCTCGCTCCTCCCTCGCTCCAGCCTCACTGAACTCGCACGCAACACACAGACCTCTACTCGCACCTTTGCCACCATGCCCGCCGACATCACCGCGTGGGCCTCCAAGGAGGACGGCCAGTTCCGCCGCCAACCGTCCACCTTCCGCGACTCGATCAAGGTCGGCGGCCAGTTCCCGCCCGAGGAGGGCCGCTACCTCCTCTACGTCTCGCTCGCGTGCCCGTGGGCCCACCGCACCTTGATCGTCCGCAAGCTCAAGGGCCTCGAGCGCTTCATCGACGTCGTCACCGTCCACCCGGTCATGCTCTCGCAGGGCTGGGCTCTCGGCACGCCCAAGCGCAACAGCGACGGCAGCTACGACCAGGACGAGAAGGAGGTCACCGACGACGACGACGGCATCGCCGGCGTCGACCGCGACCCGCAGTACGGCGCAAAGCACATCCGCGACCTCTACTTCAAGGTCAACCCGGACTACACCGGCCGCTTCACCGTCCCCGTCCTGTGGGACAAGAAGACCGAGCAGATCGTCAACAATGAGAGCTCCGAGATCATCCGCTTCTTCAACTCCGAGTTCAACTCGCTCCTCGACGACGAGCACGCCAACATCGACCTGTACCCCGAGTCGGGCCGCGCCGAGATTGACGACCAGGCCGACTGGGTCTGTGCGTCCTCCTCTCTCTTTTCGTGGCGGTGTCTGAGCGCGAGTCGAGGACTGACGCCGTCGTTTCCTCCCCCTCCTCCCTCTTCCTCCCCCTCTCCTCTCTCTCTCTCCTGCCTCACAGACAACAACGTCAACAACGGCGTGTACAAGTGCGGCTTTGCGACGACGCAGAAGGCGTACGAGTCCAACATGGGCCCGCTCTTCGACAGCCTCGAGCGCCTCGACAAGCTCCTCGCCGACCGCAAGTACGTCGCCGGCACCGACAACATCTCCGAGGCCGACGTGCGCCTGTACACGACCATTGTGCGTCCCGGCCTCTCTCGTTCGTCGTCGCAGAAGGCGCCGACTGACCCTTGTCGTCCTCGTGCAGGTCCGCTTCGACGTGTAAGCCCCTCTCACGCACATGTGTCTTCCTCCCGAGCGCCTACTAACGGCCAGAGAGCAGTACGTACTACACTCATTTCAAAACCGACCTCGGCATGATCCGCTACGACTACCCGAACCTGCACCGCTGGCTGCGCGAGCTCTACTGGCAGAACGACGCGTTCAAGTCGACGACCAACTTTGAGCACATCAAGACGCACTGTACGTCTCTCTCTCTCTCTCTCTCTCTCTCTCTCTCTCTCTCGCGCCCTCCCTGTCGTGTGCCGGGCCCCAGACTGACCCTCGAGCCGTGCGACGACCCACAGACACCAAGAGCCACCCGCAGATCAACCCGAGCCGTATTACCCACCTCGGACCTGTCCCGGCCATCAAGCCTCTGTGAAGAGTGAAATCGAGCTACTGTTTGTGCCCTGTACGACCCAAAAAGCGAGAGCGAGAGGAAAGCAACTTGAGAAGGTCGCTCTCGCTCATGCGAGCTGTGCTCGCCGTGCGACCTGCAGAGCCTCTAGTTTCGCTTGAGAGAGACGTGCAGAGCCCTCTCTAGCTCTCAAGAGTGGCCGCTCACGACGTAAAGAGCGCTAGAAGCTTGAGGAGAAAGTCGAGAAGGAGGACGAGACTTGCGCTGCGTGCAGCTGTCGCCGCGCTTCCTCGCTTACGGCAGGCCCTGATGGACGACCACAGAGAGAGACAGAGGAGGAACGAGGGAGCAGAAGAGCCTCTCGCGCCGCCTCTCGACCCGGGCGACGAGGAGAGCAACTCGCGCTTCTTGCTCATCGACATGCTTGCTCTGCGACGGGACAGCGACGCACAGGGTCGAAGGAAAGAGAGCTGCAATGCGATAGTAGAGACGACACAGAGAGACAAAGAGACACGGCACGACCGGTACTGCGCAAAGGCAAAAAACGACCCTCCTCCTCCTCCTCCTCCGCCGCCTCGACTTCTTCCACCGCCCGAGCGACGTGCCGCCCCGCCCCCGAGGCCGTCACATGACCGTGCACGACCTCGCCTCCGCCGCACGAGCGAGCTTGAGCATCGCTGCCGCCGCGTCGTCCTCCGTCTCGCCCGCCGCGACGAGGCCCGAGCGCTCGACGTTCGCCGCCTGCTCCTCGAGCGCACCGCCGACCCATGCCGCCGGTCTCGACGCCGGCTCCCGCGGAACGACGTCCTCGCTGCCTTGGTACCGGTCGGCGACGGCGTCGGCCGAGCCGTGCGCTCGAAGGGCCGACTCTTGGACGTGGCGCTGGAGGAGGAGCTCGGACGAGGACGGCTTGCCGGCTGCGAGAGATCCGGTGCGCTCCTGCGACGCCGACGAGGGCGACATGGGGTGTGCGCCACGAGGCGGGGAAGGGGAAAGGTCGGGCGTCGGCGGGTCGGGATAGGGAAAGTCGTCGAGCGAAAGGTCGGCAGGCGACGGACGCGCCGGCAACGCCGACTCGTCGTCCTCGTGCTTGACGACGTGCGAGCGAGATGAGGACGACGTCGGGCTGGCGCTCGGACCGTGCGGCGCCGAGGACGGGTCCTCGCTCGAAACCGGGTTGAGCGGGTTGGACAGGACGAGCGACACTTGCGAGTCGACGTCCTCGCCCTTGACGACGAACGCGGACCTCGTAGTCGACGTCGGCGGCGTCAAAGCGACGTACTCGGCCGGGCTGAGGAGCGCAAACCGCCACTCGAGCGGGACGAGGCGCTTGTCCGAGTCGGTCTCCTTCTTGACCGCGACGAGGTCGTCCTGCTCGCGCTTGATCTCGCCGAGAACGTCAACCTGCTGCTGCTCCATCGTGGGCTTGTCCTCGCACTGCTCGCCGAGCCGCTGCTCGTCGACCTCGTCCTTGACCTTGACCGGTCGACGGGGCGACTCGACCTCGCTCGACTGGACAGGCTCGGCGGCTGCGACATCGCTACCGCGAGGCAGGGCGCTCGAACCGCTTGAAGAGAGGCTCGATGGGGCGGACGACGGGCTGGGAGAACGAACGCCGACGTCGGCAGGGCCGTTGACCTCGGGCGACGAGCCGACCTGCTCAGGCGACGAGTCGCCTCGCTCGCTCGACGCCGCCAGGGTGACCGAGTCAGGCGACGAGTCCGACAGGGTGATGATCTCGACCTGGCCGACCGCGGCGGGCGTCGCGACCGGCTGCTCGTCGTCCTCGTCCTCGTCCGAGTCGGCGATGATCATGACGGCTCGTCGTCTCGGCGCATGCCCACCCTCGACACCTTGACCCTCGTTCGTCTCCTCCGTCTTGATCCCGCCGTGATGCGGGCGCCAGGTCGGCGAGTCGGTCGGCTCGTCCTCGTCGCTCTCGACGCCCGACTGCGTGCGCAGGGCGGCGATGCGCGCCGAGCGGCGCAACGGCGTGTCCTTTTCGGCGAGCGACGTCGCCGTCTTTGTGCGGGCGATGGAAGGTTTGGCGGCGACCGAGCAGGCAGGGACGTCGGCGGGAGCGCAGACAGGCTGGAACGGCGCGCGCGTCGGCATCTCGGCGAGGGCGGTGGAGGCGACGGCCGACTCGCCAGAGACGGTGGCGGCTGCCGGGGTGGCGATGGTCGAGACGAGGCTGGTGGCGCTGACGGTGCGAGAGCTGATGCTGAACAGGGCGAAAGTGTGGGTCAGATCCGAGGACCGCGACTCTAGGAGGAGGGGGACGCACCTCGTTCGCTGAGACTGGTCGGAAGACGACGGCATTGTGCTGCTGGTTGATAGCTGAGCCATCTGTTATGCAGGAAAGGCAAAGTCAGCTGTGTGGTCTGCGCTTCTCGCCAAGGAGGAGGGAGGGGGTGCGGGGAGGGGCAGCGAGCACCACGAGAAGGATGGGGCTCACCTTGAACGGATTCGGGGCCACCATACTAGGCTCAGATGGCGTGGCGAGCTGCGCAGGCGGAGCCGCGAGCCTGTGGCGAGTCGTGGGACCGAGATGGAGGCGGGCTCGCTGATGAGGACGAGGACGGCGCTAGCGACACGGCGAGGCGCCTGCGAGGTGCGGGTGCAGGGCGAGGGCGTAGTTGAGCGGTACGACTGTCGAGGCGCAGCACCGTCACGGCAGCCGAGCGCGAGGCTGACGACGTTGCTCGGGTGAGGAGGCCAGGGGACGACGCACTCGCTTCCTCGTTGAGGTGCTGCTCTCCTCGCGCGCTTACGGTCGGGCCTGGCGCATACACTGCGCGCAGAGGACACTGTTGTACCATGATCGAGCACCCTCAAAGCTGTGCGAGAATAGACTCTCTCGATGGAGCTGCTCTACGTCGCGAGCTTCTACTCGTCTCCTCTGCTCGTCTAGCCATCATCGCCCACGCTCAGCGCCCTCGCTTTCCTCCCCTCGAGGTGCGCGCACCGCTCCTTGTGCTCCTCCCGCCCCCTCCTCCAGCCGCCAACCCCCCACTCCTCCTCGCGCTCCTCGCTCCACGCCCTGCGCTCCCTCTCGGCCCTCGTCTCGGCGTCCTCCGGCGCCGCACCTCCTCCCGGCCCGACGACGAGGTGCGCCCGGCCCGGCCGGTCCGAGCAGTCGGGCGTGAGGCACAGCGCAAAGCTCGACTGGGCCGACGAGTAGGCGAGCGACAGGGCGCGCGCGACCGACGAGATGAGCGACGACGGGCACGCCGAGGGCGACAGCGGGACGAGGTTGCGCTGCGTGCAGAACCGGAGAAAGACCGGGTCCGGCTCGTGCGCTGCGTCGCCTGGACCTGCGGCCCCTCCCGCTCGAGGCTCGACGACGGCGGCGGCGGCGCGCAGGGCCTCGACGAGCTCGACAGGGAGGCCTCCTTCCCTGCCGAGCTCGAGCTGATCGGCAAAGACGGCGACCCTCGCGTCGCGGTCGCGGTCAAGCCGGCCGCTCCTCTCCCACCTCGCCCACCGCTCGGCGCCGTCCTCTGCGCGCTCGCCCGCTCGCCGCACCGCCTCGCCGTACCCCTCGTCGAACGACGCCTCCCACGCGCGCACCGTGCGCTTGTCGAGGCGCGAATGGAGCCCGAGGCCGAGCGTGCGCAGGGTCGGGATGGGCGGCAGGACGACGAGGTCGCGCACGGGCGAGATGGGCGAGTCGACCGGCGCCGAGGGCGAGGGCGCGGGCGCGTCGGTCGGGCGCGCCTTTGAGATGCGGCGCCATACACGCAGGGCCTCGTCGGCGCGCGAGAGGCCGCTGCCGCCGCAGCACTTGCCTGCAAACGAGCACGAGGGTTAGTCGGGTGCGGCAGAACGAGAGAGTGCGAGAGCGAGAGGGGGACGGACCGAGCCACTTGAGCGTTGCGTGCGCCGTCGCCTCGTCGACCGCGTCCTGCCCGACGAGCCCGCTGCACCGGTCGAGGACGAGGCTCTCGAGCGCCGGGTACAGCCTCAGGAGGGTCGGCACGCGCGCATCGTCTGCGACGTGCGTCGTCGACAGGTCCAAGTGGCGCAACGCGGGGAACGGGGCGCGCTTCTCGGTCGGGGCGAGGTCGACGAGGGCCGGGAGGAGGGCGCGGCGAGGGATGCGGAGCGTGACGTGCGAGAGCTGGGCGGCGAGGGGCGACAGGGCGAGGTGCGTGATGCAGCCGAGCTGGAAGAAGACGATGGGCTGGGCAAAGTCCATCTTGTCGTGCTTGAGGACCCGGCCGAACTTGCCGCCGACCGACGCGTACACGACTGGCTCGGGCTCTGGTCGAGCATCGCTCGCCGGCGCGTCACCTCCTGCCGCCGCCTCGCCGAGCGCCTCGTCGAGGTCGGCGAGACCGAATGCAGGCGTCTCCTTGCGCACGACGCCGTACGTCGGCGGGAGGTCCTGGATGAACGACAGGCGGCGAAGGGCGGGAACGTCTTGCGGGTCGCAGCGCGCGAGCGAGAGCGGTGCCGTGTCGTAGTAGGCGCCCTGGAGGTGCAGGTCGTCAGTAGCTGCATGGCGCATCCTTGAAGAGCGGGCGCACCTTGAGGAACGTGTGGTACGACTTCTGGACGCTGTACGGGTTGAAGCGGAACGAGAGCTGCTCGAGGTGGCGCCACCTGCCCGAGCGGTGGATCGAGGCCGGGTCGACGAGGTCCTCGAGGTGCTCAGGCGCGGCGAGAGGCCCGACGGTGAGGCTGACGCTGGTCGGGCGAGGGATGGCGAGGAGCAAGTTGACGACGAGCTGCTGGTCGTCTCGCCACACCTCGACGGTGACGGTGCGGGTGGCCTGGGCCGAGTCGGTGAGCGACTTGCGGAGGGCTTGAGCGGCCTGGAGAGCTTGACGAGGGCGGGTGATGCGGATGTGGCGCACGAGCGAGGTGGGCGAAGGGTCGGCGCGGGGCAAGGCGCGCGAGAGGGCGAGGGCCGTGTGCTGCTGGTCGTGCGGTGGCAGGAGGGACAGGACGTGGTCCCACAGCTCTGCTGGGAGCAAGCCCGTCGTGCGAGTCGTCATCGCTGGACAGAGTGGAGGAGAGGAACCAACAGTCCGGCTCGACTCTCGTCCAGCTCGCCGCCCTGCTCCAAACTGGCCCTGCGTCCTGCTAGACTTGCTTCTACCGCCTGGCTGCCCCGACTCGCCCGCGCCATGGCAGCTCCCGCGTCCTCCTCGTCCTCGCCCTCCTCCCCACCCCGCCTCATCGGCAAGTCCCTCCTCCTCGCCTCTCCTGCCCTCGTGCAGCCCGTTCAGCACTGACTAGACGCTCACACAGACATTGGCTCCAATTTGGGCGACCCCGTCTTCCGCGGCAGCTACCACGGCAAGCAGGCTCATGCAGGTCCGTCCTCGTCCTCGTCCTCGTCCGCTCTCTCTCGCCCGATCTGTGCTGACCGCCCTCTCGTGCAAGCAGACGACTTTGCCGACATTCTCGGACGAGCGCGGCGAGCTGGTGTCGGCATGCAGCTCCTGACGGGCGACTGCCTCGCGGGCAGCAAGGAGGTTCTCGCTCTTGCGCAACAGCACCGTACGCTCCCACTCTCTTTCTCCCCCACTTCCACCTCCTCACAGTGCATCGAGCTAAATCCGTCCCTCTCGCACGTGCAGAGGGCCTGTACGCGACCGTCGGCTGTCATCCCTGCCGAGCGACCGAGCCCGACGCATACCCTGGCGGCGCAGCCGCCTACTTTGACGCGCTCGACAAGCTCATCGTCGATAACAAGGGCAAGGGCAAGGCCCTCTTCATCGGCGAGTGCGGCCTCGACTACGACCGCCTCCACCTCGCGTCCAAGGAGGCTCAGCTCCGGTGCGTCGCACTGCTCCCTCTTCGTCCCCGCTCTTTCACCTTCCCCGTACTGAATCGACTCTCGTGCCTTCTCTCGCAGAGCCTTCCCGCCACAGCTCGAGCTGGCCTCGAAGCATGGGCTCCCCCTGTTCCTCCACTCGCGCGCCTGCCACCCCGACTTTATCGCCACCCTGCGCGCCCACGACAAGCCGCTGCGAGGCGTCGTCCACTCGTTCACGGGCGAGACGGCCGAGGCGCTCGAGCTCGTCGACGCCGGGTTCCTCATCGGCATCAACGGGTGCTCGCTCAAGACGCCCGACAACCTCGACACGGTGCGCGCGTTGCCGCTCGACCGCCTCCTCCTCGAGTCGGACTGCCCCTGGTGCACGATCGGCCCGTCGTACGCCGGGCACGCCCTCCTCGGCGACCTCCTCCACGACGCCGAGCACGCCGAGGCCAAAGCGCGCTACGTCCCGGCGGCGGTCAAGAAGGAGCGGTGGGCGCCGGGCAAGGCCGTCAAGGGCCGCAACGAGCCGTGCACGACGGGCCAGGTCGCGTGGTGCGTCGCCAAGCTCAAGGGCGTCGCGCTCGACGAGGTGGCGAGGGTCACGACCAAGACGGCGCTCGAGCTGTTTGGGCCCGAGGCGGGCGAGCAGGACGGTGTGTGGCACGGCGGCGAGGGAGACGCCGAGCAGGCATAGACGGCGGCAATGAAGCTGGTTGCTCGTGTCAAGCTGAGCGGTCGAGCGAGCGAGGATCTTGCAAGTGCAACGACCCGGGTTCGTGGTCGAGGCGATTGAGGACGAGTTCAACTGTCTTCGCACGTCAAGGAGAAGCGCTCGAGAGCTTGTCGGGCTCGTGCCCTCGAGCCAGAGTGCCAGAAAACCTGAGAGCGAGCGTGGTCGTCTCGCTCGAGCAGCTCGCGACTCGGAGGTGGAGCACCTCGCTCTCCCTTCCTCAAACTCGTCGCCGAGCTTGCGATTGCGCACCCGGCTGTGCTGCACTATTATTGCTGTCCACCGCGCCCCCCAGCAGCGCCTCACCGCCCTCAGCCGTCGCCATGTCCGCTCCTCCACCTCGGAGAACAGCTCCCGCTCCATCACCCGCACCACCGCCCGACCCGGCCAAGCAGACGTGGAAGGAGCGCGCAAAGGCCAAGAGTGCAGTGTGGGGCATGAAGGCGCTCGACAAGGTCCGTCCCGGCTCGCTCTCCCTCTCTCCTCCGCCCCCACCGAGGTGAGGCCGAGGGAGGCTGGCTCGCGCTGGACGAGATGCTCACCCTCGCTCGTACCCGTGACAGGCCCTCGTCGTATCGGATGCCGTCGGCGTGCACGCCAACAACATGACGGCCAAGGTCGGCGGCGAGCGGTGGTGGCCGACGACCGACGACTTTCCCGCCGAGGTCGCCAAGTGCGTCCGCATCCTGCGCGCGTTCACGGTCGACGGCATCGAGAAGGAGGTCGTCGACAAGGACGCCTCGGGCATGACCAAGAAGCGCAAGGTGTTCAAGAAGGTCCCGTCCGAGGTCATTCGCGACGCCAAGGGCATCGTCGTCTACACGTCGTTCCGCAGCGGCATCGCGCCGTTCGGTGGCGCAGGCGGCAGCGGTGTCATCGTCGCTCGCCTCCCGGACGGCAGCTGGTCGGCGCCGTCCGTCATCGCCCCGGGCAACTTCGCCGCCGGCTTGATGCTGGGCCTGCAAGTCCCTTTCCTCCATCCCTGCCATCAGCGAGCGCAGCACTGACAGTCCTCGACGACCTGCAGCGACTTGTTTGACGCCATCCTCACCATTATGACCGACGCCGCGCTCGACACCTTTTATTCACACAAAGTTACACTCGGCGCCGAGATTGGCGTCGCGGCGGGCACGTACGGCGCAGGCGCCATTGCCGAGGCCGGCACCGACCGCAGCCCCGTCTACAGCTACCTGCGCTCGCGAGGGTTCTATGCCGGCGCCGAGGCGGTCGCGCAGGCCTACCTGACGAGGTTCGACGAGAACGAGCGCATCTACTCGTGCAAGGGCGTCACGCAGCGAGAAATTGTGCGTCCTCCTCTCTCTCTCTCTCTCTCTTCCAGACACCCTCTGTGTACCCTTTCTGACCCTCTTGCCTTTCACTCGGGCGTCCGCAGCTCACGGGCCACTTCAAGGCGACCTCGGCCGCCGCGCCGCTCTTTGTCGCCCTGCGGGACGCCGAGACGGGCTACGCGCAACGGCTGCACGGTGCCGAGTTCGAGTTCGTGCAGCCGTTCGAGACCAAGGACTCGGCGCACAGCGGCGCGACGCCCGGCACCGGCACGCCCGAGAACGAGAACGAGCCCGAGGTTGCGCCCGAGTACCAGCAGCCGCCGAGCGTCGACGGCAAGCCCGCCTCGACAGCTTCGCCTGCCCTCGTCGACCAGGCGCCGTCGACTTCTTCGGCCGTCGTCGACCCGGCCCTTTCCGCACTACCGTCGGACTCGAAGCCGGCCTCCCTTCCTCCTCCACCACCTCTTCCCGCCCGAGCCCCTTCCTCGACGCTCCCGCCTACTCTTCCACCTCGTTCGGCACCAGCACCTGCGGCCGAGGAGTTGCGCGAGGACCTGCTCGCCGCCGCCATGGAGGACAGGCTCGCGGTGGGCGAGCACGACGGGCCGAGGAGCTCGGCGCCCGTCGACTAGAAGGCGCAGGTGCCGTAGCTCGAGACGGAGCTCGTGTGTATTGCAGCTGTGCCGTATTGGCGTTCCTTCCCTGCGTGTGGCTCGTGAGCAGCGAGCCGAGCGAGCCTTTCTCGAGAGCAGCGAGGACGTGCGCGTCTCTATTTCTGCGCGTTTCTGCGGTCAAGCGAGCTGTGCGAGAGCTCGAACAGTGTCGACAGCTCCTGGGTAACTGCTCGCTGGAGCGGCGACGAGGTGGAGCGGTCGAGCGGACCGTGCAGTTCCGCCTCAGAATCTGGCTCGGGCCGCGGCACGTCCGCAGGGCGAGGCGAGCACCGCCTGCACTCGCTTACTACGCAGAGAGTAAAGCTCGTGAGCCTCAGGGGAAGCGCCTTTGCAGCCGACCTTGGTGTGAACCTCGTCCGACCTCGCTGCGAAGCTGCTGCTCGACCTCGGCACCCGACGTCCGCAGCTCTCGCTCTCTCCACGTCTCTCGACCGCGTGCTCTCTGTGCCACCATGGAGCCAGTCGCGTCGCACCCGCCACCGCCCAAACGCCTCGTGCCGGCAAAGCCGCCCGCCGACCCGCTCCTCCCTCCCGAGAAGCAGGGGTGGTTCAAGCGCCAGTGGAACAGCTGGGGCGAGTCGGCCATGTACAAGGGCATTGCCATCTCGGACAACCTCGGCACGCGGGTCAACGGCTGGGCAGAAGGCGTGCGTCCCCATCTCTCTCTCACTCTGGGTGATGAGGACGAGGAGGCGGTGTTGACCTCGCCCCCTCCCTCGCATCGCAGGTCGGCGCTGAGCGCTTCTGGCCCACGAGCAACGATGGCGTGCAGGAGATGGAGAAGGCTGCGCGCATCATCAAAGGTGCGCCCGCGTTCTCCCCCTCGCCCTCCTCACCGACGACGAGCTGACCTCCCCCCTCGCCCGCCCCGCCCCTGCAGCATTCACGGTCGACGGTGTCGGCGCCAAGGTTGAGAAGAAGGACGAGAAGACGGGCAAGAAGATCCAGCGGCGCATCCAGCGCAAGATCCCGGCTCGCGTCTTCCGCCAGGCCAAAGGGCTCGTCGTCTTCTCGTCGCTGCGCAACGGCATCGCGCCTTTCGGCGGCGCAGGCGGGACGGGCGTCATTCTCGCGAGGCTCGAAGACGGCAGTGCGTCCTACTCTCCCCTCTCTCTCGACGGAACGAGCCCTGACCCTCGTCGCTTGTGCAGGCTGGTCTGCGCCCTCGTTCATCTCGCCCAACAACCTCGCCGTCGGCCTCATGGCCGGCCTCGACCTGTTCGACTGCGTCCTCATCCTCCGCACGCAAGAGGCGGTCGACTCGTTCGCGTCGCACAAGGTGACGATCGGCTCCGAGATCTCGGTCGCGGCGGGCGTGTACGGCGGCGGCACGAGCATCGAGATGGGCATCGACCGGCAGCCCGTCATGAGCTACGTCAAGACTCGCGGCCTCTGTGCGTCCTCGCTTTCACTTCGTCGATCTAGCTCCTCGCACGAGCCGTTTTCCTGACAGGCACTTTCACTCGCAGACGCCGGCGTCGAGCTCGTCGGCCAGGCCATCCTGTACCGCTTCGACGAGGCCGAGCGCGTCTACTTCTGGCCCGGCATCACGCAGAAGGACATTGTGCGTCGTCGCCGCTCCTTTGTCTCTCTCTTTCAGCGAGCTCGCGACCTGACCATTTTGCCCCACTTCCCCTCTCTGCAGCTCAGCGGCCGCACTCGTGCCCCTCGAGAAGCCGAGGTCCTGTTCCAGGCGATCGACGACGCCGAGTCGGGCGCGGCGCAGCGCGCGCACGGCCTCGAGAACGAGTTCTTCGAGGAGCTCGACTGGGAGGACCCGCAGCAGCTCGACCTGCACGACGGCGAGACGCTCAAGCTGCCGCCGACGCCCGAGCAGCTCGAGCGCGAGGAGGAGGACGAGGAGTGGAGGAGGAAGAAGGAGGAGCGCGACAAGAAGCGCTTCCTCAGGTGACCTCTCGGTCGACCCCCCCCCCCCCCTCGCGCTCTCTCTCCCTTTCTCTGTCCTTTATAGATCTCGCCGCCGTTTCTCTCTCTCTTCTCTCTCTGTGACCCATGTTGCTACATGTCCAGCTTTGCAATGCAGCCGTCGTGCTCGTCCCCGTCCTCGTCCACGAGAGCAGCATCGGCGACAGCTTCCTTGGCGAGCTCTTCTCGACAGATCTGCACGGCCGCGGGCACGTTGAGGGTCAGGTCGTCTCGGTGTGACAGAGAGAGGAGAGAGACCGTGGCGGAAAGAGGACGCACCTGCTTCCACCGCTCGCGGTCGAACTTGGGCGCGCGCTCGAGGCGGTCTCGAGGCGAGAAGTAGTCGAGCAGGGCGAGCGAGGCATAGGACTTCAT